AATTATTTTAGAACGGGAAGAGTAGACATGAAGTTAATTAGCCACCTTATTGATCTCTACTTATCATAATTATAATCATCAATCAATTTTGATGAGTGCAGGATTAATTTATACACCTGTCATGAGCTTCTTTTAGCAAATCTACCAAGTTCGCACTTTCAAAAAAGGTGACTGCTCGATAATCTTTTGACTGATTAGCGATAGTTCATCTTCATGAACAGTGAGCCGAGTGATTAATTAGACGATGAGCAATGTGACATTGTCGTCTTTCATGGGTACGGTTTAATTCGGTTGATCGGACATTAAATGCATGCAAATAGAAGTAAGTGTGGAAATAATGGAAGTATTTTCCTATTTGGGGGGAAAATGTCTCATTCGTTACCTAAACAAATACCAATCATTCCAACCTAATGGCAGAAAATTTGTAGTTTTGCCTCCCCTTTTTTGTGTGATTGAGTATCATACTAGTGTTATTTTTGTTAATTAATTATTAACTTTCTCATTATTGGCTAATTTTAGCAAAACACTTCCAGCTAAATTTATTAATTGAGTTGAATCTGGGTGGTTGGACAGACTCGTACTTTCTCCCGTCCTTATTATAAGACATTTTGTTCTTTTCGTAAATTTCATTTAGCATATTATTGTAATTAAAAATAAAATTTTAAAACTATATTTTTATATTTATTGTGTTTTTTCAATTATTATAAAAGTTTTTTAAGATTTTATTTTCAATTTGAAGGACATATTAAATAAAACTTAGAACTAAAAATAAAAAATAAAAAAATAAAATTTAGAACAAATCAAAATTTCTTATAATAAGGAGCGGAGCAAAAAAAAAAAAAAAGAACATGGAAACAACACTTACTTTGGTTTTATTAAACCAAAATTGAATCAATACTGAGAGAATAGTAGTAACTATGATGCTATTTACATCTTAAAAAAATAGTTCACATTTAGATATCAAATTTGTACTAGAACTAGTACAAATCCTAAAACTCAATGTGAACTATTTTATTAGAACAAAGGAAGCAATTCTTTTGTCTCAAAATGATTATCCACAACTTGATAAACGCTCTTTTTGTCTTAAATAAAAGGGAAAATTTTGGATTACGGGCAATAAATTAAAAAAAATTAATAAAGAGGGAACACTCTTGAATAATTCGTATTAAGGCATAATTATTCAACAATGCAAACATGACTCTAAATCTTGAAATCAAATCTCTTTTTTTTTTTCCTTTCATTTGATTTTAACACATAAATTAAAATATGTTTCCAAAGTGTATAAATGATGATATTTCAATAGTAATAAGAAAATAATATAAATATGTTGAATTTAAAAATAAAGATTCATATTTCCTAATGTTTATTATTCAGTTTTATTTTTTACGTATAATGTTAATTTTATTAAAGTAAATAATTTTTTGCGTTCACATGAATCAAAACTGTCTAAATTCTTTTTCGAAAACCTTATATTTAAATGAGCCATACCATATATTTTACAGCACTTATTTTTTTAATATTATTTCTTCAAAAAAATTAATATCATATATTTTATATTAGTAAAAGTTTTAAAATTTAATAATATCAAAATTTATTATGTTTAAGTTTTTTTAATCAATAACTACTTCAGTATTCTTATACTCCCTCCGTCCCATAATTATTGTTCTGTTTGAGTTTTCATTTTTAGTTCAAATTGTACTAAAAGTGAAATATCAAACCGGACAATTGGGACAGAGGGAGTACTAATTAGGCTTACGAAAAAATAAATTAATAAACTTATAAAGTAATTAAAATGATATTAATAAGTTTTTTAATATGTAAAGCCATGTTTGTATGGCTGTTATGCCCCTGATACAAATTATTCAAAAATAGTGTCCTTTTTATTAATTATTTGTCATCCACCGCCCTTTATTCAATTTTTTTTTTAAAAAATCACCTTAAAATTTTAAATTTGTTCTAAAAAATAGACCATGCTAAGTTGAGATTTACACTAGTTTTAGTACAAAATTAAAAAACTCGACATGTATTTTTTTTAGGGACGGAGGGAGTAATATAGTCATTTCAAAATGGACGGGCGTATCGAATTCTTTCTAATCAGACGTGGAATTTTTCACAAATTGTTCGTAAGCTGGGTTGTGGAATGACTTGCAGCCTATTTTCGGAAAATTTCGCTTGCTTTAAATAGGTGAAATTGAATGTCGTTTCGTGTCTCAGAAATACAGGAAAAAAACAGTAGCACTACTTGTTCTTCTCTGTCACAAACCCCACTGCAGGAGCCCCTCGCCGTTCCCATTGCCGCCGCCGTAGGTTTCTCCTGACAGAATGAATTTAACTTTGAGCCAATGTCCCTCATCTGGTCCTCCACCCTCATCGAAGATCGATTAATTCTTCCGTCCCAAAATGATAAAATGTAGTTCGCTTCTCACAATATTTAAAATAAAAAAAATCTAAACGAAACAATTATTTTACGACAGACCGAGTATAATTACATACTAAAGTAAATTATATCTTTAGATGGAGGGAGTAATTTTTTTTCCCTTGAACTTCCATGACTAAACAAATCTAAATTCGGTCCACTCGAATCAAAGAACGTAATTGGTGAAACTTTATTATCACCTTCCACGTACGTACGTCCTTCTCTTCAAAGGAAAAGAATCGAAATAAGTAAAATATCAGATCACGTCACTACGTAACTGAATATAACTATGTAACGTCAACAAGAGAAAAATCGTCAAAATTCAATCGAATAGAAGAAGAATCCCTCCAAAAACTAATCGACAATTAATTGTTTGGCCTCACAAAAAAAAAAAAGAAAAAAAAAGGTTAACGAGTTTGTTGGAGCCTAGTTCGTCCACAACAACAAGGCCACGAAGTAAAAATTCAGAAGAACTCTTTAAAATTTATGACAAATATAAAGACATTGGTACCATACTACAGTATTCATCGAATTGTCGCTTGCATCAAAACGTCAATCAATTTCGTAGTGAATTGTTTTTTTGCCATTACTTGTTGTTATGCTTGTGGTCACTGATCAATGACTCACTTATCCATTTTTACTGTATTAAAGTAGAAGACATGAAGTTTATGTAGTAACTACGTATGCATCTGTGTTGGCTCCAATGCACCATATTTCAGATTTCAGAAGTCTTTTTGCCACGTGTAAGTCTCTTTTAATTAGAAGCTATATAATTTTTTTTTTAAAAAAAACACATGTTTTACTACAAATAAGGATCAGTTACATTTCAAACGAATGGATATATTAATTCAAATTCAAATGTCCAATCGTATAGTTTTGCAGGCTTAATATAAACAAAAAATAAAAATACATAAATCCAGTAATTAAGAATAATGCCTTATAAACTAATTATTTATTATTCCCTTATAATCTCATATTTATAGGTATATTTTTTTAAGCCCCAAACCATAGCATAAATGATATATACGCCAAATTAATTCCTCAAAAAATAATAATTCAATTAGATTTTAATGAAATAGTAATTTAGAGGGGGCACCGGACATCTGTCCGGACCAAGCATCTAGTATTAAATTATAGCCAATTGATTATAAATGGAGTGATCAATTATAATCTTTTAGATACCGATCAGTATAAATATGATATGTTGTGATGTGGAATATTAAAGCGTTACAACTACTACTGTTTTGAATTGTCATAAATTCTGATGTCACATATTATCTTTTGTTCTCACGTATAATAACCCCAAAAGAAAAAAATTAATAGGAGATGAAGGAGAGATGTGGCATATGAAGAATTAAGTTAGGTCCATTTAGTTTTCTTAGTACTACGTACAACTAACAACCAAAAATAATGGACCATTTATTGTATTTGTTTTGTCTGATGATATATTCACATTATCTCTGCCATCAAAGTTGGCTGGCTAATTAGCTAGGGTCAGGCCCAAGTTCCAACTATTGAAAAGTTAATACAGAACGGAAACAGAAAAGGAAATTTATAAAACAAAAAAATGGACGGGTCTTGATTGGGTGGTTACATATATCTTATATAGTTTTATGTTCATCCTTAACCAGTTACAAAGGGTTCAACAGTAAATCATGGGATCACTCACTATTAAAGAGATGTGAAAAATTATTATACTCTCTGTTCCAAAATTACTGCCTGATTTAAATCTTTACTTTAATTCAATTTGGACTAAAAATGAAATTTCAAAATGAACAATAATTTCCAGACAGGAAGAAGTACAACTAAAATGCATGTCGATAAATGAGAATAGTGTCATTTGGTGACTATTTAACTTCGTCACATCAAAGACTGATTTATAACTTTTTTTTTTCTTTATGGAAACTCAAATCTTGGTTGGAGCATAATGTTACGTGGTTGGTACATTGATTTTAACCTTTAGTTATTAGCTAGCCTTGATATATAGTCATTGATTCTAAGCTGTACTCCCATAAACAATGTAAACAGGTGGAAAATTTGGTAACACACTTTCACTAGAATAGCGGGGTATATCAACAAAGTTTGGCATATATAGTTTACTCGATAAAGAAAGATATGATGGTTCCATTTGGACTTGCATCTGTCCTTGTATAATCTCATCACTTGGGGGGGATATTTTTACTACATTAAAGGCAGAAATAAAAATTTGTGAAAATGATGAGGCAAACAAAGGTCATGAAATTGACCCTACATCTCTTATATGATACTCCCTCCGTCTCATAATTATTGTCCACTTTGTCCAAAAAATTTTGTCCCAAAATTATTGTCCAATTTGACTTTTTATGGATCAAGTTACACATTTGTCCTTAGTAAAAAACATTATCCATAAAATCTTAGTGGTTAAACAATTACTTATGTAGGGGTATATCCGGTTGTTTAAGGTAAAATATAGTTAAGTTTGACAAAAAATAAAATCTTTTATTTTAGTAAAACTGGACAATAATTATGGGACGCAGGGAACACCATAATAGAAGCGAATAGTACATTATGGCGGAGAGTCCAATTCTATCACGTAGTTCGGTCCATTTCATCATGGGTAACATTTACATCTTCCTTTTTTCACCTAATGGTTCATGCTTTGAACTCAAGCCTATAATAGAGCAAAAAAAGGGTCGATAATATAGCAAAAAGAGAGAAAGAAAATGAGTCACCTCCTCATCTCATCACTCACTTGAATGCTCTATGGTGTGGGATCAATAAATGTACAGCATTATGGTCAGTGCTTCGGGTAGGTATACGTTCAACCATAACTTTGGAGATCAGTCTAAAAGAAAAAAAAAGTATATTAAGCCAACAAATCAATTGCATGATTGATTGAATCATTGAGCTTCTCCTTCTCCTCCCCTTTCCTATCTATTCATTTTCTTCTAGATCTCTACTAGTAAAAAATGCAGGCACAAGTCTAGCGATAGTATACTTTTAGATTATCGCAAAGGAGAGGGTTTGGAGTTCGTACCAGAGAGCTGAAGAAAGAAACAGTTAGCTAAGTTTTACAATGGCTTCGAAACCAGGGATTCTATACGATTGGCCTTGGACTCCTCTTGGCAACTTCAAGGTATCACTTACTAATTCCACTGCTCTAATTAACCTTTCCTTGGTTCTTTGTTGGATCAGTTTTAATGATATATATATATATATTTTTTTTGTAAAACTTTTTTTGTATTAACTGGTAAACCTAAACGGCATTGGCCGACTGGTTACCCCAATGAAAATGAAAATGAAAATCCTCTTCATGTGCAAAGAGAGACCATGCATGATGAAAAACCAAAATTGTAATTGCTCTCTTTTTTATATGGCTTGCTTTCTTGGCCTGTATCTAGTAGTACTAATGATATGCTATCTTGTTATTACAGTTTATTTTAAATTTATGTACTCCTTGTGTCCCAAAACGGTTTTTTAATTTATATTTTAATTCTTTATAAACTTTATATTAAAAATAAGATGTTAAATTGAACAATTATTTCAGAACGGATGGAGTGATGATTTTTATGAAATTTATAATTTCTGTATTTGTAACTACAAATCAATAAATCCTTTTTTTTTAAAAAAAAAATGGAGGTGGCCACAAAAAGTTATTCCTTTCATTCAATGAAGCAAAAATTCGAGATCCATCCGTTTTATATCTTTTCGAAGTACCCTAGAGGTCTTTGATATTGTTTGTCATATCGCTCCTTCTTCAACATTATTGATCGGCTGTCACATGAAACTTTATTGTTTTGTTTCATAGCTTTATTACATTTCTTTTCAAAAGTCAATTCATATTTAGGCAATCAAATGAGACAGAAGTTTTTGAGAAGTCAATAAAATTTTTGTTATTAAGAAATGCCGGAATTGCTCAACTGCAATTGATGAATAAAAATGGTCGTGGTCGAGACCATGATTCAAATGTATTAAGACTAACCAAAGTGGTTGTGGTAGAGTGGAAGGGACTCCTTCACTCTTAATAACCATAGGTCGAGGGCGAACCTCGCCATGGGCATGGAGTAACCTTAAATACTTTGGCCAATCCATCGAGGTGACTACAATGCAGCGAGGGGATAATTAGTCACTGTTGCCGATGGTGGACACCCTGCAAATATGAAAAAAGAGAAAAAAAAATGTATTAAGACTGTTCTCAACATATTTATACACAACAAAATTTTCCATTAAGCTAATCCAGAAAACACCTAAGTAATCGAAAGGTGCCAAGTGCCAACCAAATGAAAGTTTAGGCGTGTTTGGACTTCATTTTACGCCCATTCCTTCTTCTAATTTAGTAAACAAGAGAGGTAATTATTTCTTTAGTTATAGCTAAATCATCTCATTTATATTCATACTTCTTCTTTTTGGTATTAATTACACTGCATTTGGTTTTACCAAATTTGTAATTAGGCTCCATTAGATTTCATATATGCATTATGAGTGAAAGGTTCTCTTAATTACGACTACGCTATCATGAAAGCGATATGAATATGACATATAATACTACGTCCTTTTGAAATTCCAAAAGAGAAGACAGAAGAAAATACCAGTTGTGAAAAGGTTGGTGGTTGGGTATGTTATTGCCAGAAAATGATGTGTATGCGTACTTGAACAGTACCTATGGTCAATTTTTAATTGTAATTTGTTATTTTGAATATTTTCCTTTATTCTTTAATTATAGTGTATAGTGCCAACTGATAATTATATTTTATTTTTAATTATCATTATTATTAATTTTTTTTTTGTGGGGAATATTGAAGTACCTTGTTTTGGCTCCATGGGCAATACACTTCACGTACTCATACATAACGAGTGAGCCAAGCCAGAGAAACTTTGCAATGTTTGTAATTTTGCCATTTTTGGTGTTGAGAATTCTCCACAATCAACTTTGGATTTCACTCTCTCGCTATCGCACCGCCGAGGGTAAAAACAGGATCGTCGACAAGAGCATTGAGTTCGAACAAATTGACCGAGAACGAAACTGGTAAGTTTATTTTATTTTTATAATAATATTCGTAGTAATGATGTGCTTGATTGGGCTCTAATAACAAACTAAAATCACCTGTTTAAAGTGAGCATATTTATTTAACATTATTTGGTTAATTATATGTAAAAATTGCTCAGTACACAAGTTTTTTGTATAGTGTTTTTTTAGGAGGGGGTGGTCGTGGAATCCTTGGGAAGAGGAGTGGTTTTCAGGGCATGGCATCCCCTGTCCTGCCAAAATTATGACAACAACAATCATCAGACCTTTAAAATAAGGTGGCTTAATTAGCATTTAAAAGATAGTATATATGATTATATAGTTATACGTACTACGTAGTACACAAAAGTGATATAATCACGTATCATGTAGTATATATTTACAGAAATTCAAAGGATTTTCCTGCCCACTTTATATATATACATATATATAATTTTATTTTTTTCCATTTTGGAATATTCACATATAAGTGCTTATAACTTAATAGATTTTTGTCTAATTTTCAATACAGGGATGATAACATCATTTTTAACGGGCTCATATTCTACGCATTGTCCTACACCGGAGACACCGCCAGCATGCCAATATGGAGAACGGATAGTGTGATCATCACCATTTTGTTACACGCCGGTCCGGTCGAATTCCTTTATTACTGGCTGCACAGGGCGTTGCACCACCACTTCCTCTACACCCGCTACCACCAGCACCACCACTCCTCCATTGTCACCGAACCTATTACATGTACGTATTAATCTATCCTTCAATAGTTGATTTCTCTGTCTTAAAAAAAAAAATATTCTACATTGTAATATGTAAATTAGACTAAAGCAGTATAAATAATAAATTAAAATGTAACATATTTTTGTGGGTCGGAGGAAATATTAGACTAACAAATAAATTTTTTTTTTAATATATGTGTGATTAATTTGCAGCTGTGATTCATCCATTTGGAGAGCACATAGCATATTTCTTGCTGTTTGCTATCCCATTAGCAACAACATTTTACTCAGGGATAGCCTCAATTGCTTCGTTTTCGGGTTACATCATGTTCATTGATATCATGAACAATATGGGACATTGCAACTTTGAGCTCATCCCTAGTTGGGTCTTCTCAATTTTCCCTCCTCTCAAGTATCTCATGTACACTCCATCGTAAGTCTTCCATGCTTATAAGCTTAATATATACTGCTAAATTTGGGTCATGATTAATTGCAAAACAATATATATAATTTCTGTAATCAATGATTACATGTAGACACGATATTGATACATGATAAATTGGACCAACGAAAGAAGACGCATTTATGACTAGTAGTATATAGTAACACACCAAGAAACCATAAAATCAATTAGGGTTTGAAGTTGATATGTGGGATAAGGCTATGCATTTGATGAAATCTAGGTTTTATGGAACATCATATGATAAAAACAACTAAACTAATTAAACTCTATTTTTTCGAGGGCCTAATTGAATACAGATTGATGTAACTATCAGAAGAAAGTTAAAAAATCAAGATGATGTTTTTTTGAGATGTTATGTGGTTTTCTACAAAATTCAGTGAGAATTTGGCTTTACTCAATAGCTACTGTTGCTTGCTTTCATTTTCTTCCATAATTTCTTGAACTGTGAAACGGACCACTCTGAGGCTTCGTTTTCCTAAACCGCCAAAATGAAAACAAAAAAAAAAAAAAAAAAGGACCACTGGGTTTGGAAGGGCCAACAACATAAAAAAAAAAATATCACCGATCGGTATCACAGATAACTGGCAAATTTATTGTGTTCATCAACCTCTTACCAAAAAAAAAAAAAAACCATTCTTCTTCTTTATTATTCCTCCCCATTGCGGCATTGCCCCATGTTGTTTCTGTTGCATGTGCTAGGATACTTATCTTGGGCTTCCATTCCCGACAAAATAAATGCAAGACATTAATTAGGGATACAAATGATTTGATAGTCAACAATCTCATGCAACTTAATTAGGGATGATATTTTTATCTTCATGAACAACTTGTATATGACTGAGGTTAAAGGTAATAGACACTCTTACTATGTATGGGTGTTAGGATCCAAATTTAACTTTATTTTAAGGGTTTTACATAATCACCGTTACGAATGAAATGAGTGAGATCTCTGTCCAAAAGAAAATAGTTTGACTATGCTGAATTAAAACACAGTTTGATAAAGTGATGCGTTTTTTTGGGATAAAAGGAGTAATTTGGATTTGGAACCTGATCTAATCAGTATTTTTTTTTTAACTATGGTTTAATTTAATGCAACACAGGTTTCACTCACTGCATCATACCCAATTCAGAACGAATTATTCTCTGTTCATGCCAATATATGACTACATCTATGGAACTGTGGACGATACAACAGACACTTTGTATGAAGCTTCACTTAAGAGACAAGAGGATTCACCTGATGTTTTGCATCTTACACATTTAACCACTCCAGAATCCATCTATCATCTAAGGCTTGGATTTGCTTCTTTGGCTTCTAAACCTCATGAATTCAAATGGTACTTCTGGTTGTTGTGGCCTGTCACACTTTGGTCAATGCTGCTTACTTGTGTTCATTCAAAAACATTCCTTGTTGAGAGAAATATCTTCAAGAAGCTCAAATTGCAGACATGGGCCATTCCCAAATACACCATTCATGTAACACATGCATCCTTATTATCCTTACCGCTTCCTCTGTCCCAAAATGATTGTCCTATTGAGGACAGAGGGAGTATTACATTTTTTTTTCCATGTTTCCAAAGAATTAATTAACATTTCACCAGATACTAGTTAATTGATCAATTGTTCCTTTTGGTTTGATAAAAATGCAGTACTTCTCTCAATGGCAAAGAGAATCTATCAACAGTCTGATTCAGGAGGCTATCTTAAAAGCAGAAGAAAAGGGTGTAAAGGTTCTGTCCCTTGGTTTACTGAATCAGGTATGGTGTGATTTTGTCTCATCAGTAATATCGTTTCACTAATAAGACACGACTGAAATTCTGTGATTTAAAATGGACGTTTTCAAATTCTACCGCTTTCGTTTAGGAGGAGGAGCTCAATGGAAATGGGGAGCTGTACATAAGAATGTACCCTGCCCTCAAAGTGAGGTTGGTGGATGGAAGTAGTTTAGCTGCTGCCATTGTACTGAACAGCATCCCAAAAGGAACAAATGAAGTTGTCATTGCTGGAAATTTATCAAAGGTTGCTTATGCTATTGCCTCTGCACTATGCCAAGGAGGAGTTCAGGTATAGTCATTAGCAAAATTAATCAACTGAAAATGGCTTGAAACAGAAATAATTCTGACATCAAGATCTTCATAATTGTTTCAAAGCAGACGACCAATTGGCCATATGACTAGAGAGGTCTAATGATCTCATTACTGGGAGCACTTATCCGTAATAAAACTAAAAAATGTCTAAGAAATTGATACAGGACAAATTGAGGATAATAATTCACTACCATTTGATTCTTCATATATTTTATTTTAACATTCATATTGTAACTGCTTCAGATATGCACGTTACATGAAGATGCCTACAAAAAGATCAAATCCCGGATTAATCAGGAGGCTGGAAGCAACTTGGTCAAGCACAAACAAAACTCTGCAAAAGTAAGAATGCAGTACCAACATAAATTCGATTTTAAGAAATTGCCTCGATGAACTAGTTCGATGAGAATGTTAAAATAAACAAGAACTAATACTTTTAGCCATGCACGAAGGTATGGATTGTCGGGAATGGATTTGCGGAAGAAGACCAACAGAAGGCCTCAAAGGGCACAACATTCATTCCTTTCGCGTATTCGCCACCAAAGAAATCGCGCAAAGACTGCTACTACCACTACACACCATCCATGCTGGCTCCCAAGTATCTCGAAAACTTGGATTCCTGCGAGGTTGGTGTTTTTATTCCCAAGTATCTCATTATATAGTAAAATGAGATTGGTTTTTATTTCTTCTCATACTAACAATGGTTTTTTTTTTTTCTTTTTGGTTCTGGCTTTTTATAATTTGTCAGAATTGGTTGCCTAGGAGGGTGATGAGCGCACCGCGGATAGCCGGAATACTTCACGCTTTGGAAGGTTGGGATGTAAATGAATGCGGAAACACGGTGTTCAACATTGAGAAGATGTGGCAAGCCAGCCTGAGTCATGGTTTTCGTCCATTGGTGATGATCTCCAATTATCCAAAACCATAATCTTCATTCTGATGAAAGATCAGTTAAAAAAAAACGATCCTTATTTTTTCTAAGTATCCATATGTTGTAGTATATCCATCAATGATGATTAAAATAAGATGTAAAGCTAATTGTCTTACTATTTCTAATCTATTTGTAGTAGTTGAATGGCGCACACCTTCAATATTTCTATATAGATTATTAAATCTACTACACATTTGAGCCCTGTTCTTTTGAATGTTATGCATGGGAGGCAATAGCACTGCTACATTAAAGACCATGCAGCCGGCAAGAAGCGTAATATCTTAGTTTAATTTGTACTAAAAATAAAAATTCAAACTGGACAATAATTTCAGGACGGGACGGAGGGCGTAGTATATTTTGCAATACCTTGTAGTTTCGGTTAAAATGGGCAATGCAAAGGGAACACATCTTAAGGAAACCAGACTTGGATGGATAACCATTGGAATAAATAAGTTTAGAATCATCGTCGGGGTCATTTCTCTCAAATTTCATACGATTAATAAAGGACACATTAGCGCAGTAACCCGGATCCCAGGTCACCTTATAACCCTAAAAAGATCCCAATTAATCAACAATCAGGAGAAGGTTAATTATAAATAGTAATTAGATCGGGAGAATGAGGGAATGAATCGGAATTGGAGGAGTAATGAATTATTAAACGAACCTTACTCTCGTGGTGGATGATATCCATGTACTGAGTCCATAGCTTGCCGCTTCAAACCAGGAGCGCACCATTCACTTCTGTCGCAACTGCCTTTACCAAAGTTGCTATATGATTCATAATCCTCCTCCTTCTTCTTCTTCTTCTTCTTCTTCTCCTTATCCGATGGTTGCTCGGCGTTGATCCCCGGCTCAGCCGCTGATCTTCCCTTGAGCCCTAATTCTGGCTGATCTCCTTAGAGTTTCCATTGTGAGATCGTTGCAAAAAATCATGGCGCTCGATCTCCACCCGCTTATATTTTTGTTTGTATATACCGGGAATACGGGCCGGGTCGATTGGGGGGGAAATAAGAAAAAAAAGGGTTGTGTGGGCCGTATGCGCTGGAGCGAAACCTGCGTAATAGGTATGCATGTGTTTCTGTAGTATCCATCAATGATCAGTTAAGTCAAGTGTCCTACTACTGTATCTAAATCAATGACGCTGTTCCATTAGTTGAATTACAAACCTTTGGAAATGTTTTGATGCATTTATATCATTAAGTAGTCAGCATTTGCAACATCATTTCAGACCAGATCTTCAGAATATTGTATGTGCATCCGAAGGACTAGGATTCTTAAATACAATCCCTTCAATGTTCTGGTCCAAGACAAGCAGCATTTAAACCATAGAAGCTATTGCATCACTCTTTCTACTCCGCGGTTCTGTAAGGTTTCTGATAAATATCTGGTAAATATATGATGAGCCAAAGCCATCTTTCAGATACCAAATGGAATACAAGGTATTATTGTAGCGAAGCATCGACAAATAGCACTGTCTAGCTCCAGGGCCAGTCAATTTTGTGCGACTGCTTATTTAGAAGAAAAAGAAGTAGAAGACCAACGTCTTAGAAGGAGAATTCGCAGGACAAGTAGTTGTTTTGAACAATTTTGAAAAAGTTGAAGAATAGAAGGAACTAAAATCAATGTAAAGATGCAAAATGAAAGAATGCCACCAGCAAAAATGTACATTGTATTTTCCTCTGTATTGTGCAAAAAAGCTTGATAAGGAAGACTATGTATACAGATTGTTAATTCCATTTCAATGTGTGTATTTCTCAATTCTGGAGAAATACGGGGCAACCATTAAGGAAATTTGATTCTGGAAATCTGAATTCCATTACATTTCAGGCAATCTGAATTCCATATAAAGTTCGAAGAGACACTCAACCTTTTCCACTCATTATCATTCAATTAAAGATAAATCATATAAACAGCGAAAAAAACCAACACGCTGAAAAAAAGACACATTAAACAACAGGTACCAGTAGTGAACTGCAAATCACGTTTGTGGCTTCTTCCAAATCCAGTGTGGAGAGAGGTACAGAATATCACATGAATTCATGAATGAATGTCTTCAGTTCTGTATTATTTCCCCAATTTCTCTGTGCTTCCTCAATCTCCTTCACCAAATTTATCACAGGGTGACCACTTTGGAGAAAGGCCTCAATCACTTTAATTGTTGAACTGTCCTTTAGACAAGGAGGAATCTCTTCCAATTTGTAACACTCATTCAATACCAACTTCTCTAAGCAGCCAAGTTGATCATCTCCAGCTATCCACCTAACAAGCCCCCAAGAATACAATTTCAAGATTCTAAGATTGGAGAATTCCCCTTCTTCCATTTCCCATGTTTCCTCTTCAAAAGAGACTCTGAGTAATTTGAGGATTTCAAGGTTTGGCAGTTTGCCAATCATTGAAATTCCTCTCCGTGATAAGCCAAATTCATCCAGTGTCAACTTTTTAAGATTTGCAGGCAAACTAAACTCTAACAGTCTACCAAACATAGGTGCTCCTTTTCCAAAACGATATCTTGATATGTGAAGTGATTCAAGCCGAAACAGTAATTTAGGAAACATAATTCTTTCAAGATTTTCTGTACCATCCCAATTTTGGAAAAGCCTGCATTTTAACCTGCGGATGTTTGGAAACTTTTTCATTACACTTTCCATGCAGTCGCAATGATGAAAAATTGGACCAGAAAGCCTATCCAACCCATGTAGGACATAAGAGCTGTTGATATTTTCCAAAGGGAAACTAGCACCAGCAATAAAATACTTGGTGCTTACATTAAGATACTTCAATTTCCTCAGATTCCAGAAACTGTCTGGAAGTGACACCACATGGCATTCTGGATCCACAATAAGAGTTTCTAAGTTTGATAGCTTAGCTATCGATGATGGGATGTGATCTATATTGCCCGTAATTGCCAAGAAAGCCAACAAAGCAAGGAGTTCGACTTCACTTGGAAACCCATGAAACAAATAAATCTGTTCCAAATCCAACACCCTCAGAAGTTTGAAGGTATGAATCACATATGAGATCTCTCGCCACAGTGGAAAATACGACTCTTTTCTTTGATATTGCACATCGTACTTTGGTCCAGAAGTAATGCAAAACCTCCGCAGGTTCTGTGGCCCTTTAACTGCCAAAAGTTTATGGTAACCTTTTGCAAAATGGAGAAACTGTTCATCTCTGGCCTTCTGCAAACAAAAATCATGAAGCAAGTCATGAATGCGACATGATTTGACTCCACCATCAGATCTTTGCTTAGCAACCATAATTAAACTTCTTCCAATCAAAGCTTTCAAGATATCCTCTGCAAGATCCTCTACATTCTTCATCTTTTCTTTTCGGACAAATCCTTCAGCGGACCATAATCGAAGCAACCTCCTCGCTGAAACCTCTTTATCTTCTGGAAATGAGCCAAAATACAGAAAGCATGGCTTCAGATCATCAGGCAAATGTTTGTAACTGAGCTCCAATGTTTTCCAGCAATGTTCTGAACTCGATACAATGCTTGAGCCTAAGCCATCTAAAACTTTCTTCCAATCATTAAGCTCCACATTAGCAAGAAGTCCAGCCATAATGACGATTATCAAAGGTAATCCCTGGCATTTTCCAACAATCTGCATCCCCAAATCACATAATGCCGGTGGCCAACCATTTCCTGGGAATAACTTCTTTTGCAATAACTCCAAACTCTCTTCTTCATTTAGGGGACTAAGAAAATATGGATCTGCCTGAGGAACAATATCGTGTTGACGACTAGTCAACATGATTCTGCTTTGAGTTCTGTCATCAGGGAATGCCATTTCCAAGCTTTTCCATGCTTCACTATCCCATACATCATCCAGAAAGATTAAGTATCTTTTTCCTTTCAAACTGCGCCAGAGCTTTTGTACTAAATCTCCCTCACTCACATGAGAATGTGTATTACCGTCAATTTGATTTAGAAGTTCAACAAACACTCTCTTTCTGTCCACTGTTTGTGAGATTGCACACCATGCCCGAACTTGAAAGCGGTAAAAAATAGAAGGATCATTAAAAACTTTTGTGGCAAAAGTGGTCTTACCTAGTCCTGCCATACCCACGATGGCCACGGTTTGCAATCGGTTTGATCCTCCGGCGAGCCTATCAGTAATTGAATCTGTCGTTTTATGGAGACCAACAACATCATTTGGCAGAGACAGGGCACTCTGTGAGGGCGTGTGGGGATAAGTCCTTGGTACTTCTTTCACTTCAATTTCTTGTCTCTTGCCATGAGAAGTCTTCACCACATCCTCCATAACTTTCTGAAGATCTTTTAGGATAGGTTCCATTGACATCGAAGATTCAGTTGGAAGAACACGTACCGCGATGTTGTCAATGAAGCATTCCACTTTGTGCAGCACATGTGAAACATGATCCCAGAGAGTTTGGAGTTTGTCCGGTTCATCGTGCAAATTCACATTTTCCACTAAGAATTTCCTTAAGAAGACAAGTTGCTCCTGTATAGTTTGAAAACCATTATTGGCAGTGGTTTCAGCTTCACTTGTTAGCTCCTTCAGTCTTTCCAATAAGAAGTTGATGTAACCCAATTTGGCAGTCCTTGGGAAGCTGAAAATTGATACTTCATCCAGATCTTCCTCTCCGAATCTTGCCTGGATAGTCTTGATCGTTTTTATCAACTCCAGAAGATCCAAGTCCACTGGTATAACTTTCTGGTAGATTGAAGAAATCAAGATTCCAGCATCACATAACACATTTCCAAACTCTTCCTGAATCTTGATGTCAAAGTCATCCTGTTGCTCCTCCAGAATGATTCTCAAGGATTTCAGGCCTTCACATAGCTCCAGCAGTTGATACTTCACATTAACTATATAAGAAGTATCCCGGCGTAGGAGCTCCCAAAGAAAAGATAGGAGAGAATCCAGGAAATCCACAATTGTGATAAACGCATCAGCATCAGCCTCACCATCATCACTAGCATCCGCTTGCCTTGGCAACTTTGAGCTCCCCAGGGCGTGAGAGTAAGTTTCATAGGTTTGAGGATTAATGGGCTTAATACTTTGCTGCAATTCTGAAATCATTCCTTCATACCATTCTTGGCCAAACCTGCCAAGATTACGCATGAAAAGGATGTATGCAGTATTGATAACAACAACTCTGGAGTGAGCCAACAAATCTTTTCCTGTTTCAGCAGACCTTGTTTGTTTTGTCACAAACTGGAGGAAATTTATCAAAAATGTTAATTGATCTCGGAAGGCTTCCATTTCTACTTCTTTGTCAAAATTTCCCCAGGAGAAATCGAAGAAATCTTCTACGTTCTCCAAAATGGAACCAATGATTTCCGAAACATCATCTGTTGTGAGATGAGGATTTGATTGCTGCAACATAGTAACATACCATTCCTCTATTTCTTCCTCCAAAGTTTGAATTTCTCCTTGCAACTCAGAAACCAAAGTAAAAACCAAGAAAAAATACTCATCAGGCATAAAATCAGAATCATCTGGATATTTCACCACTAACTTGCTACCAACATCTCCGATCCTCGCTAAAAAAGATCCCAGCAGCTGGTCACTGTCGCCCAGTTTCCTGGCGCAAAGCACAAAGGTTATGAGATTCCTCAACCTGTATCTTATCTTCTTAAATGCTTCCGGGTTGCATTTTTCAGAATCCATGCGCATCTGGAACCCTACATCCTGTATGGCTGATTTAATATTCGAAAAGACAGTGGACCAGGTGGTGGAAGCCATCTTGTTTCTTCAACTTGAAAGCAGAAACTGATCAAGATAATCGAATGGGAAATGACAAAGAAGGGAAACAAAAGAGACCAAGTGAAGCTATGTTACCCGGACTCGGCTGTTTAGGCCTCTGTACCCGTGTCGACACGAGTCGGGTGTGGAATCCGTGCGGGATCCGGTCAGCCGAATTTGGGTGCGTTGACTTTTCGTCAAGCACCATTGAAGTACTCCAGCTGGTAGTTCCGCCTTTTATTCTCAGTCATCGTTAAGGCACATTGAGGGAGAAGAGATCCGGCCATTAGGGGCTGAAAGTTATTGGATCTTACTTTAGTCGGCGGCGAGATGCAGAGCGGCAGAATTTGAGGAAGAAGAAGACTCCCAGTTTATAAAAATTATATAAATTGCAGAGTTGGTCTATATTCTTAAAAATAACCTTTAAAATTCCCCATTTTTATTAAAGTGCTACTTATTGGTTTCTTGTTAGCAGTTTTGCTCCCTCACTTTTACAAAAACACAAACTTTTCCCCAATTTGAGGTTTTGTACACTTAATCAATTTTAATAAGTTAAAATAATATTGTCAATTTTAATAAGTTAAAATAATATTGTCAACTTTAATCTAGACTAGACTAGATTGGATACTGAATTACCGACACATAAATATAATATTATAAATGTTAAACTAAAAGATCTATTTAAACCACAATTATATTAAATTAGTTAATTAAAGAAGTATTCCCGTATTCGTATCCGTGTCCAAATCCGTACCCATATATCCTAATTTTATAAAATTTACGAATCGGATACTTAGATCTCGTGTCGTATCCAACACTCATACCCGAGTTCGGGTAACATAGAAGTGAAGAAGGTTGGGGAAAGCAAAACTGAGATGGAAGAAACTCATCAACATCAAAGCTTCGCACATTGTGTTGTCTTATCAAGATATAATACTACTAAATAAATTAGTTGGTCTCAGGTGTGCAAGAAATACACAATTCACCGGCCAGCCAGTGGGTGGAAGGTCTTCATCCAAGGCCGTCCAACTAATCATCTCGATGGAGTCTTTTTGTCTAGGCTGCTAATATTTTAGATTAAAAATTTAAAGAGCAAAAAGAACCCACTACGAGACTTGGATTATGCAATTCATATAACAAAACAAAAACTTCCCAATTCTTTTATAGCATCATACCCAATTCTCTCAGAGGTCGTCCCTTCACAAACTCGATTCCTGCGAGGTAATTAACCAACAAAGTGATTAATTAATGTTAGTAACTCCATATTATTTTTTTGCACCAAAGAAAGTTGACTTAATAACATCTTTGTATTTGGTGCAAATTATATTGAAAGAATTGGTTGCCGGGATTGTGCATGCCGTTGAAGGATGGAATGTGGATGAATGCGGCGAAAAGATGTTCGATGTTGACAAAGTTTGGAAAGCAGACCAAGTTTGTTGCTTAGTTGTTCGTGTCTTGGAGAATGGAGACCGCTTAAGAAGTCATGATTATGAAGAAGTCCTTTTCGGACTCTTTATTATCTATAGTACTTAATTAAAACATCAAACAAAAAGGACATGTATCAGCACTACAATGAAAATTTTCCCGCCAAAAGTCATTTTCAGTACAAAATCATTTTTGACAAGTGGCACTCTAACTAATCAAAAAAAAATGTACTCCCTCCGTCCCATAATTATTGTCCAGTTTTACTAAAATGAAAGATTTTATTTTTAGTCAAACTTAACTATATTTTACCTTAAACAACCGGATATACCCCTACATAAGTAATTGTTTAACCACTAAGATTTTATGGATAATAGTTTTTACTAAGGACAAATGTGTAACTTGATCCATAAAAAGTCAAATTGGACAATAATTTTGGGACAAAATTTTTTGAGCAAAGTGGACAATAATTATGGGACGGAGGGAGTAATAGATAAATACATAAATCCCTTAATTATAGCTACATAAAAATTTCTTAATTATAGGTATATACTAATCTCTTAAAACAATAATATTTAATTAATAAAATCAAATGTAAGGAAATTCCCTTAAATCAAGTGAAACACAATAATGTCTTCCCAATCCCCAATTTCAAAGAATCTCTTCCATTCCGCTCCTCTCTCATATTCAGGCCTTTAAATCAACTAGTATTATTCCCGCACGTTGTGCAGTGATATAATATATTATATATTAGTTTAATAATTAAAAAAATGTACTATTTTGGTTTGGCTAATAATTGAATGTAGTCTATGATTTATTTCACTTTGTATCCCAGTTGGACTATGGAATTTTTTTTATCATGTGTATATGTATATAGGTATAAGTTTTTGGTTTTTTAAACAAAGATTGATGGTTAATTTTGATTTAATAATCTTATTTTAGAGTGATTTATCTCATACTTTTTGTATTTCAAGAATCAATCAATTGAAAATGGTAACATACAATTAAATTAAGTATTATATAAACTATTAATCAATAAGACACGCATTCATCCAAATCCTCTTCTCAGAACAACTTTTTAATTAAAAAACCTTGCTTAGTAATGAAAAAAATGGAGATAATCTAAAACGCCAAAGCCACATAGCAAATAGAATGAAAATCTAACACATTTTCATCGTGGTACAAAGTTGAATTAATTGTTCATTTTGTTCAAGGCTGCACATAGTCCCTTCATTGACTGTAACCGCTCTCTAAACTTACTTCCTCGTCTCACCACCGTTCATTGTTGTTCTCTGCTGTGATTTTCTTTTCGGAGGCTGCTGCTATTGGTTGGAATTCATAGGTTTTTGCTGATTTATGTCTTCTCATTTGGGTTTTGCAATTAGCATATTTCCTTCGATGTCCTTTTTTTTTTTTTCTTTTTTAATGAAAATCTTTGAACTTGAATTGTGGAGATATACATGGAAATTAGATAACTGATGAGAGAGATTATGAGATTTGAACGTCCTATTCTTTATTCAAAACCTTATAAATTAACCACGTGAAATTTGGATATAATCAAATTTATAAATAAAACCCACATATCATAGAATGTTAAACGCGTGAAAAGATGTCCAAATTCAAAGCAATCATATTTTCTAAATAATCGACAAACTCATGGAATCTTTATCCTGAAAATAATTGCCAAAATTATTTAAACTTGATATGATAAAATAAAATAAGGGAAGAATTCAATTTTTTTTTTATCACAATATAACTTCATTTATCAACATTAAAAAGGTATAGTCATTAGTGAAAATTACTTTTAACTCTTGCAATAATTTTTTTTAAAAAAAGAACTCTTGCAATAATTAAGTTAACGTCATCTTTTGTTCCTTTTTTTTTTCTAAGAGAAAGTTTATGCCTACAGGCCCAAAACGAAGTAAAAAGAATAAAGATGGTCAACATCAAGGGCGGCGGTTGAAAGCTACACTATTTTAATGTCAGTCAATCAGTGTATTTCTCTAAGGAAGGGCCGTAAATATCATGTACATGGATTATATATTTCTAAATTTAAAACTCACACCCGCCAGCACATACCTGTCAATGTGATAAGCATCACATTCAATTTTCAAAAATAGTTAAGGAAAGTGTCTCAATTTAATGTCCTAAGTATGAAATTACTAAAATTTGGGATTTTTTTTACAATGACTTGAAATTTGTATAATTAATCAAAGATATGCTCCACCAAAATTGTATCCTGATAGGATATCCCTTGAAATATGCTCATTTGTGTCCTGATAGGATTCTCGATCTGAATGATGGAAGATGATCATCACCACCAGAAGTTGGAGTTGCAAAAGGAACAATAATATCATCATCACATATCATCTTGGCTTTATCGAATTACACCCAGAGTTTGGCAAGATAGAGTCGGCCGGTGAAAGAGAATACCGCCAGCCGTTGGTGAAGGAGAATACCACCAACCGTTGAAGGAAGGGACGGAATATTATCAGCCGGCAAAAGATAATATAGTCAGCCGGTGAAGGATTCATTTGATATAGAGTTTCTTATTAACGGTGACTTTGTCTGTCATGAGTTGGGAATCGATATTCAAATGCTTCCTGTGAAGGAAGTATAATCACCCGATGATTTCAACGGCACTAAACTGATGATTACATTAAGTTTGGGTGATGTTTTCTGCCATGACCTCCATTCGCCAGAGGTACTTCAACGTTTTTTGGGATGAGTTCAATATCAATCAATCGGCGCATAGAAAAAATCGATGATATGTTAAAAATATTTAATTTTTACATATTCACAACTATTTTACTGTGCAAAATTACAGTTTTGAGGTTCAATAAACATGTCAGTAAATAATAAGCCAATGAAATATTGACACATGGACTCCATAAAATTCTCTACGAATGAGAAGATGACAAGTGTAACTGAATATTATCAATGATCTAATTGAATGACATGTGTATTGTAAGAAAAATTCCCTTAATATATAGTAAGATTACTTAAAATCTGACATCAATTATCAATCCATCTATTTCTACAACAGAGAAGAATAAGCTGTCATGAAAGAAATTTAATTTTTTAAGGATGATTTTTTTTATTCTTCTGTTGTAGATATTGGTTTATGATTTATGTAAATGCGGGCATAAGTTAACTGTTGTAAATTAAATATTATCAATCTGCGCATAGATTTATGTCTAATAACTCACTTTCTGTCCTTTCAATCGATTTTTTATTCTTCTATTTTTTTTATTCTTTTAAGAATGATTCGTATTTTTTATTTAATCGATTTAAAAGTACAGGCGGCACCCCGGACATTTGCCCGGGACAAGCATCTAGTGATGTTTATAGTAGGAGTATAATTTAGTGCCTTGTTCAAAATATATTTAATTAAGACTGTCCCCATGATCGTGTGTGTGCTTTTTGAGTTTTTTTTTTTCATAAAAGGCTATGCCCACTGTCGAATCTATTACAAATTAGTATTGTTTTTATGTCTTGATTAAGGTTGTTCCATTCAACTATTACAAGGGACGCTTTTGATCAATCTCATAAAGTTAAATAGCTTATAGAATATATATATATATATATATATGAAAATTCTATAGTCGGTTCATTATTGTTGGACTGAACCATCCAATTTAGTGTTACTAAATTATTATTTGACACCGCATTATTTATTGTCCTATTTAATTTACTAGTGATGTCTGGTCGCGCAATGCGCGACCCTGACCCGATATATATATGTAGATCTTATAAATGTTTGTATCTAAAAAAAATATTTTGTATTTGGCCCGATATATTTTAGAAATATTTGAAGAATTTTAGAAATGTTTTATAAGTGTGATGTTTGTATTTGACAAAAAAATAAATTGTATTTGGTTCGGTACGTTTTAGAAATGTTTGAAAATTTTAGAATTTTATAAGTATTACTTCTTAAATATAAATAAACTTGATCAAATATATGTCTTGAAGTAAATGCTAGACAAAATATAAAAGTATTCTAATAAGTTTAAATATTAGTACAATAATTTATTGATGTTCTCCATTGGTTGTGCCAAATCAATACTTAGTTTTGGAAATTTATAATAGGTTTGTAGTTAGCTTCCTCCAAAGGTATACGCGTAATTGTTGGAACTATTTCTTCCAAAAGTTTATAGGTAGTAAAATATCAAAAATATGATTTTGAAACTGGTTAATTGTTGAAACTGGTTGATCACAAATATGAGAATGAAAATAATGTAAATTTGCATAGGTTTCATGATATAGCAAAAAAGAACTCACCTCACCATGGCAAATAAAAAAAAAAAGTAAAAGATAGCCCATTAAAATTTAAAAATTTTTAATTTTTTTCTGTAGGTAAAAATGATGTATAAAAACACAAATAAACGTAGAAACATCATTCCTTCCCTCTCCACCTCAAATAAAAGGATTCCCCATAAATTAGTTAAAAGAAACGACCTGAACTATTTATATGATGAGGAACTAAAAAAAGTCCAAAAACCAAATCCAAAAAAGTATATTCTTGAAATCCCGAACACAAAAAAAGAAACGTGCTTCATTTGCAAATAAAATAATAATAATAATAATAATTGGTCAACTGGGAGTATGAAACAAAATCAAAAGTAATTAAGCAAAGAAAAAACATATTTCATAATTGGCCATATACGAAAAAAAACCTGAGCCTCCATAATTAAAAAAAAACACTCTAATTGAATGAACATAAAAAACAAATTTAAAAAACCACTTTGTAACAAAAATCCAATCAATCAATTCAATCCAAACATAACTAAAACCATACAAAAATTCTAGGCTAACTAACTAAATAAGAAATCACATCATACTACCTGACAACGGCTACGGTAGCTGTAACGGATGGACGCATAAAAATAATAGTAATAACATTATTGTTGAATGGGAAAAACAAAAAATAATAAAAGCCAAACCAATGATCTGTGGAAATAAAATTATTTAAATTTTAATACCTGTAATGGCACCACCACAACGGCCGAAGCAAGATCAATGAGAATTTTTTTTCCCGTTGTGTTTATATAGAGAGGTAAAAAACAATATTTTTTGAAGTTGAAATTTTATCCGATTAAGATGTAGTTGATTATCACTAATGAAAAGATTGAACATGTTAATAGGAAAGGAGTATATTTCACCACATATTCTCAATTGATGATTGATGAGGAATTTGTTTTTTTTTTTTAATTGTGGAGAAGGGATTGATTAAAGAGTCGATTGTCGTGGAGATGGGGATGAGAATTTGGGTTTTTTAAGAACTTGTGGTTTTTTTTTTTGTTTTGTTTATTTTGACGAAAATAGGAGGTGGAAGTGAATTTAGACTGCATTTGACTTTTAAATTTAGGAGATGTAATAATAAAAATTTATTTTAAAAATATGATGTGGAAATGCCACGTGGCAAATAATGATGTTTTCTGATTTTTGTTTCTAATATAGTAAGATTTAATGATACCAAAAAATTAGGGATTGATACGTGACCAAAATAAATTAAAAATATTTAGAAAAAAGATTAAGAAAAGTCTCCTAAAATGATAAGGATTCTAATGTCAGTTTTTGTATAACACATCTTATATAATATTATCGAGAAAATTAGTGACTTTTCTTAGGATTAAATTGAGTCGTTGTCAAAGATTCACTCCCCCAAACGACAACCTCTATCTCTTCATTCTGATCCTGATATATCGTTTTTAAGTTATAGTCACCGTGAGTGAGAGATCTCATTAACTCAATTTCCAATCAAGCAAGCAAACCCTGCAGTGCCAGGTACTAGGAAATCCAACTTCTCTTTCTTTTCTTTTTTTTCCCTTCTATTCTAACCAATTTTCCTGCAGTGGTAAATCTCAAATATTTTATACACTACATATGCATTTTGTAACTGCGATCATATTGTTGCTATTGATATTTGTCAAAATTCTCATTTGGGAATATTAATTTGTGATCTCCTTGTTTGAAATTGTAGTACTGGAATTTGTTTCCGATTTGCTCACAATTTGAAACCGTTTAATGAATAGCCTCCTTTAAACAAAGTTTCTCAAAGTCCTTTTTTTTTTTTCTTTTTTGTTTCTTTAATACTCCCTCTGTCCCAAAATTATTGTCCAGTTCGAGATTTCATTTTTAATATAATTTGAACTAGAAATGAAAATCCAAACTCGACAATAATTATGAGAGAGAGGTAGTATTTTCCTTGTAAACAATGGTAGCAATTGGTTTTAGTGATAGAAATTTAAAAAAATTCCTCCCTCAAATCCAATGGCCGCTGTGACATAAGTAATGAAATGCCTAAGCTAATGAAGTCATGTTGAGCTTCGTTTTGTTGAGGCAGAAGAATTTTTTTGGGTATATATGATAGATATAACCGTAAACGCCCGAATCGGGTAGCGAAAATTCCTGAAAATTTTAATCATGAGCATCAATTCCCAATACATATAAAATGGTTTTTGCCAAAGTAGTATTAAACACTAGTGTCCTTGTGTTTTTGGCAGACATGCCACTCAGGTGCTTAAGATGGATGTGGGATATTTGGTGCTTGTTACTTCCGTCCATCGGATTCTCATACTCAGATGACCAGAAGCAGGAAGAAAACAGTACTACTAGTTCTGTACATTTTCCAGATGATGTTTTGATAGACATATTAAGCAGACTACCTGCAGAATCTTTGCTCAGATGCCAGAAGGTCAGCAGACATTGGAGAACACTGACTAGTGTTACATCAGCAAGTTTTGTCAGATTATGGTTGCAAAGAACCTCTCCTGTGATTTGTATGAGTGTAAATGGCTATGGCTGGTTGAGAGAAGTGGGAAATTCGTTTTTCGTTTATGATCATCACTCTACTTCTAAGGCTTTGAAGATCAAGAGATTAAGACTCGGGAAAGCATCATCAGCCCTTGAAAAAGATGTATATCTCGCATCGTCATGTGGAGGGTTTCTCCTGTTTAATGGACGAAAGCGTTGTTACTTTCTGAATCCGTTAACAGGAGAACATGTTGGGATGTACTGTCCTGTCCCAGGTTTTACATGTGGCTTCTATTACCATTCTAGGATAAGTAAGTTTAAGGTTCTTTATGCACAGACGTTTAGTGATGATTGCTGCGTGGTCCGCCATTATTATACGTACACTCTTGGTGAAGATGATTGGAAGAGGATAGTGAAGGAGCCACCTTCCTGGCCCTATGCACCTGTCCTGCACAAATCGACCCCTGCTGTTTGTAATGGTTTCTTGCATTGGGTCGCGTTTCAGGCACCAGGATGGAGAGATCCTGCAGATTGCTCGCGCGCGATCCTTCTGTTCAGGATGGACAGTGAAGAATTCTTTACGCTGGCGCATCCTGGTTATAAATGCCCAAACATAGAGGATCATGAAACGATGAATCTGTTGGTGAAGGATGAGCAATTAGCCCTTTGTAATGTGAATCAGTATCTGGGAGTGATTGATATATGGATTTTGGAGGATTACACAAACTGCTGCTGGGATCTAAAATGGAGGCTTGATCTATGTCTGGCGGAGAAGCCAGTATTTGTGGAGAAAAGATGTTATACCTCTGTGAAGCTGGTACACATTCACAACGGAGAACTGTGGTTGGATTGTAAAGAGAGAGGGATATTTGTGTATGATATCGAAAGGAATATGGTTACAAGACTTGGAGGACCCCCTTGGAGTCCCATCTCTGCACTCAGCCTATCATCCTACAATGCACATGAATGCATTCCCTTTGCTAAGAGCCATCTGCGTCTTCCTAAATCCATGCTCTCCCTGAAACGTTCTCTGCGATTACCTCCTTTCTGAATACTATTGCTGTTGTTAAATGACATTAATATTGTTGGGATATTTGTGTTTTCAGATTATCTGGCGATTACTCGTTTGTAATTGAGGATGGAAGAGTGATATTCTTTATCAGGGAGAATACATTGCCCACGGTTGATCTCTTTCTCCTTGATCAATTCTACCTTCACCTTTCAAATCTGTTGTGAATACCACTAGTCCATATGCGGATGATCATTAAAACATCTAAAAGTAATCTCACCTGGAAAAGTTAGATCTGATTCTTGCAGAAAAACTAACTCATCCTCAACTGTTTAACAAAAATGTTAGCAACAAGAAAAGTACCTGAAATGCTAGTTTGGATACATATTTGAGTATGTTTGATAATGTTGGTTTGCCTCAAGCCACGGTATCTAAAAACAATTGCAAAAGGAGACCCCTCACTAGTTAAGAGCAGCTGGTAAAGCATGATGTTCAAATAGTTTATTTTGTAATAGAATAGAAGTCAATGTCGGAAACACCAGAATTGGTTTCCTTACAAGTTTTATCTGCTATTGGTGCCATGGGATGGAAGATGCTTAAACACCAAAACAAATTCAGCATATTCAAACAGCCCATTATGCTTAACATCAACCAGATCGGACAGCTGCTGTGGTAGGACAAGATTTTGCAGATTCCTATTGAACTTTTAGAGATGAAAGCGTACTGTATAGACTTTCTTTGGTGTTCATCACAGAACACGGTTAATGTTACATCAATCGTCCTGAAGCATGATGCTTTTCAACTTTTCAAATGCAAGCATTTCAACAGTAAGTCTAGCTTGGTTAACTTTTTGTTTTGTTCGTAAGACTGAAATGTCTTTGATCAAATAAATTTTCTCCAATCCAATGCTGCAGCATCTCTATTTATGCATGGCACAACCCCATTTTTCAAACATTTCTACCACTATATATATGCAAAGTGAACGATGTAAAGTTAAAAGTGTTCCTATTTGAAGTGTGCACCAGACTACAAGTAAACAAGACAACAAATGAATACCATCAACCTGATCAAAACCATGACTGCATTACAGAGCTATTCTTCCCCATAGTTCACTACAACAGGCACAAAATCCGAAAATCCCCATCTGAGCTTCCAAATCGCCGCAAATTACAAGTACACAAAGCAAACAAACAAAATGTTCAGAACTTTGCAATCAGTAACAAAAGTTGAGATTACGAAGTTAAAAGCTTTACACTCAAAACTTGAGTTCAACTTTGTATCTTAAGATCAGGAAACAAGATTCGAAATTGAAACTCACAGCTCAACCAAAAATGAATCAATACCAGTTCTGTTATTTGACTATGTAGCAAGCAGCATTAAAGGTTGACAATTACAATGCATAGTTTCCCATAGTTTCAATGCAACATTGACCATATCCACTCTGTCAATGAAGTTGTAGCAATTCTAAAAGTATCATCATGAGAAATTTCTTTCATCTACTGCTATGTTCTTCTATATCCAAGAAGGAAAATCAGGAAACATAGTTTCATCTACACTTCGATGTAATGAATCTACACCTTCTTATGTCAAATGACTGAAATCTTCATCCACCTTCTTGCTCATATGGGCATGAATTTCAAGTGGGATTCTCTGCTGGTGCGAAGAGTTTGGCCAAAAATTGCTTGAAGAACTCTGTGATCAGAATTACATTTGTATCTTAGCAATTGGCAACATTCAAAATAATTGTGCAGATGAAAAGAGATGAGAAGATGGCTAGGCCATTCACCAATTTTAATATGTGGAGCTTGGAGCCTACACTTCAGACAATAGTAGAAACCAGCTGGAATAACCCATTAGTGGAACAAGGATGTATCAGCTCACAAAGAACATGAAGAGACTGAATCGTTTTTAAAGAAACTTAACAGAGACAAATTTTCAACGATTCAAGATAGAGCTCAGGTTGTTTATGATCAGTTAGTAAATGCCTAAGCTCACTTGCACCTGAACCCTGATGATGTTGAAGCTCAGGAAAAAGAAAGAGAGAACAGTACAGAGTATTTTAGAATCATTAAGGCTGTGGAAAGCTTTCTAATCCAGAAATCTGAGGATTGGTAAAGATGGGGGACTGAAACTCAACATACTTTTGTTCAAAATTAAAACAGAAAGCCATGCGTGAGTGCTAGTGAATGATTGGAAAGAAATACAGGAACACTTCCTTAGTTTCTTCCAGCAGCAGTTGGGACAACAAACTACAAGAACTCATGTTGAGTGGAATGTATTCCAGCAAGGGCATAGACTGACTAAGGAGCAGCAAATGAGTTTAATCAGACTTATTCCAGCAGAGGATAGGGTATAACACAACAGAAGTCCAGGACCGGATGATTTTGGAAGCTTTTCTGGAATACTTTGAAGACAATAAGTTGAAATATGGTAGGTGCAGTCCAGGAATTCTTTCCAAGCGGATGTCTACTGAAACAGATGACTATAGAAAATAGTCTTCGTTTGTAAATTTGTTATTGAAAGTTTTATCTATCAAAGGCTTACATTTTCACCAAAAATAAACAAAAAAAATAAAAACACAAATGTCGTAAAGTTATTACCTGGACAACTCATGATGAAATACACCAACGGCAGGAATGCTACCATCAGAAACAAAACAAGTGCGGCACAGCTGTAAAAAGTACTACAGTCCCTCCCGTTCGCCGTTTTCTCCATTATCCTCACTCTTTTCAAAATGTCACCTTGAATCTGGTTATTCAGATCATCCTTGAGGTTTATTATCTTTGTTTTGATTTTTTCTCTTGCCCTAGCTTGCTGCTGGATTGTATCCTGGATGCGCCACACCCTCACCATTACAGATATGAACATCAATGCTGCAGCTAGAAACATCATTAATTCTGAATATAGTGAATATCTAAAGCTTGTATTAGAGCATCCCGGAACTCTGAAGAAAGTGCATCCACAAAAAACTCCTAGTCCAACCACCAAGTTTGATGCCAACCATCCAATTGCTTCGTCAGCGTCCTTGGCACTAGCAAATTCATTAGATTCTTTCAGAAATTGCATCAGCTCCTTCTCCAGGTTAGAACATCTTTCTGTGGATGTGACAATCACAAACAAAATCAGTTGTTGATAAGACAACTCTGCAGTAAGTAATTGGTGAGTATGAGTACTAATAGAACTACCTAGGGGATTGGAAGATGAAGCGTTCAGCTGAGGTGGAGAAGATGGAATATTTATAGGATGTTGCACTGGAGGAATGTTGACATGTGATGGAGCCAGAGCGGAGTGATTGTTGGTGGTGGTGATGGTCACCACAGTGGAATAGCTTGAGGTGGGAGCAGAAGAGGTGGAAGCAGTAGAGGTATGACCTGTCATGACATAGCAAACAAAGACTATTATATGTATGTAATGTCAGATAACATAATAATGTCAGATAACTTGTTTATTTTCTGAGTCCTAAACATCAATATAGACAAGAATCCTATCTCCATATGATTCTACAAGATAAGGATCACATCTACCATCCCTGAAATTATTCAGTATTACGAAATAAGTACAGTAATTCCTACAATCACTGTAATGATACAAGACACCAAAGACAGTCCCAATACTCATAATCGTCAACAAAACTGAGACCACAAGTCTTAAAAAGGTAAGTGTTCCTGACAGAGCTACAAAGTCTCCATTCCATAATGACTAAGTGACCTAGATCTATACACCATGAACCCGTGATAGACAATTTCCACCAGCCAACAAACTCAATCCAATAATAACTAAATTCTCATTGAACAGATGCAAGAAAACAAATGACAACCATGTAAAGCATGATTATATTCAATTCCACCAGTGCAAGTTGAATCCCTCAAACTTCAAACAGTACAATTGGAACACCTCATTCGAATCTACATCTTTACATAACAGTGTCTGTTCTCCTTTTCAGTGTTTGTGATTACTGCTGTTATACCAATGCCCCTCAGTTAACGATATAAATTTCGGCAATTAAAACAATCATGAATCATAAAAAAGGCACCATTAAAGACAATTTCAAGAAATCTTTAATGAAATTTAGGAAAACCATCAAGGAACCCGCATTATTATCCATCAAGAACCCCATTTAGTGCGACTCTAACCCATCAAGAACTAGAAATTATTACCCATCAATAAACCCGCATTATTATCTATCAAGAACCCAGTTACGTTCAAGAAAGAGGGACATTGACGTCACCCGCAAAAAGAAACTCAAATTCAGAGAGCAGGCCATGGAGTTAGTTCGGCTAATGAATAATCCGTTCAAGAATGATCTTTTACAAAGCAACCATAAAATAGAAATTAATCTTACCAGTAGGGTCATGAGGAAAAATTGCTTTACTAGAGTCACGACCGGGAGTAGAGCTCTGATCAGAAGAGGTTTCCATGTTTGAAGACGAGGCGCTGTTATCGCCGGTGGAATTGCGTCGCGGAATGGGACGGTGGCGGGCTGGCGGTTGCGGTTGCGGTTGCGCAGAATAATGGAAGAGCGGGAAGGATGTTAGCAGAGAGAACTTTGTCAAATTTTTAGCTAGCTAACTGTGCTACGTCAACGCCCGTCAACTAAAAGCCATACCGCTTAGCTATAATTTATAGTTTTTGAAATAATTATCAATAGTAAAAAGAAATCAGCTGTAACTAATTGAAGGTAAAATATAGTGTACAGCAAATATTTTGTTAATTTTTTTCCATGTCTTTTACTCCGTATTGTTAATTTAAGTTTATTGTATTCTGGTTGATAATATATATACATATATGTCAAAAAAAAAAAGATAGTAAATTGTACACGTCGCAACCACATCTCTCCATTATTTAGTGATTTTTTTAATGTAAAATTGTAAATTTATAGATAAAATTAAATTAACTTAGAAATTTGTCAAAACATCTAATGGTATAATTAGATAGCCATCATTAAATACTGCTATTTTTTATTTTTAAATTCGTAAAATTTATAAATAATCAGTTTTACTCGATTTAATTTTTTGTCATTATCCGTGCAAATGATTACCACCGTAAAAATTTTCAATCTTCTATTTATATTGTGACCATAATGATTACAAACATACTGATAATGAGTCGTTAACCATTAATAAATTAAATTCTATTCACGATGTGCGGAAAAAATATATGAATAAACTTCTAAAGAAGGTTGCAAATGGTATATAGAGACATAGAAAATAATGATAAGTTTATGGAAAGAAATGCAATAAACTCTCTATAAATTAAAACACTTGGGTTTCCAAAAATTTATTAATTTACAGAGTTGTTAATTTATCGATAAATTAATACTTATGAATTTTTCAATAACTTAATATTTTATTTATTTGAAGAGTTTTCCAATCCTATAGTAAAAACAAAATTTAAAAATTTATTGTTTTCACATAAAGGAAAACCCATTGCAGCCATAACCATAACATTATAATTTTCTAATGGAACAAAAACATGATAACTGCAAACATAACAAAAACTATTAAGTCAAAATCCAATTTAATCTTCAAATCTAGTTAATTATTTTATGTATTTACTAATTTATAAAATTGTGGGGACCTACATTTACATAGGAGATTCTTGAAAAATTATTATCTGAAAAATTAATTGAGTTATTTCATTTTTTGTACTAGTCCTGAGTTGGAACCGGAGAAAAAAATATTATTTAATATATATTATTAATTAGTAGAAGATTAATTTATGCAGGTTTTACTGTAATGAGAAAATTTTATGTTAGAGTGAAAGTTTAAAAGATATGGCACCGGTAGAAATATTAAGAGAGATCATTATGAAAAATTAAGAGAATAATTCTAAAAGATACAAATCCATAAATCAACAAAACAAAAAATATGGACAGGAAGCTACATTTGATGATTTCAAATATTGAAAATAATTCTAAATATATTTAAAATAATAAAACACACTGATATTAAAAATTACACAATTGCAATTTATATGATTAATATTTTTTTCCATATATAACTTAGTAAAAAGTCATATAATTGTTAAATTATTAAACTGATATATAAGTTTAACAACCCACACGACATATGGGGTAAACACTAGTGTGTGTGTGTGTGTGTGTGTGTGTGTGTGTGTGTGTGTGTGTGTATGCATTGGTAGAATTACCATAGGATTTGGGTGGGCTCAAGCACCTTCGGCCAGCAAAATTTTTTTCCTGGCAAGCCCATCCAAGCCCCAGTGATCCTTGAAAGCTCCTCTAGAAAAGTTATTTAACACCTGGTGATCACATAATTTTTTGGTGAAATGGAAAAAAAACTTGTGAAAGTTAAAGTGTAAGCTATGGTTTCCGGCGGCGGCAAAGCTTTTTTCCGATGAAGAACACGATGAATTAAGTTTAATATGTCTAATATTTCAGCTTTGGCCCTTAAGTATTTCAAAATTCTTAGATCAGGCTCTCTTTTCTAAACCCTTTAGAAAAATACATAACATAATTATCCCTCAAACACCTGAAGCAAACACAAAGTATGAATTAACACCCACACTAACTAGTACTTTAGAGTTGTCGAGGAAAATAACAGTGAAACCCTTAAAAGTTTTTTTGATCTTTTTTTTGTGGAATAAATCTACGTTTTTTTTTTATTTTCTTAGATCCCACCCGTGTTTCTACATTTATTTATTTATTATTATTTTTTGACTAAGGGACCAAAAAACATCTATTTAGCTTCATTCTTTTTTTTTAAAAAAAAAAAATCCAAATATACAAATTCCTCGTAAGTTTTTAATAAGAAAAAAAATCACCTCCTCTCACCCGTCGATACCCAAGCTCCATGCAATAGAGCACCTACGGTGTTAAATTCTTTTTCCGCCACTATCTATATGTATGTTTCTTTATTTGATATTTACGAATAAATAAAGTTGTCCTGTTTTAACTAGGAAATTTTTCCTCGTCGAGGTAAGTTTAATGCCATGTTTAATTTTTCAGATGCTGAGGAAGTAGAAGTGTTAGATTTGAGTATAAATCCTTCAGAGGAAGGGAGAATGATGTGGATATTCTAGGTGATTAAGTTCAAGGGTAAGTCGATGTTCGACCGAGTAATCAGTTTGATCTCAAAAAGTGATTCAAGATCTAGTAGCTAATATATTGGAGGTCCTACTCGAAGAAAGAAATCTGCCCACTTGTTCATAGATGTTCAAGCTCTCAATGTGAATTCAATTTCATGGGTTTCATGAAATTTTGGCCGACGACAATTTTGGCCAACTTTCCTATTTCGAGTAGGAAAAGGATTTTCTCGTAATTTTATGATTATGGCCAACTCTTCCAGCATTATATAACCTACTATAATGTTTTAAATAATTGTACCATGTGAAATTATTTATTTAATTATTATTTAATCTATATTAGAAAAGTTTAGGCAGTCAAATCTGATTTGAACTTTTATTTGTATTTTATTTTATTTTTATCCAAACCAACCTATGCTTATAAATAGGGGCCTGAACGACCATAATTCATATGCTTTTGATTATTATTGATTTCTCAATACAAGACGAGAGGAAACTCTTTGTTCTTTTTCTATTCTTTTCGAACAAGTGTGCAACTTGTTTGTGTTTTGTTGACGCGTGTACGTAGATTAAGAATTTCTCTATGTATAGAAATTTGTTAGTTTGTTTAGTGGAGCCTTTTAGCTAGCTTTTCTATTCATAAATTAAAGAGATATGGTTGTTAGAGAGGAACCGATTGGCTTGCTAACCAAAACACTTTTCTCCAACTTCTAGCCTTTCCATTCTTTGGTGCTAATTTTGGTGGTTTGCGTCTTTTTTTTCTTCTTTTTCGTATGTATTTGGAGTCTTTCTCCATTGTTGCAAGTTATCTGGCAACTTTGCCTCAAGATTTGTATCAGTTGACTTAGACATTACTCCTGTACATTATGGCGAGTTTTATGTTCCTGGGCAAGAGCCAAAACATTATATGTCTATGCTATTAGAGCCATTTGGAGGATTTAGATAGTGGGGATCTGCTCTATTGACCTGTTTGTACTCTGACTTGTGTAAGGCATCCTTCTATGATAAGAATGATATAACCGGTTGTATATATCTTTTACATGGTATGAAATATAAATCATTAACATGTTTATGATTGTTTGTGTTTTTTGTGTTATTATGGAATATTGACGTTGTTCTCTTCTGTTTTAGATATGGGCATATGAGCGGATTCTGTGAATCACGTCTGAAAGAGCACCTCGAGGCCTCATACTGGATGAGACTTATCCACTAGCTCAGCAATGAGTATTTATGTTACATTTTTTTTGTATTGATTTTTATGAAAAACTAACACATTCGTATTTGCTCATAAATCGGTGGGAATGTTCGTAGAGCTTCGAGGACGTCCCAAGGAGTAATCTGCCAGGTTTTAGAGATTAGTTGATATCCCTACTTGTTGGAGGCGTAAGAATTCATAACTTTTATTCTTCTAATTATTTATTTAATTTTTTTTTGGGAAACACTTGAATGTTTCAAAGGCACTTCTGTACTAATACTTACCGGTTCTCCATTTTTCCCAGTTTCTGTGGCAACCCCATGAGAGATTCCTTTCTAGCCTCTTTGTTTGTTTGATTCTTTTTTTTTTTTTTTGTAAAAAGGGACGTGACATTTAGATGGCCAGGACGTGGATGTTTTTTCGGTCTGCTAGAGAATCTTATGAGCCGTCAAGATTGTGAGACGATTTGGGTATATGCAATCTGTTCCCCCGACCTATCATTCATAATATCAATGCATGCCGGATTGATCACGATGACAACATGTCTGGCCTACCAAATAAAAATTAGGTTGCTTACTATGAAAATGTACGCCCTCACTGGCTTTAGGGATCACTGAATGTTCCATTGGGTATGAGGGAATGCAATGTTCCTGGAAAAACATCACCTGACTACGGGATTTGGTTCCTCAACAGGACAGTTAACTGATATTTGATCCCCACCGTTACACAAGAATCAGATATGAGACTTGTGACACTTGAGAAAAATTATATGTAAATATTCTGTAGTGGCCAATTTTTATATTTCATTTATTTTTCTATTTTTAGAATTTCATTTTACTATCGCATTATACTCTTCTAATTATCCTTATTTTTTTAGAGTGAAACACTGCACAACATGGGAAAGAGTGTGTAGCAATTGAGAGAATCTCATCGTGAAAGTGGCCTACTAGACAGTGATCTCGAAGATACATTGTTCGATATCGTGGATAAAGTCCACGTTGCTTTAATCACGGGCCCATATGATACTGGGGCCCTAGAAGATACCTAAATTTTAATGAATGTTGATCTGTCTTAACCCTCACAGCATGCACCTGGTAAAAAAGCGAAGTCGGGGCGGAAGAGAAGATTGGAAGAGAAAGAAAGCAAAAAACATTGATTCTACCAGGGTCATCTCAGTCACAAAATCAGGGAATCAACAAGGAGAGCATGAGCATGAAGATGCGTGGGAATGATGAAGGGTATGTTTCTTATTGAGGTTCGCACACCCAAAACAAACCCCTGCTTCTCAACTTTGGTGGAGAGTCACAATCCCTAGACGAGATTTCACTTTTCATCACGGGAGAGCTAGGATCCTAACCCCGTCAACATGCTCCATTACTTATCTTTGGAGGGAAGATAGGCATCAAAATTTGCCAAATGAATACACCCTAGATGTTGTTCATAGGAAAGGAAAAAAAAATGGCAACATAGATACCATTTGATGCTTTTTGTTAGTATTTTTTTTTAATGTAATTTGTTGTTTTTTTTTTTGGTTAGTTTTTGTAACTTGATACTTTTTCCTTTTTGGATAGTATCTTCTGACTTCATTGTAATAAAGTTTGTGACTTTTGTTATTCGTGTTAGTTTGTTGTGTTTTATTTGTTGTTGGTGCTGTTAAAATTTGTTTGGTATTGGTTAAAATCTGTTTATTTTTTTATTTTTAGTTTTTTGATCTCTGCAGCACATCCGGATTCGGAAATTTGACTTTAACCAATTTATACAACTCTTGAATTTGGCCAATCCGAACATCATTGCAGAGCCAAATGTAATTGAGAGCATGCATTTATCAGAAAACAGTGGAGGTTCGGATTTTTTAAATCCTAATGTAAGTTAATTCGGATTTCGGTAATCCAACTCAGTCAACTATATATTCTAACAGAATTTTTTTTCCCCTACGGAAATTATTTTCTTATTTCATTACCTGAGAGTTGCGAAATCTGAAAATATACTAATTATGCTTAATAAAATTATTTCCTACACTTCTATCTATAATAACCACCATAATAACAAAAATCACTTTTCTCCTAAAAATCCAAATGTCATTATTTCTTTAAAAGTCTCTTCTCCAAATTTCCAAAAAAAAAAGCAAAAAATTCAAAAAATAAATAAAAAATCCGAATTGCAGTTTGATACACCATAAAGAACTCCTGAGAGTAGTTTGCGGTGGTCAAAAATAAAAAATAAAAGAATACTCTAATCTTCATCCAAGTGTATATCTAATTGCAGGAAAGTTTCCCCAACACCAAAGAAAAATCAATATAAACAAAAAAAAAGACGAGTTATATAATTATTTTCACTTTTTCAAAGTAGATTAGAAAACATGTAATTATTTTCTTCAATACTCTTTATAGGTACTCATTGAGGCATAATAACAAACACCCATCATGCAAACAGAGATGCACACCCTATGAACCAATGCTATCTAGCAATTATCATAGATTAAGTTGATTATAGTCATTTTGGGTTATTGGTGTACTTTTTAGAAAGTAATTTATAATATTATTGACTAAATCATTATATAATTCATAATAAAAATTTACTCTTATTAATTATATTTTAAAATATAATTAACTAAATTCATAAAAAATTTCATACATGCACGCCCTGAGAACCAATGCTATCTAACAATTATCACACATTAAGTTGATTATAGTCATTTTGGGTTATTGGTGTACTTTTTAGAAAGTAATTTATAATATTATTGACTAAATCATTATACAATACTTTTTTTTTTTCAAAAAGGGACATAATAAAAATTTACTTTTATTAATTATATTTGAAATATAATTAATTAAATTCATAAAAAAAGTCATACCCGTGCGAATGCACGGGTCAAGAACCTAATTTTAATTAACAAGAAAACTGGATTTCAGAAATTTGATTTCGTTCAGATTCAGATTTAATAAATTCGGTTGTACAGTTCTTTCGGATTTTGAGAATCCGGCAAAACTACTTTTGTCTATGGATTTCAGCAAAATACAATATAATTTTATCTAGGTCCTTTCCAAGCAAACATATTTCGATAAAAAAAAAAAAGACTCATGGGAGGTCTAGGTACACCTCGCCACATACGAAAGTAGCTCAGCCTTCCTTTTACGATTTCCTTTTTCTCTCAGGTATTCTCTGAGGAATTTCTTCGAAAAGATTATGGATAGTGTAAATTAGTCGAAGAATCAATAGATTTTGTGGGATCTTCGCATACACACAGTGTTGGTGTGGTGTGTGTTGGACATTAACACTGCCAGTGTCACATTGTAATAGAACGTACTCACAGAGACGACAATGTCATCAGATGAGGATGGAGAAAGCAGAGAAGTGGAGCTGAGTCACAAGCAAAAATTAGAAATCGCGAAATGGTTCCTCATGAATTCTCCTCCTGGCGAAATCCAATATGTCGCTAAAGGTCCTTTCAATACTCAATTCTAATTCGTATTTGATTTTTCTTTTCCTTTTTTAATTCCATTTTTTTGAGTTTTGGGTTCCACATTTTTGAAATTTTCCATGGCACTGTGTTTTGTGTTTTTGGTGGGGTCGGCCGGCCGGCAGATGTTAAGGCTGTGTTGAAAGATGAGAATGTGTATGCGGCAGCGGCGGCAGAGGCATTTCCGTTGTATAATAAATCCCACATGATTTGTCTTCAGCTCCCTGACAGAAGCGGTGATGTAAGTTTTGATAATTCTAGCTCGTTTGTTACAATTTCTTGTTTTCATTTGCGGGATTTTTGAATGCCTATGTGGAAAATGTATGTTATTGCATGGAATTTTTGAGTGTTAAAAGTTCAAATTTTTTGTTGTTGAGATTATGCAGGTGCTGATAACATCCTTTAGCGAGATTAGGGAAGATGAATATCTGGATCCTAGAACTGCCCAAGTAGCTGTGGTTGATCATGCTAAGCAAGTACGTTGCTCTTAATTTATGCATTTGGCACAATTTCGGACTGTTAGTGACATGCTTCCTCTCGTGTTTTGTACACTTCTTGATCAATTTGATAAGGAGCTTGAACATATAGAGGCCTATTGCTTATGATGCTTTTGAATGCAATTTGGAACTCCATTAGTTTTTCTTCTCTCTTCTATTTTCGTTCCTTTTCTGAAAATCTGGCTTACATAATTGACAGACCTGGCCCCAGTTTCTTTTAAACTGGAATGTAATGCATCCATAAGCTTCTCAGCACTTGTGACCTTTCACCCTTAATATTAACAACAGCAGATATAAATATTGAATGTGACAGATTTTTACATGTTTGGCTACCTACACTTGTTTGGTTAGGCCGCATGAACTCTTTGTTGTTTCTTTGCATTGCCTTTTTTTTTCCCCTTTAAAATAGGAATTGTCTTTCGGAATTCATGCATTAAGTTTTTTTCTTCTAGTTGTGCTGTTGTGGCATGTAGAGTAATAGTTTATGTTGATTCTTATTTCTCAGTTTACTTATATGAGTTGAGTTATTGCATAAATAATTACGTTTCTTATTTACACTTATGGTTAAAGATCAATAATCGATATCTTTTAAGCTTACATAGTTACAATCTCATCTTAGTTTGCTGTCCTATAGCCCAATCTCATTACTTATACGCCCTCTTCCATCTGGCAACACTTTTTCAGACTTGTGTAGAAGTTAGACCAGCAAGTGACGAAGAGCTTCCATCTGCATATGTGGAGGAGTATCGGTATGCATGGAACTAATCATTTTCTGAAGTTTCATTTATTCTTGTGAGCTAAGATAAACATGTTCAGTTGCCTGTGATTTGGCAAACCATGTGCGTATATGTGTATTTAGCAAACCGCTTTGAGTTGAATCATCAATTTACTGGGTAATGTTATCTTACTCTATACTTGAATGTTGTGCTTGTAGCTTTTTTCACCCGATTATGGCTTCATTTGTGAAATTGCTTTACCTCCTAAGTGAATTGATAAACAACTAAAACCAGAAAAGCCCGATTTCTATCACTATGTCATCTATATTTCTGGCAGTATGAGAAATGAGTTCTTTAAGATTTTAAAATAGGTGATTAGTCCAGTAAATACCCTGAAATTGTTCTATAACGTCTGCATTTTTTGAACTAGTGAATCTTGTGCTCAATTTAGAGTTCCATAGTTTTATACGTGATGAATACTTGAAGCTAGCATTGGCACTGTAAACTTATGCAATAAGATGGGCAGGGTGCGCATATGCTTTTCATTTACATACTTTCTTCGCGTGTGCTTTGCATATTTAACATAATATCCATTTTCTACATTTAGTTGCTACTGTTTTTGGGATATCACAATAGAGTTTTTCCTCTCTCTGGGGTACTGTATATGGATCATTTGTTACTGTCGCGTTGTATCAAACCCATGTTCTCATTTACAGCTACTATGTTGTGTATTTTTGCGATAGTTCTTTTACATCTTCAGCATTTTCTCATTCTCTTTTAGTTTGAGCTAAAGGTTCATTGTTTTATTTACTCCTTGTTGTTAGTTACAAAGGTCTTCCGGCTCATGTTGAAACCACCTTAATGTGTGTTTTCACCCCTTCTTGGCCTGCTCCACCTGTTCTCTTCTCTCTCTTTTTTGTTTTTTTTTGGCTAACGCATTTATTTAGCGATCCATCTGATACAGTATGCCTGCACATCTGTCTCTGCATTTCCACTTCCTGCTACCCTCATTTTCATTCGTTGTCCTTTTTTGGATGCAGACAATTATGATTTCTGGTTTTATGGTAATATTTGTACTTGTGTATGCGAAGATTTTTACCATACAATCTAGTACAATTTTAGGCAAGAAGTATATCGTGTTGCCGTCAGATGTGTTTGTTAATACCAACATGAAATATATGACAAGAATAAGAGATGAAAAATACCAACACTTTAATTCTCTGCACATGATATTTATGCTTAATCCATAATTCTTTGGAGGATACTCTGCTTCTTACTATGTATTGAATTCAGCTTCTGGTCTTCTTGCTCTCAGGGCCGCTCTGGATGCTGAAACTAGCAAGTATGTGAGTGAAGCGTATCCAAAGGGTGTTTGTTCAGTTTACGCTACCAGTGGAAAATATGTGGAAGAACCAGGATCTGACTTTGAACTGGTCGTGGTAATTTTGGCTTCCAGACATAGCCCTCAAAATTTCTGGTGTGTCAGTTGCTCTCTGAACTCTCTGAATAATTACTGTTAAAATAGTTTGAGAAACTAATGCTAATGGTGAAATCGGTTCCTGAATTACTTGCAAGTCTCATTGCGTGCAAATTCAAAATCCGCATCAAGAACTTATTGTCACAACTTTTTTGTAAGCCTTAGTGATGAATCTATCTTCAGTACTTATGTACTTACTTTTTGGTATCAACTTGCTATGGCTGAGCCTCTCTTTCCGAATAGATTGAAATTGAAGAAACTATCATTAGATTTATCAGATTGTCAATATGCTCCATGTCATCTTCGAATTTTTTGGCATAGTTTAGGGAGGAAGAGGGGATGTTGAGTGCTTGGGATTGAGTTCTTCACTTATTTGTTTTTATTTTTTTCCGACTCCTACAGTTGTCATCTTTTCCAGCAATTTGAAAAATTTTAGGTACGTTTTTTGAGGTGGCCATGTTTGGGGGTTTTTATGCTAGAGATGCTCAATAGTTTTGTCATCATGGATTTGAATATGCTTATTTGTACGGAGTATACATTTGATCTAGAGAGCTGTCCCTGATCTGTCTACCCAATTATATCTTCATGTTAGACTTCCTGTTGCTGAAACGATAGAGCAACTTACAAAAGTAGTTTGTTAGAGATGAAAGGGAGTCCTGAAGTAGTTTGATTGAAGCTCTCTGCCCATCACTAATCTGTTGACATCTAACATTTGTTTTGGTTTGTAAAGTAAATTTGCATAAGTTTTAGGCTGGAATTTTTTGTTCAGCATTCCGTCTATCTGTAAAGGTCAGCTAACCTTAGCACTTCTATATTTTATGGGACTCTGGAACATTGCCCATTAGCAGGGATGATGAACAGACATCCTATGTGACATTATGCCTAGATTAATCTTGTAAGGGGCATCTATTTTCCAAAAGGTACAAAATCTTCAAAACAAAAATTGAGAAATGTTTTAAGATATGATACTGTAATTATTTAATGCCATTCTTGAATATGCAGCAGGCTCCATCTTTAGGCAGATTTTATCTATGTGTTTTTCACCTACAACTCTAATAGTATTGTTTTTGTTCTATCACATAAGTCATCACTGAGAAATTTTTTTGTTGGAGAATTATTATCTGATAATCAGGAAATTCGCAGAATTGGAGAAAAATTTCTGGTTTGGGGTTGGGGTGGGGTTGTGTTGGTTGTTGTGGGCTGCGCGGACTTTGCTCTTAATAACTATTTTGGTTATATGTTTCTGTTGCTTAAGTATAAAGGTCTTCTTATGATATGCACCTTATTTATTGCAAAATCATGTCACATGCCGACTATGGTGCCTTGTATTCAGATATGCATGTTTTTCTGGGGCCTGAGTTAGAATACAGAAAATGATTCAAAACTTTAGGAATTGTGATATTCTTTTGGATGGGAAACTGGTTCACACTTGAAATAGCTTGATGCTTTTTGTGTGGATTTGCAGTGTCAAAATTGGCGATTGCTGTTTTCTGCCCATTGCTGCTCTTTTATGATGATTTCATAATAGGTGTTTAATTCTTGCTTGTTCCCATTGGCTAATGTTACTGAATTTTTTGTGACAGCAATGGAAGTTGGCAGTCAATATGGAATGTTGTATTTAAGGATGAGCTGCATATCGTCGAACTGCGAGGCAAACTGCAGGTAAGGTTTACATGTTCTTTTACACCATCATTGCCCTTCTCTAGAGTCTAGTCACTGTTTTCTTCTGTGTACGTTCCTGAGTGTTCAACCTTAGGAACTCATGGGCAATCAACATCTTATATTCCTCTTTCCCTGTGAAGGTAGGGGCTCATTATTTTGAAGAGGGAAATGTCCAGTTAGACGGGAAACATGAATGCAAAGATTCTACTGTATTTCAGGTGAGAAAAAACTATGAATTCTACTGCTTCAGAAGTTCTATACTGTATGTTTTGGTTCTTTGAGTATGAATGATAATGTTGAGTGCCTTTGCTGGAGAAATGTCGTTAGTTTTCTTTTTAAATATCCTATTGATTTTCTCTTCCCATTACTCATAAAATAGAAACATTCAGTCGGCTCTGGAGTCAATTAGTTAGAATTTAGATGTGTATACAAGTGTAATAATTGGATTTGTTTGGTCCTGGACAACTGACTGTCACCTCTGATCAAAGTTTTAATAGTTCTCAAAAACTGTATGATTAACATTAGATGGCGGTAGCACATGACACTAACTCCTATGATGACTTTTTCAAAAAAAAAAAAAAAAAGAGAACTCCTATGATGATGTGACAAGCATTTTGTTTGGTCCTTTTGATTAAAAATGATCTGTGTAATGCACTGTCACGCCACCCATATGAGGTGGCCTTGTGGGGCTCAATGACTACAAATTGCTTCTCCGTTGGATGAAGTTATCAGGGGCATGGATGTATGACTTGAAATAATTGAAATATCTGTTGTCCTCTGCTTTCCTGAGAAGTAAAGGCATGATCCAATTTTGTGAGGTATTGGAATATATGAATGACACGACCAATCGACAATAGTTGCTTGCAACATTTTGAAAATCTTCTCTGAAGTATATGTTTATCTTTTCAGTCCCCAGATGATTGTGCAGTTTCTGTGGTAAATATGATTCGCCATCATGAAACAGAGTACCTCACTTCTCTCCAGGTTTGTTACTTCTCCAAGTTCTTGGTCCTCCGCGATTGGTTTTGACCTTTTGGGTTCATCACTGATATTCTGTTCATTGGCAGACATCCTATTCAAATCTTTCTGATACCACCTTCAAGGTAAACTTATATCAACTTGTTGCTTGTTAGGTTTAGAGTTTACTGGACTGTTGTTCCAAGTGTCACTTGGAGCCTTAGGTTTCTCGTGTTTGTTACTCCCTCTGTCCCAAATTACTGTCCAGTTTGAATTTTCATTTTTAGTTCAATTTGTACAAAAACTGAAAATTGAAACTGGACAATAATTTTGGGACGAAAGGAGTATTTGTAAAGCTCCATATTGACTTTCTGTTCCTTCCCTGATTCAGGACCTTCGAAGGAAGCTTCCTGTTACTCGGACGCTATTCCCGTGGCATAACACTATGCAGTTCAACTTAACAAGAGATATCTCTAAAGAACTTGGCATTGGAAAATAGACCCAGAGTTCGCTCCTATTATGCAAATTTTTTTTTCCGTATCATTTTTCTTTTGAAATAGCTATGATGCAATTTTGAGTTGTGCTTTAATCCTATAGAGCCTTGTTCATATGTAAATCCAAAAATATTATTTTATTCAAAACATAATCACATTTCAAAAATGTTATTTTATTTGAAAAATATTCATACATTTCAAATTTATATGCAAGCCACTTTTTAAAATACATTTCAAGTAGAAAACAAAAACAAAATCAAAAGATGTCCGTACAGGTCTATATATAGGTGCAATGCGGAGTTTCTTTTTGGGAAGAAGGGAGTATAGAGTAGAAGAATAGAACCATAATTTTGGTAAGCGCGAGAAGACGAAAAAACTCACTAGGGAGGGTGTCGTCATTCATACGCCATAATGGGTGTCAGCCAACCAGTGCGGTGTTGATACCGCGAATATGGCGTCAGCTTCCACGGAGCAATTGGTCTTTTATATTCTTAAATTAAACTTTTTATGTTTTCCCGCACTCCTTTTTCAGATTTCTTATCAAAGGGGTCCCTCCACATCAAAAGAGCTCTACATAAGTGCCATTTGGTATTATAATGAAGATCATTATACATACACCAAGCGGATTGCAGTGCATATGATTTGTTTTTTATTTTATTTTTTTTGGGTTTTGTGATTTGTGTAGACGGTTTCAAGTTCTGATGTTCATTTAGTTATATTCTTAAAAATTTGATACAATGGAATTAGGGGTTAGGGGAGCGTACTTTGTGAGATTGAATGGCAAAGATAGAATTTAAAATTCGGCGAGAATAGTAGTAGTAAAAATAATAAATCTGAAACTGCAAAATGAAATGAAAAATCAAGTAAGATATCAGCTGAAATGATAATAAGAAACAAAAAGTGACTTGTGAAATTTTTTTTTGAAATTTCTCCGTAAAATCATTGTTTAGTTTGGATTTTCAGTTTCAGTTTCAGTATATTTTAAATTAAAATTAAAAATTTAAATTATATAATTATTTTGGAACAGTATAATTTAGGAATTAACAAACAAATGGGGCCGGTCCCAGGAGAAATATGAGTGCATCTCATATTCATCATAGTTTTTCTTAGAAAAATTGAAAAAAAAAAAACAAAACAAAAAATAAAAAGCCACACACACACACACAAAAGTTCCATCATGATAGATGCCAGTGGCATGCTTTCTTGTATTATAAAGTGGGCCGAGGGGGAAAAAGGCGGTGGGTGGTGGTGGTGGCCGGGTTTGATTGACAAAACAAACCTACCCAAAAATGCTATCGATGCTCCGCTGCTTCTATACTTCCTCCACACACGGTCACACACCCGCCAATGAATTGTTGTAAAACTAAAAACACCACCCCAGATACCATACTTCTCCACCACCTTTTTCTCCGCATTTCTTTCTTCTTCTTCTTCTTCTTATTATTATTCCCCTATCATTATCATGTGGGTCGTTGCGATTCCGACGTAGGTCTGGGTTACCGGGTCACGTTAGCAATACCTCCGGCTTACAGCCCTGGGTTCGTCGGCCGGGCTTACCTAATGGAAACTGATGATGATGACCGGCAAAACCCCGGTCAGCCCATCTTCAGAACTGCTCTTACTGTCCTGGCCCAAGCCCAACAGGACGATGACGATGATGAGTATTCTTGTTCACTGGATCTTTTTCTTGGGAATGTTAAAGTATGGAGCTCCGCTCATTTCTCCAGATTCTACACCTCCGATAAATGCACTTTGGAGTTAACTCAGCTCGGGGACTTGGTGTTGAAAGGTCTCGACGACCGAGTTGGTTGGCGGTCCGGTACCGCCGGTCAGGGCGTGCAGGTAATTATACATCACTTTAATCCACTTTTCCCTTTTCTCTTATTTAGTTTTGCTCTTCACACTTTATCCATCCTTCTTTTAGCCCACCTCCTAGCTTGCCCCTCATTTTGAACTTTATTTTATTTGCGTTAGATAAAAAAATATATGGTATACTCCTTTTTTCTCTCAAAAAATTATTAAATTTTATTGATTGAATAAACCATAAAACTTGATATGGACTATTTTCTTATAATGAGTAATAAGTATTTTCGCTCTTAAAATTATTGGCTAATTTGAATTTCAATTTTAGTACAATTTGAAATAAAAAATAAAAATTCAAACCGGACAATAATTTTGAGACGATAAAGTAATTAAATGACAAGGAGACTCTAAAAAGTTCCAATTCCAATCTATATTCCATTTCATAAACTGTATACACTATTCATACATTTTTGTTGGCCCGGGCAGTGCTGGTTGACTGCTTGGCCACGATATACACTAAAAATGAACTGAGGGTAAATTAGCCTACCTTAAATTGATGTCTAAAATAAAAAATTCATGTCCGACAGACATGAATGATTTAATGATTTAATTATAGTGGGAATCCATATTGGGAATGATTTAATTATAGCGTTTCTATGTATATATATGTACAGAGACTGCACTTGCTGAGGTCGGGAAATCTAGTTTTAGTTGATTCCCAGAACTCCATCAAATGGCAAACCTTCAATTTTCCGACAGACATCATGCTATGGGGACAAAGGCTAAGTTCCAGAACTCGTCTAACCTCCTTCATCATCACCACAACCACCAACAATAGCGATAACAAAAACAACTCCTCCGGTGGCGCCAATCCCATGTTCTACACTTTCGAAGTTCAATACGATAAGATTGTATTATTCTTGAATCACGGCAAGATGAAATACTCTTACTGGGAATTCAGGCCGCCTTCTGGCGAGCACAACATCACCTACGTCGAGTTGACATCCACTGCCCTCGAAATCTACAACGGAAACTTCCAAAAAGTGGCTCAGATTTCAACTTCTCCCTCTCAATCCCAACAACAGCTAAACAGCCCCCTTAGGTTCCTTGCCCTGGAGAATGCCACGGGAAATCTAGGGCTTTACTACTACTCAACTCGGGAATCCGGATTCCAAGCTTCGTTCCAGGCGCTGAACACCACGTGTGATCTTCCCTTGGCCTGCGACCCTTATGGAATTTGTACTTTGTCACAAACGTGCTCGTGTATCAACCTGGTCACCAGGACAGCTGTCGAACCAGGATGGCGACGAACGGGTGGCGGCTCTTCCTGTGGTGGAGTAGGATTGTTGTCATCGGACAGTGGCGGCAATAATATCGATGATCAGGCTGCGGAAATGGTGGAGTTGCGAGGCGTGACAAGTGTACTGAAAGGCGCGCTGGTGGAAGTAGATGGTAGCAAAGCGAGATGTGAGAATTTTTGCCTGAAGAATAACACTTGTGTCGCAGCTTTGTACACAACATCATCATCATCAGATGAAGGAAGAGCTGGTTGTTACGTTTACGGATTAGTGAGAGGGATTAAACAGGTGGATTCAGGAAGATCAAACGCATTGATGATGGGCGGAAGTGGTACAACTTACATGATTAAGGTAAGTAAAGGGACGGGGTCTGAAGAAGCCCAACATCAGCATTCGGGTTTGAAGAGATGGGTGGTCATTGTGATTGGAGTTGGGGATGGCTTACTTATATTCGTCGTTGTTGGAGGGATTGGATACTATTTCATTTATTACAGGCCAAGAACAACCAGTAATTAACACACACATTTTAGTACAATCACACAGTCACATCACTCTGTGTGTCCTTCAAATTTTGTTTATTATTTTGATAAAGTTTTTAATCCAATTACTAACTCAGTTAATTTGCAAATGTTAATTTGGGGTATCTCTTTTTTTCTAAAGTTAATCTGCAAACGTAAATGCATATTCATCTATATATCTTATTAAAACAATAGTTCAAGAGAAAAAAAGGTTTACGATTTGCGCTCTCATGCATCTGTTTCTCGCCCAACCAAAACAACGTCGTTTTGTCAAAAAAAAAAAAAAACTAATTTTAATTTGCCTCCACCTAATTACACTAAAACTTTCCATCTCTTTATAAGAAAAAAATATGATTAATTTTCTTTTTGATACTCCAAAAATTAATGAAATCTTTGACCAAATAAAAAATATAAAACAATCAGAATCATACCATTAATATGCATTAATTATGAATGATCTCTTAATCAACAATGAAGTTAGTTTATTGAAACAAAAATCATTCCTCCATAATTTCTGATATTTTGTAAAAATTTCCATTTTTCTTATGTTCAAACTAAATCATTGTAATATCCATCTTATTACAAAAACGTTGAAATCTAAAAGGTAAAATTACGAAAAAAAATTCAAATATAACATTCTTCTTGTATTTAAGCTTAAAGAAATTTAAATTATAATAATATTAATACCACTTAGTTTTCACACCATCTTTTTTTTTATTTCATTTTTTCTGTTCACTTATTCTTTGTATCATCTCTTTTTCTTTAGATTTTATTTCATAATCAACCATAATCGAATACGTAGTATTTTCTTTATAACTAATAATCATTTTAATATACTCCGTGGAACGCATGGGAAAGAACCTAGTTTTTATTGATAAATTTTGCTCGTACGTAGGACAAAGATTGTGAATGTTAATACAGTATAATTACTTGAAGCATAGTTATTTTTGATGACGTTAGTAAGAAGTCAAAAGTTTAACCTCCATAAAATTATCTTTGCTTGGGTTAAAACTAAATTCACGTCCTTTACAAAGATATGAAAATAAAAGAGAAACAAAGGTGTCCCCCCTTAATTTGGGAACAACTACTTACGCACTACGGCACTAATTCACTAGAGCAAAACCCTATTCCTAATTAAAATTGATCAAAATTTCAAAACTTGATTAATCCCTATCACGATCTCGTGATGGTAAATTATTCAAGCACAATGTCAAACTGATTAAGACGCCTGCAAGAATCTAGATGATGAGCGACGGATAGTATCTGGCTGGAAATCCTCACGTCGGGTCTATTGAGAAGGCGACCGTCAATTTGATGTAGTAGGTAAAGGATTACTAATAGGTAAGTATATTTAGGAGATTCCTATTTTATTTGTTATAGGCTCAAAAATTCCTTCGAATTTCGAAGTCCATTTTTTCTAAATTTATGTCTCTATTTCCTATGTACTGGAATAGTTTCCCTGTTTTTAATATTTTTTTCTTCTTTTATTTTCCTTGTGGCTAGTTATGAGACTGGAATTATATTGTAGTGTTTGATCGATTCATATCTTCCCGTCTTTGGTCGACCACACAACCCCCAACACCCCCGCCCCGGCTCTAGATCTTCTATACGCACTTGTTTGACATGTTTGTGATACCATCTAAAATGATGGTAACTGTCTTGTAATTTGGGAGTAACACATAACCAAATTAAAGTCTGGTTAATTCATCTGCGTAACTATTTACCTCAATATAATACTAGTAAAAGCAAATCTTAATTCTTCTGAAAAAAACCCTCCCATCGTACACTTCGACCACTTTCCTCCCGCAAATGTCGTCGCTCCTCCGTTCTCCTTCCCATCAAATGACAAATATTCCGGCTAAATTGGCAAATAACAATTTGCTATATTAGGTCAAAAGATTAAATTTATAAGCTTCATTATCACCAGGCCATCATCCACCAAAAAAAAACTAATGAATTACACACCACATATCATTGATTTTCCTTTTCTCTCACCGAAGGAGTGGGCGACCTTCAAAGTTTCATACCACAACAGTTCCATCTCTTATTTCTTTTAGGGATAAAAACTATTGTTTTTTAAACACTCGAGTACTCCACTTTTTAAAACTTAATAAAACTCCAATCATCTACATGATCCGCTTCCGTGGATAGGATTTCTGGGAGCTCCCAGAACGTAGTCTAATTTTGAATTTCTTCTACGTCATCAAAATGTGCTCTAATACAAATATCAAAAGTTAATTTAGACTATTTTACAGGATAGAAATACTAGTGCAAAAAACTTATTCAAAGGTTCGGGTAGTAATTATTTCCGAAACCATATTCGCTCTGGGAAAAAAAAGAAAACCCACTCTAACCTGCTTCATTTAAAGTAATTTTCAGTGTAACACATTTGTAAAAGAGATTATCATCACATTAAAGAAGCAGGGATTTTACTTCGATTATAGGAAATGGTCAAATTATTTCATACCCAGAAATCCTAACGCCGTTTGGTAGTTGAAGTTTTTCAAGTTGAAAGCTTTATGTGCATCTCATGAACGCAAATTCATTTTAATTAATCCTTTTTCTTTTTTTTTCTAATTTCCTTTTTTTTGTTGCTTTCATGATTTTGTATTTTTTGTATTGATTGTGTCACATTGTAACACGATTAATTAACATGTAATTTACGCACTAAACATATGATACCCAAAAAGAAAAAGAAAAAAAATTGATGCAAGGATATCATTTTAGTTTTCTGAACCCTTTATGTTTGAAGGTAGGAACGCGGCATTCCATCGGTATTTACTTATTGGTACAATACATCTAATTGGATAATTGAAACCTAGAAAATTGTCGAACTAACTTTTTTTTAAAAAAAAACAAAAAATTTCATACCAACAGGATGTAATCGCCTAGTTATTAAGGAATTTGCCTCCTTCATTGTAAAAAAAAAAAAAAAAAAATCAAAAAAGATAGTACACAAATGAAAGTAAGCTCCATTTTGGACTAATATATTAGAAGAAAAAAAAAAGAAAAAAAAAAGAACAACACTAATCAAAGTATCAAAAAACCCCGGATAAAGTACTACCCCAACTTGATGTTGAGGTTATCTCAAACAATGAAAGTCCAATTTTTCTCGAGCATAGACCCTTTTTGATCTTCGAACTTTTCTACAACGTCTTTTTTTCAACATTGAACTTCTTCAACTTGTATAATCAAAGAATCCATTTTCGATCTATAATTTATTTATTTTTTTACATATTTATCGGGTCTGGTCAAATTGTAGGTGTTTTGATGAGTTTAATTTTCTAACGAAACTGCATTACATAATAAAGGGAGTATTGAATTCTTTTTAAAATATAGTGTTTTTGTATTATTTCGAACTCGTTTAGGCTGTCTATCTAGTAGTAATTTGCACGAATTAAGAACGTACGCATAATTTGTGTCACGTGCAGTGCATATTTATTTTCAGTAACAGAACCATATTTGCGATTTCGACCCTACAATCATATATCTTCAAAAGATATCGATCTTTATAAGGTTTTGATACTCAGAAAAAAAAAAACGATTATCATGTTTAATTATCTTCTGCACAGTTTGGTCTTTTGTTTAGAACTAACTTAGCTTGAACATAGCAACCTAGGAGAGTTGCGTACGTAGTACATACTGGGACAAAAAATATTTTGGGCAAAGAATATTTATATTTAAGTGTTGTTTGGAGTTTGCATCCCAAATTTGAGCTACTTAATTTTGTTAGGCAGTGAGATCAAGACATGAGCAATCTAGGTTACCAGTTACTGGAAACTGTGAAAAATTAATTTAAGCATTGTGGAATACATATTAATGCATTTGATGGATGCAATGTGTGACACTAATTCATTGAATGCACGGTGTATAATTTTATGAAGTAAAAAATGATGCCAAAATTTCTTGTTTTACCCAACTATTGCACCAACCTAAAACTAGCACTTGTAAGGATGTAAATATGTCAAAGAAAAAAAAAAAATCTGGTTCAACAATCATGATAATTTTAAGACAGATTGAGAGTAAAAGAGTTAGAAAGAAGATGAATGTAATGCTAATAACAATCTCTTAATTCATTTATTTGGTCTCAATTAATTATATAATTGTATGTTATTCCCTCCATTTTAAAATGTAGGTCATTTTAGGTTTGGAGAGATTTTTCAAAATGTAAGTCGTTTTACAAATTCTAGGCAAATTAATGACTATTTTTCTAACTTTACCTTCAATAAATGATACTAATCTATTTTTATTTAGTCTTGTTTATAGTTTCAATGTAATTAATGAGGGGTAAAAAAGATATGTAACACATAAATTAATTATTGGATGATTGTCTCTTTAGTTTACATGTCAAGTCTAAAAAGACTTACATTTTGAAATGGAAGGAGTATTATTTAATAAGGTCTATATATCTAGAAGCATTATTGCCTGTATTTCTTGTTCAGAACAGGCAATGCTTTTCGTGAAGGTTTCAAACTTCAGCTCTTTTCCGGAAAAAGACCAAAACCCTTTTCCTTAGGAATTCGATTCTCTTGCGTTGTCCCGATAAATTAATCTTTTGTTCTGAGTTTTCCGGAAGACTTCCTTGTCCTCTACTTCCCATATGGATGACTGATCGATATAAATATCTCCTTCGTCATTCATGACTAGCTAGCTAGTAGCTATACGTTCTGCAGTACGTATACTGAGCCATATTGATGATATTGGAGAAAACCTAGTTCTTGATTAAGCAAAATTTTCCCATTTCCGACAAGATTTAAACCTTAACTCAAACTAATAATTACTTGCTGATGTCAAAGTTTAGCCCTTCTTTAAGAATCCGCTAGCAAAAAGACGAATGCCTAAAATTTTATAATGATATCCGGATATATAAAATACAGTAATTAACTTGGTCGATGATTTTCACAAACGAAATCTATATATGATCATTTTTGGAGTAGGGGTAGTAGCTAGTACGACAAAATAAAAATAAATCCAGACATGAGTAGACCTGACCACGGTTCTGGTTTGAACGGGAACCGAACCGGAAGTTCTGATTCTAAACCGTAACCGTTATTTATGGTTATAATAACCATAATCATAACCATTTCTTTTGGTTCGATTCAGATTCTCTATTTTTAAGAATCATAACCGAACCCGCATATTAAAAATAATTACTAAATAGTAAAAATTAACTAAATAATTAAGAAATATATAAAATCACTCATTAATCCTTTAAATATTTTGCATTTTTACATTGATGATACTAGCCATCTATAGTTGATACCATTTCAAAAATATCCTAAGATTCAAAATTTAGACTATTCCTTATATATATTTTCAAAAAAAAAATAAAAATCCATAGTTTCACTAATTAATTTGAATTTACCAATGAATGTAATCATCACCAATTCTTGATAGCTTCCATGTGTGGGACATCATGCTAACCAAGTGTAGTGGAAAGTTGACAAAAATAAGATGAGATTTAAAATTTTGAATGTTTCTCATTTATTTTTAAAAAGTAAATTTTTAATTGAAATTGACAAGTTTTTAATTTTTTTTTGAAAAAGTACATTTTGAGTGATAGTTTTCAAAAGTGAATGTAATATTCTTTTTCAATGCTCCAATTTATCATGCATTTTGTTGTATAGAAATTAGGAATAATATAAAATAAATCATCTTTCGATTTGAAGTGCTTTTGCTTTAATTTTCTTTATGAAATTTGTTTAAAATATTATTTTAATTATTAATTAAAACCTAAATAGAACCAAAAGTGCAAATAAAACTGTAATTATAATCGAAACTAAAATTGGAACCACAACCGAAATGGAAACCGAAACCTAAACCAGAACTAAAATTGTTCTTGATTAAATCGATAACTAAAATTTATAAATTAATATATGCGAGAGCATTTTTGATGACCAAAAACTCACACGGATCAAGGCGTACGTACATAGTACAACAATTCAGGTGATTTTACACTCATCAAAATTAAGTGAGAATTAGGTGATTTGATTTGTTGAGATTAACAATGTATGATTGGATAGAGAATACTGTCGGGTGCCAGATTTTACTCAACACACATAATTAGTGCTTAACTTAATTTAGTTCATTGCCAGGAGATTAGCCTACAAACCTCGTTGAAATAATTGAGCGATGTAACATGCATTCACTCACTCATTTTCTTACATCAAAATCTCAAACACTTTCCATACCACACTTTTGGATAGTCTTTCCTTTCACCCTCTCTCTATATATATAGCCCCCATTCCCAAAAATGAGCTCACTTCCTCATTCACATAAAGAGTGAGAAGACTAATGCAAAAGTGAAACAAAAAAAAAAAGAAAGAAAAACAAAAGAAAGAAAGAAAAGGAGGAGAAGAAGAAAGAAATGGCAACAACACCAGGAATTCTCACTGACTGGCCATGGACGCCACTGGGGAGGTTCAAGGTACCTCCTTTTCTTCCCCTTGGATTATTTTCCAGATTTTGTTGAAAATTGATCTTATTTCCCTCAGATTCGTTAAACATCTCTACCCAAAAGATTTAACACGTAGTCATGTTGTTGTTGTCACCTATTTTATACCCTTAATTATGCTTCTTGAATAAAAATAGGAAAGAAAGAAAGAAATGGTTAGCTGTTTTTTAGATGAACTGATTTGCCTTCTCCTATTTAAAAGGGTTCTTCACTTTTTATTTCATTTTCCTCCTTCAAGCCTTGTACAAAGAAGAAGACGAAAATAATCTCTTCACTTCTTTTTTCCTTACTCATTAGCCTTCCTTTTCGTCACTCTTCATGCTCTTTGACATCGATCACGGAAAAAAAAGGTTCGCAAAAAATCATTTTGTACCATTTAGAGAAGTTAAGGCCCTTTATGGTTCTTGCAATTTCAGGTTGGCACTTGGTGTTGAAACTCAGCTTTTAAACACAAGTTTTACATTTTTTTAAGACTAAATTCAAAACTTAATTAAACGCATAATTTCTATAGACATACAAAACCATACCATGTTTAACACTCCTTTGTTCTAAGAAGTAGTTTAACAAAATAAACTTTTCAATCTTGTAAAACGGGTTAATGGTATATTGCAAGGATGGTAAAAAAAAAAAGAAAAAAAAAAGAGTGGATTTCTATAATTGTGTGAACTTGTTGTTGATGAACTTTTTGGTGATGATGGGCAATAATTTGGTTTTATCTTTTGGTACATAAATATTTGTCAAAGTACGTGGTGTTGGCGCCATGGGTGGTTCACAGCATTTACTCCTACGTTACCAAAGAGGAAAGCCAGAGGGACCTTACAAATTTGCTCATCCTGCCATTTCTATTATCAAGGGTGATTCATAACCAGATCTGGATCAGCTATTCACGTTACAGGACTGCTAATGGCAAGAACCGAATTGTTGACAAAACCATTGAATTCGATCAAGTTGATAGAGAAAGCAATTGGTAACGTACCACTTTTACCTACCTAGCTTCTTTCTTTTTTTTTTTGAAATAGTTACTTTTGTACTTCCATATAATTAATTTCACTCTCTATTCATTTTTCTTCTTGTCGTACTATTAAATTAATTGTGCTATACCCTTTTGGTGTTATATGATCTGCTGCGCATGCAAAGGTTGCCATGCACACTTTTTCCCCAATGATCATTAGAAATGTTATTGTAAATTTATATTTCTTACTCCATTGATGATGTAAAGATTTGACTTCCATAAGTGTTAGTATAAAATTTTGTTGAGCACTATTAATTTTTGACTGTCCATTTTGGCTTATTCTATGATACAATTAAAGATTGCTACCTATATTATGATGAACAGGGATGACCAAATAATACTGACCGGAATCCTATTCTACGTGTTCAACATGTCACTGGAAAGAGCTACCCGGCTGCCGTGGTGGAGGACCGACGGCGTGATCATGACGGTATTGCTCCACGTCGGACCGGTGGAATTCCTCTACTATTGGCTGCACAGAGCGTTGCACCACCATTTCCTCTACTCCCGCTACCACTCCCACCACCACTCCTCCATCGTCCCCGAGCCCATCACATGTAACAAACAAAATCGAGCTTAATTAATTAAGTAATTACCTCTAATTAATTTATTTAATTAACTTGATCTAACTTAAATTTTTTCTCTTTTTGGAAAAATTTTTGTAATGGGCAGCTGTGATTCATCCATTTGCGGAGCACATTTCTTATTTCTTGCTGTTTGCAATACCGACGGTAACGACGGTTTTGCTCGAAACGGCGTCGATGACGGCGTTAGTTGGGTACATCACTTTCATTGACCTAATGAACAACATGGGTCACTGCAATTTCGAGTTCATTCCCAACAAACTCTTCTCCGTTTTCCCACCCCTCAAGTACCTCATGTACACCCCTTCGTAAGTGCCATTCATTTTTTCATTTTTTTTTTCCTGAAATGGTATTTTTCATGTTGTTTTCCAACAAATTTATAATTACGTACATCTTATAAAAATGCGATGAGACAAAATACCACTGTTTAATACAATCTGTGTCACATCGCGAAAATAAATTAAACGCGAATATTCTATCTTGATGATTTTATTCATGCAGGTATCATTCTTTACATCACACACAATTTCGGACGAATTACTCCTTGTTCATGCCAATTTATGACTACATTTACGGTACAATGGACAAATTTACCGATTCATTGTACGAAACTGCACTGAAAAGACAAGAAGATGTAGCCGATGTGGTACATTTGACCCATCTTACCACCCCGGAATCAATCTACCACATTCGACTTGGATTAGCTAATGTTGCTTCCAAACCTCAAAATAATTCCACCTGGTACATTTGGTTAATGTGGCCAGTTAGCATTTGGTCAATGATCGTCAACTCTGTTTATGGGTCTACATTTATCATGGAGAGGAATGCTTTTGAGAAGCTCAAATTGCAAACATGGGCGATTCCAAGGTACAATCTGCAGGTGAGAATGATTAAGAATTAGGTTCCTAAACTCAATCTTCAAATTAGTTTTTTTTTTAAAAAAAAATTATTTTTCCTTAATGATTTGCTTAACTTTTTTGGTCAGTACTTCCTGAAGTGGCAATCAGAAGCTATTAATGGCCTAATTGAGAAGGCAATCTTAGATGCTGAGCAAAAAGGAACAAGGGTTTTGAGTCTTGGTCTTCTTAACCAGGCAAGTTAATTGGACCAAATAAATTTAATAATTAAATTCTTTTCTTATACCATGGTATTATACTTCAATTTTATTTTTTTTGTCAATATTACAGAGGACTGAACTTAATCAAAATGGGGAATTATTTGTGCAAAAATATCCCAAGCTGAAAGTGAGGTTGGTTGATGGAAGTAGCTTGGCAGTTGCGATTGTAGTCAATAGTATTCCTAAAGGAACAACAAGCGTCCTTCTCAAAGGCAATCTCAACAAAGTTGCCAATTCCATTGCTTTGATTTTGTGGCAAAGGGGCATCCAGGTGAAATTTCTTACTTAAAGTCTATCCTATCAATATATATGAAAAGATAAACTATTAAAACCAATTTTGTGATTAACGATTTTTCAATCAACTTTGACGAATGACAGGTGAATGTAGCATCTGAATATGACTACGAGAAGCTTAGGTTGACTTCACCTTCCGAATGCAACAACTTAGTATTCTCCAAGAGTTCTGTTCACAAGGTAGGACTTTTATTTTTTCCCCATAAAAAGTTGATGAATATGTGAATGTGACAGTGGGAATTAATTTACAAAAAAACTCGATGTGGTAGATATGGGTGGTTGGAGATGGACTAAAAGAAGAAGATCAATTGAAGGCACTAAAAGGGACAGTTTTCATTCCATTTGGGAAATTCCCTCCAAAGCAGGTCCGCCATGATTTCTCCTACATGCACACTCCCGCAATGCTGGCTCCCTCATCCCTTCAAAACCTCGATTCCTGCGAGGTAACTATACAACTAATTAGTATGTAACTCCATTATAATTTTCGCCATTGATTTTCTTATTCTCCAGAGAAAAATGACTGACTTTTGTTGCCTTTTGGTGCAAATTATATTGAAAGAATTGGTTGCCGCGAAGGGCGTTAAGCGCAGCTCGGGTTGCCGGGATTGTGCACGCTGTTGAAGGATGGAATGTGGACGAATGTGGCGAAAAGATGTTCGATGTTGACAGGGTCTGGGAAGCAAGCCTTAACCATGGCTTTCGGCCTTTGGCCTACCCCAACTTCGCCTAGTTTTAGTACCTAAGTGTGTGTGTTTTTGTCTTGGGGACGAATTAATAAGCTATGAAGAAGCCCCTTTCGGACCTTTTTATGTCAGAAGATTTTAGTGCCTCATTCGAAACCTATTTCAGATTCTCATGATCGTGTATGCTTCGATGAAAGGCACATATGCTCCATTCTCGAAATCTATAAGACTATTAACCAATTATTGTTTGTCTACAGTAATAATTTAAGTAGTTTATTGTTCGATGTATTCATTGGGTGCTCTCTATGTTAGAATTGTAGTGAATTTATTGTGCAATAGGGTATTGCCAAATAGATTCAGCAGCTCATGGCGTTACAAAATCTCGTAAACGCATGTTCTTTAAAGTCTAATATAATACACATTGCCAAAGAGATTCGAACATTTTTGTTCCCTTCTCAAATTTCAGTTGTTTTTTTTTTTTTTTTTGTTTAATTTAATGAAATGAACTGTCAGTCTGTCAGAACAGGGGATCTCTGTTTGTTGGTTTTCCATTCCTTCAAAGATTTTTCCAACAAAACCACCACAGACATGGATTTTCCAACTTCCTTGCTTATCTTCTTTCTGACTTGGATGTGGTAGAGTCTCGGCGGGTGGCGACTTCATGTTCTGATCGTCATGATCCTTTTGATCTTGAAGATAAAAAGTTTTGATTAGGACACACACAGTTTGGTTCAAGAATCTTCTCAGAACCCTTTGGCCTTACCTCTTCTTTCTAGCAGAAAGTTGGGCAATGATGCAAGTCTCTAAGGGTTTTTTTTTTTTTTTTGGGTACATTTACAGCACGATCCTGCGCATATGGACTAATATGGTGGTATTCACATACTTAGTAGATTTGATCGAGAAAGAAATCAACTGGCGACCTCTGATAAAAGAACATGAGTCTTCCTTCCATGCTTAGCCATTCACAAAATGCACATAACTCGGGTTAAAACTATTGTAGAACAGAATCAAATAGTAATGCCGTCAAAACATATATTCAGAAAGGAGGTAATCGCAGAGAACGTTGCAGCGAAAACATGGATTTAGGAAGACGCAAATGGCTCTTAGCATAGGGAATGCATTTATGTGCATTGTAGGATGATAGGTTCAGTGCCGAAATTGGACTCCAAGGCGGTCCTCCAAGTCTTCTGACCATATTCCTTTCGATATCATACACAAACAATCCCCTCTCATCACAATCCAACCACAGTTCTCCGTTATGAATCTGCACCAGCGTCACATATGCTGCACATTTTTCCAACACAAATATTGGCTTCTCCGCCAGGCATACATCAAGCCTCCATTTTAGACCCCAGCAACAGTATGCATAGTCCTCCAAAATCCATATATCAATCAATCCCAGATGGGAATTCAAATTGCAAAGGGCTAACTGCTCATCCTTCACCAGCAGATTCATCGTTTCATGACCCTTCTTTTGGTTTGTATCCCTGCACGAACGCGACCCAATGCAAGAAACCGTTACAAACAGCAGGGGTCGGTTTGCTTATGGCAGGCCAATAGGTTGGCGCCATCACTATCCTTTTCCAATCATCTTCTCCCAGAGTGTAAATATAGTAATGCCGGACTGTGCAATCATCACTTCCGACCTGAGCATAAAGAACCTTAAACTTATTTATCCTGGAATGGTAAAAGAAGCCACATATAAAACCTGGACAGGACAATACATCCTGACATGTTCTCCTGTTAACGGATTCAGAAAGTAACAACGCTTTCGTCCTGTAAACAGAAGAAATCCTTCACAGGACGATGCGAGATATATATTTTTTTCATGGGCTGCTGATCCTTTCCCGAGTCTTAATCTCTTGATCTTCAATGCCTTAGAACTAGGGGGATGATCATAAAGGAAAAACGCCTTTCCCTCTTCTCTCAACCAGCCATAAAACATTCACACTCATGCAAATGACAGGAGAGACTCTTTGTAACCATAATCTGACAAAACTTGCTGATTTAACACTAGACAATGATCTCCAATGTCTACTGACCTTCTGGCATCTCAGCAAAGATTCTGCAGGCACTCTGCTTAATATGTCTATCAAAACATCATCTGGAAAATGTACACTACTACTATTTCCTAGCTTCTGATCAATATCTGAGTATGAGAATTCAATGGGAGGAAGTAACAAGCAAAATATATCCCACATCACCTGAGGAGCATATCTGCTACAAACACACACTCACCAGTGTAAGAATGCTAATGTTAAATCTTTTTTTTTTCGATGGCAAAAAATCCATCTTATTTCTTTGTTAAGTTTCATTACCAAATACTACAAAGTTTGCAGTTAACAAGTAAATTTCGAAACAATACAAGCTCAACAGATGCATTTTATCAGGGGAAAAATTATAAGTATCACAATGATTTTGACATACTTCTCCAAAAAAAAAAAAAAAAAACCAAAATGTCCAAGCAAACTTTCTTAAACGCTATACTAGATCTAAATAACGAGATAGCCAATTTTCCCAAAATGAGAATTTCAACCAATATCAATAGCAGCTATCACATATACATCGAATATCATAGATGACAAAATTTTTTAATACAAATTTCAAATTTTAATATAAACTATTTTCATTTTTGAAACAGAAATAGTATTGTAATATCTGTTTGGTTAATTTTGTCCGGTGTTTGATTCTTTAATTTTACTATCAAAGATACAAATTACTAAGACGGGCACGAGTTTTATTTATTTATAAATGAATATAATTATCCCTAACAATTGGCATTACATATTTTCATCTCCTACTAACTTTAATCTCAAAACCGTACCATGGGCATCAATAATAGGTTTTTCTTTTTCTTTTTTTTTTTTAATCAAAATGGCATGTATATAACATTTGCAGGCTACACGCCAATCATTCGTGAGTATGTTACTCCTACAATATCGTGGTTTTACCACCAAAATACGCCTGGTGAGGGGGAGGGAGGAGGGGGAATCCATCCTTGTTAGACCACATGGATTCACCTCCACCAGCGATGCCAGATAATCGGCGATAAAATTACTTTCTCTAAAAACATGAGTTAACCTAACCGACCAACATTTATCCATCAGCTCCTAGATTGCTCCCAGAAGACCATAGTGCGCGCACAGTGGTCTCTCCTTGTCAAGAATAATTTGCACAATACTCAGGTTGTCCACTTCTACTTCTATTCTTCTAAAACCTTTATCCCATGCCAGAGAGAGGCCATGAAACAGTCCCCGAAGTTCAGCTCCTGTTATAGTGCAATACCCTATGTTCACACAAATCCCCCACACCACCTTCCTTGGTTATCCCTTATACTCCACCTGCTGCCATTCACCGCCCCATCTGAATTCATCTTCATCCATCCATCAGGGGGGTTCCATCGTACCATTACCTCCTGTTTACGTCTTGCAGGGGCCCCCATGGCGTTCCTATAGTTCTCCCCATCCCTGATCTCCTTCTTCTTCTGGACAATTTCCCATATTTTCCTATTAATTGGCGTGGTTTCACCTGCAAACACCGCTGCATTTCTTCACTTCCAAAGCTTCCATACAGTAATTCCAAACAGAATCGGCCAATCTCCATCAAGTCTAGCTATGTTTGGAGATTCTCGATCATTGAATCCAGCACCGGAGTTGAGAAGAATTGATATAAAAGATTCTCGGGAACTAACCTCAACCATACCTTCCTAGCTGCTGGGCAATTTCTCACAGCATGAATTGCATCCTCCTGTAGAGCTCCACATATCTAGCATGCTTCATCCTCTATCAAGTGCCGGCGGCTTCGTTCAACATTCGTCAGGAGTCGTTCCTTTGCTAATAGCCATGGGAATGTTCTTATTCTTTGCTGGCCCTCCAAACTCCATACATACTTCCAAATGATCTCCCTGTATGTGTGAGATTGGTTCTGCAACGTCCAATACGCTGTCCTGGCCGAGAAGCATCCTGGGGTGGTGAATCTCCATATTAAAACGTCCTCCCCCAGCACCGGATTTGGAGTTAAGGCAGCCGCAATCTGCAGTAGTGTTGAGGCTGTGAGTCGATAAGCAAACATGTTCCATTTCCCAAGCCCCCATTCATCAACAAATTGGTTTACTGTCAGATGAAGTTCTGCTTGGGGATTTCGGTCAAGGCTTTGGTATGAAGAGGTGGTAACCCTACAACCCATTGATCAAGCCAAAACTTGGCTATAGCCCTATTATTCACGGCCCATCTACATCCTTCCTTCACTTGGGCCCATCACTTCTTAATTCCCTTGTAACATGGTGTGGCATTGGGCTTATCAGGGAGCACTGACCCATTTTCGAATTTGATACCATATTTTGCCTTTATCACTTTCACCCACAGGGCCTGATCATCACTTTCACCCACAAGAATCGTGATTGTGTAGCCCTTAAAGAACATTAGAGACATAAAATCCATAACCAAAATAGGTACATAAATATTTGAAACCTATGATATTTCCTTTTGATGTAAAAATTATATGGGTTTCTCTCATTCTTTTTGTTGTTGAAGTCATATTTATCTCATGTGATAATTATCCCGTATGTGAATATTATAATATTTATCATTAGTTAGTCAGTTAGTCAGGGTTTATCTCTTTCTCACAATTGTATTATATATAGATGTATCATCTCTGTAATCAGTCAATCAATGATAAACATTTCCCTTCATATACTCTCTATTTCTTTAACTCTCTTGAATCATGAATAGAAATATAATTAGAGTTTATGCAGAAGACACCTATTAAAAAAAGTTAGCACTGACGAAGAAGAATGATGTGAATGTGGGTGTGTATTTATGTTCAGGAACAAGATAAAAAAAAGGTCATTTATTGAATAAAAAAGGTTCAAACTGATTAAATAATTGAAGTAATGACTAAATAAGTGTCATATCTTTCTGAACAATTATCATCTGTATAATGTCCATAATAAAAAATTTACCAACTTGAAAATGTGAAAAAAAAAATAATTATAGTAATCCTTCACTAAATTAATTGGCTGGGACCATCAAAATTCACTAACACAAAGACTTATTAGATAATCGATAAGCTAATAAATTATTAATTTAAAATAATTTCTTAAAATAAATAAAAACTCCTAACTAGATAATATAATTTTCGATCATCTTTACCATCCGTATCTAAACTACACCTTTTCTCAACACTAAACTCATACATAGCTTATATCATCTTTAGGGACTAAAAAATAAGTATCAATAAGTTTATTTTTATTTTAAATTAAGGTAATCATTAATTTATGGTATTTTCAGAACATATAAATGTATAGATAATTTTTTGAAATATTATTATCTCATTGTTTTATTAATTTTGCACACATTTTGTACTAGTTTAAAGTTGGACGACAGAAAAGGAAAGCTTAGATTTTGAATAAAATTTAAAAAATTAAATTTTATGAAAAAGGAATATAAGTTTCAAGTTTTTTATAATAAGTATTTCTCATAACAATAAAATAAATCCTAATAACTTCATATATGAGATTAAAATTTAAATTCGGCCAAACGCAGAGTACTATCTATGTAGTTTAGTCCTTTTTTTTTTTTTTTTGTGTGTGTGTGTGTGTATAATATAAGGTGGAAAAAAAAGGAATAAACGTGTTTACTGCGCTATAAAACCCTTATTGTAGTGTTTCCGTCAAACAGTTCAAAACCCTCTCACTTTGTTCTTCTCCAAAAACACGATCTGGGTTCGAGCTTCTGACTCCTCCTCCTCTTCCCGGAAGAAGAATAACCCTGCCCAGGTACAAATTCCTTCAACCCCTGTAAAAATCCATCTTCTTCAAGTTTCTCTTTGCGATCGCGAAGTTTATATCTTCACAATGTTGTTGTTCTGACGCTCTTAAAATTAGAAACTTTGACTCTAAAAGCTTCTTTTGAAATTGTATTCGGTTTTTGAATCACCCTAAATTGTTAGTAAAGGAATTCATGGTTTTGAGGTTTCTCTGAGGTTTTAATTTGTTCGTCTTTTGTATTGTTTTGCAGGTTTTAGTTCTCTGGGTTTTTGGCATCTTAATAATGGTACGTTTGTGTTTTTATTGTAGAATTAGTTTTTATGAGAAGACCCTTTCAATTATGGTATTAGGTTTTTAAAAGGTTGTCTGATTTTCCCTTTCACTGCTTTTCTTTTCAGCTGCCGCTTTCTTTGCTAAAGACTGCTCAAGGGCATCCCATGGTAAGAACTATAGCCCCTCCCTCTGTCCCTTTTTTGATGTTTTGTTCCAAAGTATGTGTAAATATGGAGTAATTTGTGAGAACGCAATAACTATATGCTACTGAGTAGGTATGCTGTAACTGTCTTGCGGTGCTGTTGTGTAATTTAAGTTATTCTGGTGCATATATGCTGTTATAGTTTTCTGGACTACTCATCCCTTGCTTGTATCTTATAATTGTTCTATGTTGTTACAGTTAGTGGAGCTGAAGAATGGAGAAACTTACAATGGTCACCTTGTGAACTGCGATACTTGGATGAATATCCATCTTCGTGAAGTAATCTGTACCTCAAAGGTGAGATTTTGTAGTTCTGATGCATTTGTCCTTCTTTTCTCCCCCAAATGTCGCAGACTCTGTAAAAAGTGGATAACCCAATTTAACTACAGGATGGAGATAGATTTTGGAGAATGCCAGAATGCTATATCCGTGGTAACACTATCAAGTACCTACGAGTTCCTGATGAGGTATGCTCACTTCATGATATTAGTATCCTTTGCTTCTCGTTATTTTTTTTTCCTGCTGTAGAATTACATCATGATGTAGCATTCCTACTGTTCGTCTATTTTGAATCATTAAGATTTTGATAACTTGATCAGCTAAAGTTAAATGTTTGATATGGTGTTCGAAATTTCAGAACTTGACACAATAATGTCTAGGTTACTGTCATGATGGCACTTGAAAGTCTATTTATGTAATTTGATGCTTTGGGCTATCAGAATATCACAGCTTGAGTTCGAATTAATTTTTCAAGAAATCCACAAATCAAATGAATTGTATTTTACTGATCATAGAATGAATATGGGTTGAATTAATTCCCTACTGTTTAGAGTCATTTTTGGCTGTGTGGGTCTATTACTGTACGATTTCACAAACTATGTATGTCAGACACTGTTTCTTGGTTCACTCCTTCATTCTCCCTCTCTCTCCCTGCCAATAGTCCTTCTCTTGCGTTTGTGTCTCTGGAATGATGAACTTTAGCCAAATCAGACATTGATGTGCTCCTTAAGGTGTTTCTTAAAGTTTTGCCAACTGTCATTTTGGAGGCAATTCATAATCCTGCTTCCATGTGGTTGTCTACCTTTAACTGGTGCACCTTTTGTGGAAGCGCGTGCATCTGATGACAAACTATAGAGATCGGTTGCTTCCTGACCAGAGACTGTTCTGTGTAATTTTTTTAGATGTCTAGTTTCGAATTTAGTCCTAACCGTGCTATTCTAGCTAATTGTTGGACTAACATAGGTGTATATTATCTGCCCTTTGTAAGTTACCACTTCCTTTTTATGTACTATGCAGAAGGTATATTCAAGTTAAGAGGAATTTTTATCACGTCGGGTATTATTTATTGTAACACTTAATTGCTAGGGTGTGGTATGACACTGTTTCTTGACCAGTCATATCTACCAAATGGAAAATGAAATTTTATGGACAAGCACCTGAAAAATGTAGGTTGCAGACCAGTTTAGATATTGAAAGTCATGTTGCAAAGTTATTCAACACAGCTTTCCTTTTCCCAGTGGGTTTTTGGCATCTGTACATTTAGGCTCACATTTCAAATTTTTTGATATGTATTGTCTCGCTGTTAAAGAGTTTTGTGAATTTACTTTGGTATGAAACTAATGTGGAGACTTGTTTATTTCTTTTTCTTCAAGGCCTTATGCCTCTTTTTCAGTGGTCTGGATACTGATGTTCTTTTTATGTTTTATTTTATGCTCGTTTCTTTTTACATTTGTTCAGGTCTTTGGGTGTTGATGGTAACTCTTTTGGAATTTGTTTTTCAGGTGATAGATAAAGTTCAAGAAGACACAAAGAGTCGCTCAGGTATGGATTTGCTAGATTTTGAATCAAGCTATTTGCATGCATATTTATTGCTGATTATCTGTTTATCTGACATAGCTACGATGCCAGCCATTTATACTCATTTCTATTTTATGTCTAGTTGCATGCCATCTCCCAGTAATTTGGCGCTTGAAGTTCGTTTACTCTTTAATTTGCTATCAAGAAAATGTTCATGATGTGGGATTCCCATGTAGGAATGTATTTGTCCCTTAGACTGATGTCATGTGTTATGGCACCTTCTAGATTATCTCAAAACAACTAACTTCCCCTTTTTCTAATAAAACCTGGCTATCAGTTTTAAGTTTACGGATGTGCAAGTAATTTGTTTTGACCAATGTCTGGAATTTTTTGATTAGGGAAGATGTTGAGGCATTTGATTAGTTCAGCGAGTACTGGAAAAAGTATTAGCCAGTTATAGATGCTTTACTTGTTTGACAGCTGAGAGTTTTATTTTCATTTTTCATCCTTTGACCATATCTGTATAGTCTGATGGATTTGGTTCACGAAGCAAATTTATAATTTAGAGCTTGGCATCTCTAATAGAGGCTATCTTTTTAATGTTTGCAGATAGAAAACCACCAGGGGTTGGACGTGGAAGAGGAAGAGGTAGGGATGAGGGTCCTGCTGGGAGACAGGGAAAAGGTATTGGGCGTGGTGTTGACGACGGAGCTGCCAAAGGTGGAGGCCGGGGCAGGGGAGGACCTGCTGGGAAGCCAAGTGGCAGTAAAGGTATGAATTATCAGCCATCTGTGTATTTAACATGTTGGCCACAAGTAGTTTAAGCCTGGAATGCTCAAATCGGAGCCATCGTCGGTCATTTGTAAATCATGTCTTGCTATCCGTGATGGTAAATATGAGAGCAATCAACTGGAATTCTGTTTATTTACATACCTAATTTTCTTGAATCTTTTTTTGGCAGCCGGGGGACGTGGACGTGGCTTGTAATTCAATAGGTGGAGGGAAAAAGTATCTGGGACCTGAGTTGCCGGATTTTACATGGCATGTTATCTGTGTTTTAAGGTACAGTGCTTACGCTTAGAAGAATGGAATGGAGGTGTATTTTTAACGCGAATGGTTGCCTCCAACCAAATAGCAGGATTTCAACTTTGCTAGTAGTTCTCCTTTGTTTCTGAGAATGAACGAATGAACAAATGTAATTATCACCATGTTACCTTGAATTTGTTGTCTGAATTCATTGCCGAGGTTTATAACCAATTCTTCAATTATCATTGTGCTTAACGTCTTTTGCAACACTCGGGGTGTTGGGTGTTGACTGCAACAATTGTTTTGCTGCTAATCTTAATATTGAAGATATCGACGACAGAGCTGAACTGTTCGGCTGTTCCCTATTTGACAGTGCAGAATCTGCAGATTGCTCTCGCATTTGCATCATTATTGTTCATTTTGGAACTGTAAAGAAATGATGAATTAGAAAAGAGAATCTCGAATAATCATGTAGGGGTGTCAATTTCCAACACGACAACACTATTTACAGAGACAATCTGATACGATACGATATGACTGACTCGATTTGAGTTTTTATTACATTTTTGCTCCAAAAAATCTTATAAATCTATTGGAATAGATAACATGAAATTGACCTAATAACTCGAATTGACACCAAACAATTAGGAATACAGATACCTCTTTCACAAGAAAAGTTTTCCACCCAAACCACAAAATGGAAGATCATTCTTCTTACAAAATAACAAAAAGTTCTTTTCAACTAAAGAATTGTGAATATTTTCTTTTCCTTCTTTTCTTGAGCCCGCCGGGTTGGGAAAAATGTAAGCCGTGTCGCTACATAATTTGATCTCCACTTTGTCATAAGATTTACATTCTTGAACCAAATAACCAATATCATTTGTCATCATTCTGCAAGAGATAAACCTCTCCTCCCATCCTCGATCATCAGCTGATTATAAAACTCAATTTGCCATTTGCCTGAGGGACGAGACAAATAAATAAACAACTTGTGAATAATAAATCCAACATATAAACAGCAACAGGTGATGAAAGTAATACTAAAATATATACTCCACTAGTAAAAAACGGAATTTTTCCAACATCCAAGACTTATAGTTTCTGGCAATTCCTGTTGATAAACGCAACCAAACAAAAAAGTATGGTCCGACGTGCCAACTTCCCTCGTGATTACATGGGACAAAATTCATTTTCTGCATGGAATTAGCCATTTTTAATTCTTTTTACTTCAGCTGACATTACAGGGGAAGAGGGCCTGGAAAGCTAGCTAAAATGGCAGATTCTAAACAAGACATCAGTCTTCAACAGCAGAATGATGTTGACATTGAAGCTCACAAATCATTGACAAAAGCTGAGGAATATGAACTAGTTGAGGAGGAGAAGAAGAAGAACCCTCAGGGGAAGGCTAAAACTAAGAGGGTGGCTTCATTGGATATTTTCAGAGGCCTAACTGTTGCGGTCAGTTGCTATTATAAGTTTGAATCTTGTTCTTTTTCATTTCTGATTCTTGATTTGTAATGAACCTTATTTCCTCCATACCACTGGCTGTCTGGCTATAAATCTTCATGGAAAGTTTCACAGTTGAAAAAGGTACAGAATTTGCAGCTACTCTTTTGGCAGAAAATCAATCAAGTGTTCATTTTGACATGATAATAAGTAATAAGCTTTCTAATGTGAACAAACACTAAAAAGGGTGTGATGGAAGTTGAGAAAAATTGTTGGTATTTCTTAAATCAATAGTTAACTCTAGGGTTGAGGCGGAGTTTTCTTGCTGCTGTGGAAGAGAGTCTAGTATTGTTCTAGGTTTCATAGTAATGTTTAGTACCTCGTTGGCTCGTCAGATTCATACAACCTTGTCACCTTAGGCTTAATTAAGTCAAGGAAGACAACTCGAATCCTGATTCTGTCTGTAGCTGAATGAAATGCATGTCGTCTATTATTCAATGACTACATCCGTGTTCTTTTGAAAAAAAAACTCATCTAGCCGTGAACTGAATTTCCTTCAAAATGATTGATAGTTTTTCGAATGCATCATCAGCTTAGTTGTATGTAGGAACTTTTACTGCTTAAGATTTTTCTAAGTAAGCAATTTGCGTCAGGACAGTTGATGGTACTGGTTGATGATGCTGGAGGAGAATGGCCTGTGATTACGCATGCCCCATGGAATGGCTGCAATCTTGCTGATTTTGTGATGCCATTCTTCCTGTTTATTGTGGGAGTGGCGATTGCGCTTGCTCTCAAGGTTGGCTTTTGGTCCTTTATTCAGTCTAAAGCCAGTTAAGACTTGAGATTATTGAAAGCTAATACTACTGTTTTCTACATAGAGAATACCAAGCAGTTTAGTTGCTGTCAGAAAGGTGATTTTCAGAACTATCAAACTTATCTTTTGGGGTCTTCTTTTGCAAGGTTAGCTTTTTGGTTTCATTGATGAATTTTCTACGAAAATATCTTCTTCTGTTTGCCGTTCTTAGTGAGGGTATATTGGTGCAACCAGCGTTCGGAAAAATTGATAAAAACCAATCTCAAAATCAAGGGTGAAAACAATGGAAGTTTAAATGATTTTTCCAAGTGACAGGAACAAATTAAAGAGGAGTTTAACTAACTAAAGCTTCATTTAATTATGTAGGGGGCTACTCTCATGCACCTGATAACCTAACTTATGGGGTTGATATGAAAAAGATAAGGTGGTTTGGCATACTTCAGGTATCCTAGACTATATTTTCCAGTTATAGAAATGGATGGACTCTCATTTTTGGATCTATATGTTACATTCTGAGACAAATTCCTTGCTAATATCCAGAGGATTGCTCTTGCTTATCTGGTAGTGGCATTGCTAGAAATTTCAACAAGAAAAACTCGACCTGAAGGTCTTCCACATCAGTGGTTCTCTATATTCAAGATCTATATGTGGCACTGGTTCGTAATGATATCTTTTTGTGACAGGATTATAACATTCAAAGATATTTGCTAACAATGATATGGTTTTCAGGGTTTTGGGAGCATGTGTCCTAATAATTTACTTGGCTGTGTTATATGGAACATATGTTCCAGATTGGCAGTTCACTGTCCACAATGAAGCTAGCACAGAATTTGGAAAACTGTTAACTGTACGTATGTTCTTACTTTCGCACACAAAATTAGTTTGTACAAATTTCCAAGATAACAACTTCAGTCCACTAGTTTGTAGTTAGTTATACATAGCTGCTGCTGTTACATCAATAATCCTTCAAGGGATTCATAAATCACTTTTCTTCAATTAACTGAATAATGACATATAATTGAAGTCAGCTACTCCTGAAGTATTGCTTCAAAACCTTGACATGTCCATGGAAGTCTTCAGCTTACAAATGCTAAGATTCTTCATTCCAAATTTTTTTCCCCAGGCTATGCATCTTTTAATTGTTTGATTTCAGGTAAAATGCAATGTCAGAGGGAAATTGGACCCCCCTTGCAACGCAGTGGGCTATGTTGACAGAACAGTGCTTGGAATTAATCACATTTATCAACGTCCAGCTTGGAAGAGATCCAAGGAATATAGTTTTCTTCTTAACTAAGTCATAATTGAATTGTATCACAGCGTCCCTTGTTTTTCCAATAGTATTTATTTACTCACTTTTATTACATGATTTCTGCAGGCTTGCACTTATAGTTCTCCTGGTGCAGGACCTTTTCGGAGTGATGCTCCAACCTGGTGCTTGGCACCCTTTGAACCTGAAGGAATTTTGAGGTGGGTTGTGTTCTATCATGAGTACAAAACTTCTGCAGAACCTCGGGCTTTTGACTTTATTGGCATCAAATAAGTAGTCTGAAACACAAATGACAAAGTGTCTAGCAGTGAATAGGTGCTCTTTTTGCAATGTCCATATTCCTCTTTGGAATACTTCATTTCTTTTATTTTTGCCCAAATAACTGGGAGAGAACTTCAAACACCTTCCTTTCTGGTGCAGTTCAATTTCAGCTATCCTCTCTACAGTTATTGGAGTTCATTTTGGACATGTTCTTATACATATAAAGGTTTGGTCTATGCATCTCTTTTTTTTTTGGAATTTTGGGTAAGAAAAAAGGATATTACAAATTGAGAATGTTGAGAATGATATGCAAGATACATTCAACTTGATAAATGTAATGGATTCACTAGAAAGAAATTGAGTATTTGTGTTTTGCCAGTGCATGATATTTACATAATTTGTATTGCGACCAATGATGGGATGGGATAAAGGCTCTGTTGTTCTTAGATTTACCTAACATAGTGCTCAAGAATTATAATCCCTGACCATTCCAGGATCATTCATCTCGTCTGTCACATTGGGTTGCCATGGGTTTGGCTCTTCTGGCATTAGGAATCATTCTTCATTTTACAGATGGTAGGCTTTTTCTCAGTTGCAAAAGTAACTCATTGACTGGGAAACATGCAATTCAATTTTAATCTCCTTATGGCTGCCATTCTGCTCTTAACTAAATTTACTACAATCTGCACTATGATATACTGCATTGTCAAGATAAATGCTTTCTTTTCCTCGTTTCAAATCTCAGTTATCTCTTTTACAGCAACTAGTCCTAACACCATCATCTTTCATTGCAGCTATTCCCTTAAACAAGCAACTGTATACTTTCAGCTATGTTTGTGTAACAGCTGGAGCAGCAGCTCTAGTGTTCTCAGCATGCTATGTTCTGGTACCGGACTTTTACAGACATTTAGTCTATCTTCCAAGCATGACTTATTCATTTCTGTTTCTTATAACACCGTTACAACTTGTGTGTAATTTGAGTGCGTTCTTTGGTTTTATAAGTCTTCATTCTTGATCTGAGTACTTCAATGCCAGGTTGACATTTGGAATTTGAGGTTTCTGTTTTTGCCTCTAGAATGGATTGGGATGAATGCTATGTTTGTGTATGTCATGGCGGCAGGGGGCATTTTTGCAGGGTTTATTAACGGGTGGTACTATGAAGATCCTCATAACACATTGGTATAGTACTTAGTTCAACTTCAACTGTTACCTTGAAACTACTCTTATCAATCATTAGTTATGATGCTAGAGTAGGTTCACCAACGGGACATTATTTTACGATGCACAACAAGAGGAATGGAACAACAAAAATGATCCTATCCATAAAGTTTGCAGCCAATGTTTGCTTTATAAGTTTATTGGCCTGTCTTTACATCTCATGTAAAAAGGCACATATATGCATTTCAGTTGCGCTTCCAATGCCTAACTTTGAACATGAATTGAACTGAACATAGTCAAAAAGCATTTCAACTTTGCTACCTAAATGTGGAATAGTCTTGTTAAGCAACATTACTAACCTTCTTTCATAAGAAGTTAGACATTTCTAATCAGAGTTCAGAGGTTTCGAATAAGTTTCAATCATTCTTCAAGTTGCCATGAACTTGAAACAGCTTCATTACATCAGTTTCTAACTGACTGCGTCTACCATTGACCATTGTGCAGGTGCACTGGATCCAGAAGCACATATTCGTAGATGTTTGGCATTCAAGGAGAGTTGGCATTCTACTGTATGTAATTTTCGCAGAAATATTTTTCTGGGGCATCATTGCTGGCATTTTGCACTGGATGGGCATTTATTGGAAGCTTTAGCCTCTTTTGCTTCAGTTCTACCATCATAAATGTAATAAGCAGTGATCATGAATCCCTAACAAACTCCACATTATAAATCGATACTTAGTTTTATATTAGTTATATTCAACGAATTCATATGATATAAGTATTTCATTACCGGAGATTGATTATGATATGGTGTAAGCATTTTTTTTTTTTTTTAAGAGTTCTTCTGCCTCCTAACTCAAGAAAGCATCCCTTTCAAAAAAAAAAAAAAAACTCAAGAAAGCATATTAGGAATTAGTAACTGATTCCTCAAAAAGAATTCACTGGCACAGGTCAATTGCATTGGACCAAAAGTGATATTTTAATGAAATTGTTTGGACCCAAAAGTGTGAACCAAAATAATCTTTGGACCAAAAGTGAAAATAAGAAATATTTTAGGGGCCAAATTCGAGATCTCCTATTTAATACCTTTCTTCTGAAAGAAGTCGGGCAAAAGCCTACAAATAAATCCCTCCCAATTTTGGCTGAGTTATTTTTTCGCTCAGTCAGTTCATCAATCAATCGAACAAAATCCGGCGACCGATAATGGCAACTCCGATGGCAGAAGACAGCAATTTCGAAGAAGATCAGCTACTTTCGATGTCCACGGAAGATATTGTTCGGGCTTCTCGCCTTCTCGACAATGAGATTAGGATTATCAAGGTTTGTGTTTTTAACCTCTGCCCTGTGCTTAATTCTTCGCGTTGGAAGGATTGGATTTGATTTTTTCAGTTGGTGAAGTTTTTTCCTTTGTGGGTTTTTGTCGGATACTTTTTAATTTGCTATTGAGGGTTTACTCTGTTGTGTCCCAGGAAGAATTGCAGAGGACAAATCTGGAATTGGATTCATTCAAAGAGAAGATAAAAGAAAATCAGGAGAAGATTAAGCTCAACAAGCAGCTTCCTTACTTGGTCGGCAACATAGTTGAGGTAATTTTTACATTCTTAGGGTTTTTTTGGTTAGGTGTATTAAAATTTACTTTTCGGTGCAATTCCTTATTTTGTGCATCTTTTATTTTGGATTCTTAACGTAAGACTGTATCAGAGGCATGTTTTGTTCGTGTTGGTGTAGACTGCTGTTTGTTTGGAATACTCGAAAGTTTTGGCTGTTGAAAGTATAGATGATTCTTAGCAAAGTTCTAAACTGTGTAAATGTTTTAGTTGGGATTTAATAGGGCTAATATACTGAGTGCTTTGTCACAGTAATCCTAGTTTGTTTTTCTTAATTTTCTTTTGAGCGAAAGTCCCTTTCGAAGTTTCCATGTCTGGATGTAAGTTTGAAACTGTGGCTAGTTTGGTAGTATAACAAGAAAGAGTGCAACTTCATTACATGAGGGGTTTTACCAACAGCTAGAAGATAAGAACAGTTACTTGCAATTTGACTAACATACTTGAAACACTACTACTGGCCGAGTTTTGAAGCTATTGTTAGGTGGTTTCTCCTTGTCACAGAATGACAAATTTCGGGTGGTTGTGGTATGTCTTAGTTTTGTGGATGGCTTCACAATTGGTAGGAGTCCATCTTGAAGTACTTGGCTGATGCAGTTTGGTTCCATCTCATCAATAGAGTGAGATGCCAGTTAGATTTTGTTTCATGTTGGATTGGTATAAAATCTTTACCACCCTGAGGATCTAAAACTAAGTATTGATTTCAGTATAGATAAAATTTCTGGGCAACTTTATGTCGTGGATTCTAGAGACCCTTGGTTTCCTGCTTGAATCGATTGACATTGCCGTTCCAAATTCTCAAGAGGGTCTAATATTATGATTTTGCTTGGATTAGCGTTGATTGAATATGATGTCTCTCAGATTTTTTGGCTTGTGTAATTGTCTGGTTTTCTATTGAACTTGATGGTTGTGATTGAAGTCCTTCCCCATGCATATGATGTGATTTGTGGAAGGTATGTTGCTGTTTGGCTATCTTAAAGGATTTGTTTTATATTTACAGATTCTGGAGATGAACCCAGAGGAAGAGGCTGAGGAAGATGGTGCAAATATTGACCTTGACTCACAGCGGAAAGGAAAGTGTGTTGTATTGAAAACATCTACGAGACAGGTGTGTGGGCTTATTACCTTTTAAGATTATTTGAGTTTGAAGATCTTATAAGCTATATTTTAACTTCAAATGATTTCCACTGTCATTTCCCTGAATATCTTGCGTATGTTGTGTTTTTAAATTGCAGACGATCTTCCTGCCTGTTGTTGGCCTTGTTGACCCTGATAAATTGAAGCCTGGTGATTTGGTTGGTGTGAATAAAGATAGTTACTTGATATTGGATACTTTGCCATCTGAGTATGATTCTCGAGTCAAGGCTATGGAAGTTGATGAGAAACCTACTGAAGATTATAATGATATTGGTGGCCTTGAGAAACAGGCAAGCTCTCCCCCCTTTTTCGTTGCATATTTTGCTGCTAAATTCTATATGATTTGACCTTATGAATCTTGCGCTACATATGGATTTTTAAGTTTTGTTATTAAAACACACTATAATTCTGTAGATCCAAGAGCTTGTTGAGGCAATTGTTCTGCCAATGACCCACAAGGAGCGGTTTCAGAAGTTGGGAATTCGGCCGCCCAAAGGAGTACTTTTGTATGGACCTCCAGGAACAGGCAAGACTTTGATGGCTCGTGCATGTGCTGCTCAAACAAATGCCACTTTCCTCAAGTTAGCTGGCCCCCAGCTTGTTCAGGTACTTGGTCAGGGATTTTCCCGCTTTGTGAATTCCTGTTGTGTTATTGTTGTATAATTCGTGATGTCAATATTGTAGAGGATATGCTGTTTAGCATAATGTTATTCTGTTTATAACTTTATATGCTATATGCGTAGCTTTGATGAAAGATGATACAATTTGCACTTGCTCCCTAAATTTCTGTCTGCATTCCTCTCCTCGGAGATGTTTCTATTGAAAACTTTCCTCAGAATAATTTGGGAATGATTATTGTTTTGCAATTAGTGTGCAGCGGTGCTTACCTGGAATAATAGCCAATTTACTCGCTGTGACAAAAAGTCGTTTTTATTCAGAGCTCCTAGCTTTAATGTCCTCTCCAATTAATCAGTGTTTACTTAGAAATCTAACTTGCAGAGACAAAAGGTCATGCATGTATTATACAGAGATAAAAATTGTGTGGCTTAACCAACTAAGGGTTTGTGGCCCTTAGGTATCTAGAACCCAACAATCTTCCCTTGTGCACCTTTTGACCTTGTAGGGGAATCATTTATGTCTTTTCTGTTGTGCTCTGGGTTTGGTTTCATTTGCCCTGGCAAGAAAATCTCTGTTTTCTTCTGCTTTATATGATTCTGCTACAGTATCATAATTTGGTGATCAGATCTGAAGCATTTAAGCCTACTGCGTTTATCTAATTAGTATCTTATGATATAGATGTTCATTGGAGATGGAGCAAAACTTGTCCGTGATGCCTTCCAGCTCGCGAAAGAAAAATCTCCTTGCATAATCTTTATTGACGAGATTGATGCTATTGGCACGAAGCGGTTTGATAGGTATTCACTACTCCTGTCACTCTTCTCAATTTCATGCAAACAAAAAGTTTTATGTTGGTTGGTTGTATTGAAATGGTTCTGCTGTAAGGGTTCTAGATTCATTTGAAAGAAACAGTACATATAGTGAATAATTGGAATGTTTCTGCTGATAACCTGTGTTTTTTTTTTCCAGTGAAGTTAGTGGAGATAGGGAGGTCCAAAGGACTATGTTGGAGCTGCTTAACCAGCTTGATGGTTTCAGTAGTGATGAACGGATAAAGGTCTCTTTCAGTTTTTCTTTATATTCCCATGGTATTCTACTTTTAATTTAATTCTTCGCCAGATGATGCAATCTCTTTATGTAGATGTTCAGTTACTTTTGGGTTAATGATTTTTACCTAATTCAGTAAGTCAAATTCCTGTGAGTCATTGTCGACTTGTAAAGGTTATTGCTAGTCTGTCTTGGTACAGGTTCTGATTATATTTTCCCTTTTACAGGTCATAGCTGCAACCAATAGGGCGGACATATTGGACCCTGCATTGATGAGATCGGGTCGGCTTGATCGTAAGATTGAGTTTCCTCATCCTACTGAGGAGGCTAGAGCTCGAATCTTGCAGGTGCACCTTAGATGCTACTTTAAATATTCACCATTCGTTATCTTTTAGTAACTATCTAAAGATTTACTGGGATAATTTTGCAGATCCACTCAAGGAAGATGAACGTTAACCATGATGTGAACTTTGATGAGCTAGCTAGGTCCACAGAGGATTTCAACGGGGCGCAATTAAAAGCTGTTTGTGTCGAAGCTGGAATGTTAGCGCTCAGGCGTGATGCTACTGAGGTCTCTCTCTCCCCCAACGAGATTCTGTTCCATGTTACCAAATTGTTACATCTATAGAGTCAAATGTCGCCACATTTACTTGCATGAGAATAACTCATTAAGAAGCTAAAATCAAGAATTTGGACTTTGTGTAGCCTTGAGTTCTTTTGGTGAAATCTTTATGCAATCTCAGAGATTGATTTAATTTTGCAGGTGAACCACGAAGATTTCAATGAAGGTATCATCCAAGTTCAAGCGAAGAAGAAAGCCAGCTTAAATTATTATGCCTAGATGTCATCTGTTTGAAGTTCATTTTCAAGGAGTTATTCTAGGGACAAGAAAGGCATTTGTTTGAAGTTTAGCCATTGAACACAAAGTTCCTTCTTGTATTATCATCAGTGATGCACTTTTGTTTTGTACGTAAATTGATATTTTGAATGGGCAAGAAAATGGAAGATCTAGTCGTACTCTCTCTTTTATATGTGGATGGATATTTTAGGCACAGCAACTAAGTAACAAGTAAAAAGCTGGAGATCAAATTGATCACAGGTCTCTTTTATTTGTGGATGGATATTTTGGGCACAGCAACTAAGCAACAAGTAACAAAAAGCTGGAGATCAAATTGATGATATCACACATTTTTGGCTTCTTCCTGCATCTTAATCTTTGCGCCATCAGTTTAAATGACTGTAATAATGATTTACCAAGTTGAATCCGAATTGACCATAAATTATCACCACTTTCAAAACCAGGGTTGGCAATTGAAGGAAACCAAGTAGGATGATCTCTTTTTAAGTGTTTATGGATCCGCCATCAAAGAGAGGAAGGTATGTAAGTGTTGATCGATCCGCCATCAGGAAAGTTGATAATTCGGGGAACTTATACATAATCCATGGACACTAAATCTAAGCACTTCTAAGTTGTTCTACTGCCAACACATAATCACACAACTGAACCACAACAAAACCTCAACAGAACTACAGCTACTCACCAACTAAACATTTAACATTTGACTTCCTTAAGGCCATGCGCAAGGTAAAGAAAAGTTGGATCAGTAGCTCCTTCCTTGTAGTATGCAAACACCATTGAGGCATCGTCGTGCATGCTCTCGCCAACAAAGCTGTCAACCAGAAACGGATACACGAATTCAGTTCGGATTATCAGGTCGCATCAATGTTTCAAAAAATTTCTTAACAGATTCAAGATCACATTTGCCAAATGTTCTGCTGCTTTGACTTACAATTGAAGGTCGCTGAGCTTTGAGAGGAGGAACTTGGTTGCTCCTTCGATGTTTTTCTTGAAAGACTCTTGCTTCTCGGCCTCTAACTTAGGGGTCAGATTCTTGATATATTTCTTAATGAACGCGATGAATTGCTTCTTGTCGAAAGGGGGTTGTTCCTTCAAGCAGTAAAAACACTCTACTGAATAACAAGATGGAAGTAGTTTTTGGGGGGGGGGAATATTTTCAGTTATATATAAAGAGAGAATACCAACCTGAAGCCTAAAAGTATCAACAATATCGACAACCTTAACAGCTTGATCATCCACACCTTCATCTTCGTCGCCGCCTTCAGCAGAAGGATTAGCTCCAATATCAACCTGGACTGCCCCTTGTACAACCCACTGATAAATCATTTAACAACAGCTAAAATGTCAATTTTTGTGGCTTTTATGCGAAACCCAACTTCACATCAAGTACGTCAATAAGAGGCACATGCCAGAAGATCAAAGTCACTTGATAAAAAACTAAAAACGTGATAGCATCCTACCTTTCCTTGTACTTCCCACAACGCTCCATTTTCTATCTCCTTGTAGGGGAAGGAATCAGAGAGAAGCTCATCACCTGAGAATCAACACTAAGATCATAACCGAGGGGAAATTGCCAGGAAAATAAAAACAACAAACAAAAACCCCGTGGAATTGAGCTCAATTGAAGAGATTAGTCATCATCATAATGATAACACATGATTTCGCTAACATTCTAAACTATACAGATCAAGGGAAACGCAACAGGTCAAAATCCCAAGGGGGAAGAAGAAACTGATGAAGAACAACTGCATATCATCATCAATCTCCATGTACGACATAGCAGAAGCAAATTGAATAACAGATAATATCATACTCATAATGACAGAACAAGATATTGCAGCAAAGTCCCTAGTTAGGTGCTAAAGCATACTAAAACCAAACTGAAATGTCCTGTGTCAACATGGAAAAGCAATAAATCCAGCAATTTTGTGCCCTATGAATCCCTAAAGAAATCACATCCTTGATATTAGCCAATCTCTTAGGAAACTAACTTAATTCAAATGAATAAAAGTTGCCAATGATCAACCTCCATACTTTCCACCCCAACAGAAATAATAATAATAATAACTAATAAAAAATCTATCTTTAGGAGAATAGTTTGTGGTTTGAAGATCAAACACATGAAGGATTCCCATGAATTCTCTGCTCACAGACAAAGTTCTGTTTTGTTTTCTCCAACTATAGAATCAATTCGAGATCCTATATGATGTCACCACCCGAAGCAGCTTGATTCCTCTACTATTTTCGGATTGTGAATTGGTGACCAACCCAGAAACACAAAAATGATTACGAACCAAGAACATAAAGGAAAAACCAAAATATCATTCGAAAGCTAAGTAACACTCCAACTAGGCTATTAATGAATACACAAAAACAGAGTAAATCGCATATGATGTTGAGCAAAGAAATAAGATAGGAACGAAAGGGATTTACCTGAAAGAAGATCTTGGTAAACCAACATGATTGCAAGCTTTGAAAAATACCTTTTGTCAGAAATATTCTTCTTGTTTTCTGGAAGAAGAAGAAGAATCGGGAGAGAAAAACCAGAAGACAAAAGTACTACGTTAATACAGAGTTTACGTAATAGAAGGTGGTCCTTTCTAGACTGATCGGCGGTGAGGTTTTATAGAAGAGATTTTTACGGGTTACGGTAATTATTATCTCTCTTAAGTATACGAGGAAAATAAATTTATTGGATTTCGACCTTCCAAAATCCAAATGTAGTTTATCCTTTTTTTTTTTTTTTTTTGAAATTAAGGTTGATTTTTATTCCCTTTGAATACAAGGTAAGCACAAAACTCATTAATTTAATCCTTGTAGAAATCATTTATTTAATTTTTTTTAAACAGCGAACAGCCTAATAACCGAAACATACACTTAGGTGAATGGGAAATGATTTGCGCTACATAATTTTTGAATAGCAGCAAGGCAAGAATTTACGTTGTGCAAATGTAACCTCTCCTAAGATACATAACTATATACTCCCTCCGTCCCATAATTATTGTCCACTTTGCCCAAAAACATTTGTCCCAAAATTATTGTCCAATTTGACTTTTTATGGATCAGGTTACACATTTGTCCTTAGTGAAAAACATTATCCATAAAATCTTTGTGGTTAAACAATTACTTATGTAGGGGTATATCCGGTTGTTCAAGGTAAAATATAGTTATATTTGACTAAAAATAAAATTTTTCATTTTAGTAAAACTGGACAATAATTATGGGGCGGGGGGAGTACATGTTATTCTTTCTATCTATATACAATAGTCCATATTAAGTTTAAAATTGGTAAATATGAAAATTTAATGTGATCTATATATTTTTGGGGGACACACCGAAGTAGTATTTATGTCCTTAAATAATTATACAGATTTTAAATCAACTCACACAATTTACTATGACACATTAAAAATTAGCGTATGAATATGATGATACTAACAACTAGCAGTGGACAATGTTTTAGTATCCTAATTCATCAACTTAAAGTCTTAAACCTTGCTACAAAAACCTCTTCCAAAATCAAAGTTTAGGAATCCGATTTACATGTTTGCAAAAAGTACGAGAAATTCTCATTTATTTTTTAAATCACGGAGGTTCTCGTGAACCTCTAAAATGAAATTGAAATATTAAATGTGATTTTTTTTTATTGAATTAGAAAATTAACAATTTGGCCGGCACTTATATTTCAGATGATTGCGGTCAGTATAAAAATAATTAATTGGAGTAAGGGTTTTGGCGCTAGGAGGTCTGTTTGATGATTCTGTTTCCCGGAAAACAGTTTGCTGCTCTGTTCAAGAAATCGATGCGGGTTCAATTCAAATTAGGGTTTTTCCGCAAGGAGGTCTAGGTGATGATTCTGCTTCCAAGAAAACAGGATACTGCATCATTGGTAAAGTTGGCGACGAATCACGTGTTGAAGAATCGAAGTCCGATCAAGATATGCCTGATTTTTCTGTCAGGCATCCCCACGGAGGAACTATTCAGAGGAAACCATTGTCACTGAAATATTCTGATGGGATGATTGAAGAATCTTATTCCATGATACTTGAAGACCTGAAGCTGCAAGTTAATGAATCAGATGACAATCCAAAGCAGGACATCCAGGGTTGCTGCTCCACCGTTACAAAAATCCTGTGTTGATGAAAAAGTAGAGGAGGATCCTGGTCATGAGTATATTGTGCTGAAGCCTCAGTCAATTGATGAGAATGAAACCTTTTCTGGTGGTAACAATAATCGATCCAATAATACCATTCCATTACCTTTTTTCCTTATAAAAGCACAAAACAGAAAAACCAAAAATAGAAGAAGAAAAAAATTTATAATCTCTCGAACCCTGACCACCAACCCCCTTTAATATTGAATGAACTAGAATGCACTAGCGGATCTAGAACAAAATTGTAGTTAGCGCCAAAATACATCTTTGAAAAAATATATAGTTATGTGTTTTCATAGTATGATATATTGTAAAACAATATTCATAATTACTGTACAGTTTGAAATTTTATTTTTAATACAATTTGAACTAAAAAGGAAAATCTAAATTTGACAATAATTTTGGGACAGATGGAGTAATAATTAATCTTCTTACTTTATGAAAATAAAAAAGTTTATTCGAGTACGTGACATCCAATTATGTCAATAACTCTTCACTATTTTCATAACAAAAGACATTTCTACAATCGCTATATCTTTGTAATTATTTAACAATATGTAAAAAAAAAAAAACACGACTCCTTTATCGACACATATGAAGAGCATAAGGTATAATATACGAGAAATTTGCTATTATTAGATATTATAAATAAGAATAAGATGTTTGTAAATACATAATTGTATTGTTTAACGAAATTTAATATGATTAATTCAATAATAATCAAAATTTATATGATTAAAATATAAATTTGACTTAAACTAATTAAACTCCATTTTGGATTTGGGCATTTTAATTGGCTCAAAGCAAAATTATAAGAAATTAAGAAAATAATTTAGCCCAAATTAAATAAATATTTCAAAAATAAATTGTAAAAAAATAATTGTAACTAAATTTATATAAATATATTGGGTGGGGCATGGCCCCTAAATCCGCCACTGCCAGGATGGCCCATTTCCCCCTTAGTCAATGGGGCTGCCGATTCCATACGAATGTATCTCTTCAAAAAGCTTGTTATTTTTGGTAAATCTATTAAGAACAAGCCTACGCTTTAATCCCCATATTAGAGAGAATCCATGTTTTAATTACCTACATGGCATGTGTCATTTCCAAATGATTTACAGAGGGCACAAATGGGGATAATCTTTAAGCAACTCTTGCTCAGACAATACATTGCTTTTACTCAAGGGAGTCCACAAAATCTCAATCGCCTGCATGCATGCATTATAACAAAAATATAAGATAGAGGTAAAAGACTTTAAAATAGAATAAACTGTAGAGTTTAACTAAGCTATATGTTATTCAAATTGTGTTTGTTACCTCTATTTTATTTGATGGAAAGGATGCAAGCTTTTCTAACGCTTCGTTCAAGTCTACACCACTATTTATGGTAGACAGACTGTGTTTTCCTTTGGCAGTAACTATTATTGTCACCTATGTGCACAATATGGAAAAAGTACACCAAGACTATGTAAACATTTGATTTTTAAGAAGATAAATACAAAAACAATTAAACAACACACGTTCCAAGTTGTCGAGGTCCATTCACATAAACGTTCAAAAATTTCGACAAGTTTTATACTTACCACAATGCCCTCATTACTAAATCCATTGTCTGATCTATGGTGAGTTGAACTTCGCATTTGTATGTTGTTGACATCGACATGTGTCTCATCATCAAACTTAGTACGCTCCTCCGTAGAAAGTCGATTGTGTTGTTCAAATGCTTCTATAATGCCCCACTCCACATCAGCCTATATTTTCATCAGTTGAGTTGAGAATTAAGAAGCAATGTCAAAGGCATTTCCCAAACAATATTGAACCAAAATCAAACTAAGGCAAAAGTTGACAACTTACACTCTTATTGTCAAGATTTAAAACAAGTTCTACATCATTCGTTTGTTTATTTTAACTTACAGATGAATAAGCAGAGGTGCAAGAATCAAGACGCCGAAGCAAAGCCAAGGAAGCCTCTGCGACCAGAGAATAACGTATGATACGTTAACATTCAAGTCAAAGCTCCTTCGTTAGTCCTTATTTCATTCATTGTAACATTTTGACCGAATGTTCCAAGTAATTTTAACTTAGTAGTTCACGACAATAAATTATTTTTCTATCTGGAATTTCTTGGACTCTTTATGATTGCAACAATAGTTCTCCAAACGGACACGAAAATACTTAATGTTTCAGAAAACGTTACAGTTAATACATGGGATCGGTGGTGGATTTATTGGCCTTTTTAGCAATTTGGTCCAGATCTATCGTAATGATTTTCCGAGTTGGTCAAAAGCAAGCCTACAAAGGAAAAATATGTCATGGACTATATAGATACTTTACCAGTATTCATGAATATTGCTTTACCTGTATAGAACAATTACTGAATTCACGGGAAAGAAAAATTGACCTAACTAGGTTTGAACCAGCGACATCGTAAGATTACCATTATCAGTTCCCCATTCAACCCTCCCAACAAAAGATATGATAATGCATTAGTTAATGGATGACCATGAAGGCAAACTAGCTCTTAATGATAGCTCATCGAGGATCTGTGGGAATTCTCAAGTTATTTATATGAGTGGATACAATCATGCATCAATAGCATATATAAAATTCCCAAGGAAAATCAACTAGCTCCTGTATTTTCAAAGAGATAGAAAATTAAACAGGATCCAAATATTAACAAGAAAATTACTCCCATGAGGTCCACATCGAGTTTAATTTGAGATTTGTATTATTTTTATAACAAATTTCAAAAGTCTAATGTGAACTATTTTTCTTACGGGGAGAAAGAACTAGTCCCGAATATTCACAGGGTCTGAGTACATAGAGAAATTTTTTTTTCCAAAATATTTTAAAATTTATAAGGTATTTTTTTCGAAAAAAATTCGCCGACCGCAGGGTCGGCCGACCCCCTTTGCACCACCCTAGTTCCGTATACAGAATTAGCCACCAATTCAATTCCCGCAACAAATTAAGGTGCAAAAATATTCAATGTAGATTATTCTTTTTCTTGGGGAGAGGGAGTATAAAATTAGCCACTAGTCAAAATTCCCACAACAAATTAAAACTGGAAAAATATAAGTGCCACTAAAATAAATACTATTCAAACGAGAAGATATATGATATACCTGCAGCGTGAGAGTAGAATGAGTCATCGGCGCATGATGATTATACCATTGAACAACCATCGTGATGGGGAATAATGCAATTAAGGTGGCAAACATTGCCATCTCAGGCGGCTCCCTCAAAATCGCGCCAATAAAGCCAGCGAGTGGGATAACAACCAAGAACACAAAGCCAACGCAAAAAGCTTCCCATGTGGTTTTATCGATTTTATTATTAGACGTCGTGACTTCATAGCTGTCACTACTACTACTACTAGTGGCATTGCAAGTGGTCTTTATAGAAACGTTGGAGAAGTTGCGATTGGAATCAAAACTCAAGAGTTTATTGTCATGTTTGTTGCTACCAATCAACTGGATTGGGGGTTGGACTTTGTGGTGTTGAAAGGAAAGTTTAAAGGAAGTCGGGGTTAATAAAGGGTTCCTTTTGAGGTTTGATTTCAGCAACAAAAAGGATGGTTTTCCTGCGGTTATTATCCAGCAGGCCATGTGTATGTATGCAGATTGAAGGGTTTCAAGAGAGAGGGTTTAATTTGTCGTCGTTGTCAATCTCTGATGTAGAGAGTCACGTCGAGTCCAGTGTCCTTTATATATTACCCCAACTTTTAGTCTATTTGTACACAACCGTGACTGTTTTCTTCGTTCGTTATTCAGGCTGTTTGACCTAGTTTGATTTCTAGTTTTTATAGGAATTATTTTGATTTGTGTCTAAGCTTTCGGGGAAAAAAAAATTTATTTTGGTTATCGCAAAAGCCTTTTTCTGCAATATAATCTACTGACATAAGAAGTTAGACATTTCAAGTGCAAATCAAATTAACCCCAACCCTTAATAATACAACATGATCGATCGACTGTACATAATAGTTACAATAAGGATCACGTTGGCTTTGATGGAAGTTCTGGACCTATAGAGTCGGGTGACGTGATTAGAGAATTACGGAATTCTCACTGGACTAATCCGATTTTTTTTTTAAAAAAAAAATGATTTACTTAATTTTGATACGGTTTATTCCAAAAAAAATTCTTATTTTTCTTAATTAAGTGGCTGCCAAAAAAGAAATTGTTACTTTGCCAACATACGATCCCCTTACAACATGAGGGAGAAAGTCTTACTACTAGAAGTAATATTGTTAATTGATATATACTACGACAATACAATTAGGGAGCAATTTTTTAATAGTAGAGTGAAAATTCAGAAAAAGGCTTTTGCGATAACCAAAATAAATTTTTTTTTCCCCGAAAGCTTAGACACAAATCAAAATAATTCCTATAAAAACTAGAAATCAAACTAGGTCAAACAGCCTGAATAACGAACGAAGAAAACAGTCACGGTTGTGTACAAATAGACTAAAAGTTGGGGTAATATATAAAGGACACTGGACTCGACGTGACTCTCTACATCAGAGATTGACAACGACGACAAATTAAACCCTCTCTCTTGAAACCCTTCAATCTGCATACATACACATGGCCTGCTGGATAATAACCGCAGGAAAACCATCCTTTTTGTTGCTGAAATCAAACCTCAAAAGGAACCCTTTATTAACCCCGACTTCCTTTAAACTTTCCTTTCAACACCACAAAGTCCAACCCCCAATCCAGTTGATTGGTAGCAACAAACATGACAATAAACTCTTGAGTTTTGATTCCAATCGCAACTTCTCCAACGTTTCTATAAAGACCACTTGCAATGCCACTAGTAGTAGTAGTAGTGACAGCTATGAAGTCACGACGTCTAATAATAAAATCGATAAAACCACATGGGAAGCTTTTTGCATTGGCTTTGGGTTATTGCTTGTTTTCCCACTCGTTGGCTTTATTGGCGCGATTTTGAGGGAGCCGCCTGAGACGGGAATAGTTGTCTTCTTCATTGCATTATTCCTCATCCCGATGGTTGTTCAATGGTATAATCATCATGCGCCGATGACTCATTCTACTCTCACGCTGCAGGTACATCATATATCTTCTCGTTTGAATGTAGTATTTATTTTAGTGGCACTTATATTTTTCCAGTTTTAATTTGTTGTGGGAATTTGACTAGTGGCTAATTTTACACTCCCTCTCCCCAAGAAAAAGAATAATCTGCATTGAATATTTTTGCAGCTTAATTTGTTGCGGGAATTGAATTGGTGGCTAATTCTGTATATGGAACTAGGGGGTGCAAAGGGGGTCGGCCGATCTGCGGTCAGCGAATTTTTTCGAAAAAATACCTTATAAATTTTAAAATATTTTGGGAAAAAATTTTCTCTATGTACTCAGACCCTGTGAATATTCAGGACTAGTTCTTTTCCCCATAAGAAAAATAGTTCACATTAGACTTTTGAAATTTGTTATAAAAATAATACAAATCTCAAATTAAACTCGATGCGGACCTCATGGAGTAATTTTCTTGTAAATATTTGGATCCTGTTTAAGTTTCTATCTCTTTGAAAATACAGCAGCTAGTTGATTTTCCTTGGGAATTTTATATATGCTATTGATGCATGATTGTATCCACTCATATAAATACCTTGAGAATTCCCACAGATCCTCGATGAGCTATCATTAAGAGCTAGTTTGCCTTCATGGTCATCCATTAACTAATGCATTATCATATCTTTTGTTGGGAGGGTTGAATGGGGGAACTGATAATGGTAATCTTACGATGTCGCTGGTTCAAACCTAGTTAGGTCAATTTTTCTTTCCCGTGAATTCAGTAATTGTTCTATACAGATAAAGCAATATTCATGAATACTGGTGAAGTATCTATATAGTCCATGACATATTTTTTCCTTTGTAGGCTTGCTTTTTGACCAACTCGGGAAGATCATTACAGATAGATCTGGACCAAATTGCTAAAAAGGCCAATAAATCCACCACCAGATCCCATGTATTGACTGGTAACGTTTTCTGAAACATTAAGTATTTTCGTGTCCGTTTGGAGAACTATTGTTGCAATCATAAAGAGTCCAAGAAATTCCAGATAGAGAAATAATTTATTGTCGTGAACTACTAAGTTAAAATTACTTGGAACATTCGGTCAAAATGTTACAATGAATGAAATAAGGACTAACGAAGGAGCTTTGACTTGAATGTTAACGTATCATACGTTATTCTCTGGTCGCAGAGGCTTCCTTGGCTTTGCTTCGGCGTCTTGATTCTTGCACCTCTGCTTATTCATCTGTAAGTTAAAATAAACAAACGAATGATGTAGAACTTGTTTTAAATCTTGACAATAAGAGTGTAAGTTGTCAACTTTTGCCTTAGTTTGATTTTGGTTCAATATTGTTTGGGAAATGCCTTTGACATTGCTTCTTAATTCTCAACTCAACTGATGAAAATATAGGCTGATGTGGAGTGGAGCATTATAGAAGCATTTGAACAACACAATCGACTTTCTACGGAGGAGCGTACTAAGTTTGATGATGAGACACATGTCGATGTCAACAACATACAAATGCGAAGTTCAACTCAACATAGATCAGACAATGGATTTAGTAATGAGGGCATTGTGGTAAGTATAAAACTTGTCGAAATTTTTGAACGTTTATGTGAATGGACCTCGACAACTTGGAACGTGTGTTGTTGAATTGTTTTTGTATTTATCTTCTTAAAAATCAAATGTTTACATGGTCTTGGTGTACTTTTTCGATATTGTGCACATAGGTGACGATAATAGTTACTGCCAAAGGTAAACACAGCCTGCCTATTATAAATACTGGTGTAGACTTGAGCGAAGCGTTAGAAGAGCTTGCATCATTTCCATCAAATAAAATAGAGGTAACAAACACAATTTAAATAACATATAGCTCAGTTAAACTCTACAGTTTATTCTATTTTAAAGTCTTTTACCTTTGTCTTATATTTTTGTTATAACGCATGCATGCAGGCGATTGAGATTTTGTGGACTCCCTTGAGTAAAAGCAATGTATTGTGTGAGCAAGAGTTGCTTAAAGATTATCCCCATTTGTGCCCTCTGTAAATCATTTGGAAATGACACATGCCATGTAGGTAATTAAAACATGGATTTTCTCAAATATGGGGATTAAAGCGTAGGCTTTTTCTTAATAGATTTACCGAAAACAATAAGCTTTTTGAAGAGATACATTCGTATGGAATCGGCAGCAGCATTGAGTAAGGGGGAAATGTGCCATCCTGGCAGTGGCGGATTTAGGGGCCATGCCCCACCCTAGATTAATAGGATATATTTATATAAATTTAGTTACAATTACTTTTTTTACAATTTACTTTTGAAATATTTATACAATTTGGGCTAAATTATTTTCTTAATTTCATATAATGAAAAAATTAGATTATCACACTTCTAGATATGTTCTTTTTAAATCCTGCTAGTACGTACATTAGACAAGACTCTACACATTGTGAAGCATACTCAAATTAATTATCTGCTGGTGTTCTAAAAAAATTACTCATTCCATTTCAAAATATATCGTTGGAGAAAAAAACAAATTTTTCAAAATATATGTCATTTTCACAAAACGAAACATGTTAGATCAATTGTTTTCCTATATTACCTTTATGTTGAAAATTGTAATTGTGTCAAAAGTAAAATTGTATTAAAACTAAATATTATTAAAATTGGAATTGAATCGGAAGTAAATAAAGGCAATTCAATAATTTAACAAGGTATTTAATACCTCATTATACTTCATGAAGTCTCTCCAACTGACTTATCTATTTTGCCCAACTATATATGCCTATTTGACTATCCTTTTTTCCCAACTATCTCCTCGACAAGTTTAATTAGGTTCGGCAGAGAAGAGTCACTAATGAGAATCGAACTGCCTACTTGCTTAACCCGAGGTGTGTTCCTAATGCAAATCAATCCCCAACCCTTAGTAATACAAGATGATAGAGCGACTGCACATAATGGTTACGATAAGGATCACGTTGCCTTTGATGGAAGTTCATGAAAATTGAAAGTCGAGGATTGTGCAACAAGCAGATGAAACCTTACTCTTAGTTGTGGACCTAATGTCTCAATTTTAAATCACACATCATGTTTAAAGTGAATTACTTAATTAAGAAAAATAAGAATTTTTTTTTTGTTCGAATAAATAGTACTCCCTCCGTCCCATAATTATTGTCCAGTTTTACTAAAATGAAAGATTTTATTTTTGGTTAAACTTAACTATATTTTACCTTAAATAACCGGATATACCCCTATATAAGTAATTGTTTAACCACTAAGATTTTATGGATAATGTTTTTTACTAAGGACAAATGTGTAACTTGATCCATAAAAAGTCAAATTGGACAATAATTTTGGGACAAAATTTTTTGGGCAAAGTGGACAATAATTATGGGACGGAGGGAGTATTTTTTTTTCCCTAAATTCGATGACCTCTCTTTAAAGATTAAATTCTTGAAAAAATTGTAACAGTAATTAAAAAAATTACTTAGATTTACTAAAGAGTAGAACTTATTTGCCTTGTGGTTGAGTAAACACAGAATTATTTTATTTTTCAAAAAAAAAAAAGAGAGTTATTAGATAATATCTTATCTAATTTAATTGTACTATATAATAAATAGTTGGGAAAAACTCAGGTTTGGTCCCCAATGTTTGTGGGTAGCTCAAGTGAGTCACGATTAATTGTTTTTTAACAAAATTAGTCACCATAAATGTTTGTTTGCTCAATTTAAGTCTTTTAACAGAAATTTTATGAAATTGACCGGAGAAATCAACTTTCCGTTAATAACAATATATTTTATTAATTTTTCTATGGGCCCCACATTCAGTTGACCTTGAAAAGAAAAACTTAAAACAAAAAGGAAAAAAAAAACTTTTCTTTCCTCCTCTCTCACCCTCCGGCCGACACCACCACAACAACTGATCGCCGCCGCCACCTCTACCCACCGGAACCTCCAAAAAAATCCCATTTACAATCAAAAACTTTCTTAAGATTAGGGGTAAAAGAAGAGGCATTCAAACACACAAGATCCAATCTTTAAGCCGAACTAACCCAAAGCAATTTTCATCACAAAATAACAGCAAAAACACCCATCGCTCTGCATCTATAGCTAGAAAAAGAATGCCTCAACCAAAGCTCAATTGTGAATTAAAGCCTCCCTATGCGGATGAAATTCATGGAATTAATCGGAAGGGGATTGCAAACAAACCACAAACCTTTAAAAAAAAAAAATTGAATCAACCCTTCCCCAAAACAGGAAACGTCGGGAATCGACTCCATTAATAAGTCGTCCGCCGGATTACTCATCATCATCGGAATCTTCCCCCATCACTGGTATCTGCACCTCTGACCTCTTTTGTCGAAAAAATCAGGGAACCCAACAATAGTAACATGAATAATAAACGGACATGATGAAGCAAATTGAGCCCCATTTTTATTGTTCGCGCATTTTCCAGTTCTATGTAAGATACCTTGGATCTGTGTCAACGATCTGTGATGTCTCCAAGGGAATTTTGTGCCTTTTTGGACTAGTTGTAACACCATTTTGCTATCTATTTGGAGTCTGACTTTCTGATGCCCTTACGCTTTTGCCCATTTCAATCCTTGTAATATACTTTCTATCCCCGCAGAAAAATTTGTAGAAATTTGTATCTGCTAATTGCTTTAATGAAAATGCCTCCAACTCCTCTTGCCACAAAGCCCCATCCTGATTCATCTGGGCTGCCCAAAGCTGACCCATCCTTGTTGATGATGATTTCGCCCGGTTCCGGAGGAATCCAGCATAGTGAAGTAATTTTCCTGTCCTTTCTTCTTTTAATTTTGACATGAAAAATTCCTTCTAACTCTTGCAACTCAGTCATTGTCGTTGCTCGTAATTCATGAATGCTCAAGATCATGGAAATATTAGTACAAATTTCATGAGTTATTGTATGAAAAGAAAATGTTGTACCTTCAAAGATACACTTATTTCTCATTTTCAAAACTTCCCATAGGATGATGGCGGGCGTGATCATAATGACCGCTTTTTTTGCTGTTGTGAAAGCTCCAACTGAGTACCATGCTTGGACGAAACTCCATAAGCCTGCATTAAAGGGCAAGAAAATTCCATATAAAGATAAGAAATGACCCCATGCGCGTCGAACCTGTGGGCATTCATAAAAGATATACTGTATATTTTTCTCCGCTTGAAGGCACATTGAACACCTCGTGGGGTGAGAAGAGAAACCCATCTTTTGGGTTTTGACCAAGAATTAACAAAAACCTAATTGGCTCACGTGAGAAGAAAATTTAATTTATCTTGAAATAATTTTAACAACTCTAGTCTTCCAATATAAAGCCAAAATCGGTTTCGCCGGGTCATATTGTAAATAGTTTGCAGCTTTACAAAAAATTAATTGGGTAAAATTGGTTATTTATGAATTTTACGGATTTACAAATAAAAAATTTATCATTAAATGATGTATTATTGTAATTGCGACATGTGCATTTAATTATCTAATTTTTAGCCATGTGAATTACCTATCTAATTTTACGTTATATGTCCGATTGAAAATTCTCTTTTTAAACTTTTTTTTTTGAAAAACTCTTTTTGAACTAAAACAACCATGTTTTAGTCCAAAACATAACCATGTAAGATAATGTTGGATATTGTGCCCTACTCATTATTTGTATTGGAGTACTATGATAAATTCCCTCCGGCACTTAATATAAGACATTTTAATTTGTCCTAACTAGATTTCACCTAATACGCATTTTTAATTGATAAAAAATCTTTAAAACATTTTCTAACAATCAAGAAAAACACAACTAATGTGAAAATATATTTTTAAAGTTTTTTTTGTTAATTTAAAATGCATACAGGTTAAACATAAGACAAAATCAAAATGCCTTATATTAAGGATCAAAGGGAGTATTAAATTTGAAGTCCAAAAATTGTAACGAAACATAATTGTTGTGATACACCCGGTGGGTTAATCGTACTTAATGAATGAAGACTACTTTTATTCTTTTTTGATTTAGGCTCAAACTAATCAGACTCTGATTCAACGACATTAATTATATGTTATTTTCCGCCCAACTAAGCAAGGAACTACTTCAGCCCCTTCTGAAGAGACTTAGTCAACGATCAAAGAACTTCTCTATTCTACTTCACAATATTACTGATGATGACGAAGTTTGGTTTTACATTGCCGGTTTAACAGTGGAATTTTGGCTAGGGTTTCCTGCAAAAAAAGGCCTCGGGGGTCTCCCGATGGTAGACACTCCGGTATTTAAGTCAAAAAAGGGTTTAAAGAATATGCGTGAGTAGTAATTTGTGCTAGAGATAGTGTACCTCAATTGTGGTATAACCAACCTTATTTATAGGCATGAAGTTACCTGGGAGATAACCGAGTCCTATTAGGTTTCGTATTGCTCAAACCGCCTTAACAGAGTTGGTTGGGCTCTTTACTCGGTTGATGGGCCGGTCCAATATTGGTGATGGATATGGACTCGTCAAGTGCCCCTGTCAAGTGTTACTTATAGGAAATAGACAATACTTTACACAAATAAGTCTAACCTGGACCCGGCTTAAGAGAAATGGACAAGTCTCGGCCATGCTCCATCGAGCAGGTCTGATAGGGTAATTCGCAGGTCAGGATCCGATCCTGGAAGGTGATCCAACGCAAAATCCCACCTAAATGGATGCAGACGTGTCCATTACTCTGCACGTTCCCCAAACGATGGTTTCAAATCATTGCGCCTCCTTGAAAATAGGGGAACTGTCAAATCGTGGGGGATTCAATTTCCTTTATATAGACTGGAACAAATTAAGCCCATTTATTTCACTCGTCTCTAAAATCTTTCCGCCTAATGACTCTCCCAAAGCCATACTTTGTTACCGTCGCCGGAATCCTCAATTCCAGTGACATTCCCGTCTGCGAAAGCTTTTGAAATTTCAAGAAGCCGTGTTGAGAGCTCAATCCAAGGGTTTGCCGAGTCCCTCAATTGCCCCTGCATAGTCACCGTTGCTGTTACACCATTTGTAAGACTCGCCGAAGATTATCACCACCCTGGGAGGTTACAACTCGAAAGGCGAGTGGTCTTTTCCAATAGTAAGTCTCTATAACTCACTCTTACTTTCTAATTCATTTAGAATTCCAATTCGGGTATAGATCTGAAGTACTGTGGTAGATATGGCTAAGAACCCAGATTTAAAAACTGTCGATAAGTTCGCTTCCACTATAGACTCCAATGAGAAGGTGAACGGTGTAAAGATGAGATATGACCCGCCTCTAGATCTAGAAGCTAGAGCTCCGTTAGGAACCGAGAGGGCTAATTCTCCTCCTGAGAGAAGAATCATTATATATGACCGCTTCATGCATCTAGGGCTAAGATTCCCCCTCTTCTCTATGTTCGAGGAAATTGTCTAATACTATAAAAACCCCCTTGCTCATTTTACACCAAATTTGATAACCTTTGAGCTCGGGTTTGCGTAAATATGTCTACGAGTAGAAGTAAAGCCCCAACTAATCTTGTGGAGATACCTCTTCCAAGTTGTTCCTTCGACATCATTCCAAGCCTGGTGAATTGTCAAGAGATGCCTTAGACCTGGCGTCAAGAAGATGGTTGAGGCCTATGGTGGTTCACCTGAATGGAAGCCTGAATACCTCTTTCTGAAAGTGTCGGAAAAATGTTGTGTTGCTTGGAAGCATCGAGAAGTAGAAGGTCTCGGGGTGATAAGGGATGAATGGTCTAAGGAGGATGATGATAGCATCGAGGAGTTTGCTGATGATTTGAAGAAAATCTTGAAGTACTCCAAGCTTGTTAAATGGAGTGATGTGCAGTACTACGTTCCCCCTGTTTTCGTCGAGGAGGGGAAAGATACTAACATTCTGCTCAAGGAAAAAATAATACTAATCTCTTTTATTCCTGTTTTCAGATCATGTCGTCGAACAATGCTGGTTCTCGACTGTATGGTGACGAAGACCCCTTTCCTATTGTGAATTCTGATGAAGATGAGTCAACTACGGTAGCTGCTGGAGCCAAGAAGAAAAGGAAGAGACTCGTGAAGATCTCTGAGAAGGAGAAGAAAAAGAAGGCAGATGTGCTGTCCTTGAAGTCAATGGCGCAAGGAGAGAATACCATGCCTCCTGAAATGGAGAAAATCAGTGCCCCCCTCGTAGCCGAAAAGGCTGCCACTCCCCAAGTAGAAGTAAACCCAAGCACCAAGGTACCTATCGTGGACAAAGGTAAGGGCTTGCTTGAGGAGGAAGCAACCACTATGTCATCCCATGCATTCAAGGGAGGACCAACTGTGGCAGTTCATACTTTTGGTGATCCTCCGACCATTGAATGCCCCTTGTTGGAAGAGTTAGGTGTGCAGCTAACAACGACCGACAGCGTGAGGCTTATAAGTACTTTATACCCCTTCGACAATATGTTTGCAAATATCCTGTAGAGGAATTTTGTTTCATTCGGCTAAATTTTACAGATGAGTGCGGCCTTGATGACATACCTAATGCACTTGAGGAACCTAAGGGAGGAGTTGGTCCAGGCTCGGATCTAGAGGGATCAAGTGCTTCTTGAAAAGGCCGTTCTCGAGGCGAAGAATCAGCAGATACAAGCCAAAGAGTAGGAGTTAGCCTCGGTGCAAGCGAGATATAATGAGTTGGACGAGAAGCTGAGGGCTTTTGCTGATCTGCATATCTCGAGGGAGGACCTCCAAATGTTGTCATGCCTTCTGGTTCAAGATGTTATCTTCAGGTGGCATGGCAACAGCTATCGAGGAGGTCAATCTGGTGGCCACAGAGTACGGGGCTCACAGAGTAGCTGTTGCAGGCATTAAGAGGCTTAGCAGAGAAAGATCCATCAAGGCCAAATGGTTCAAATAATTCCTGAAAGAGAGCCCTAAGAAAACCGTGTATGAGGCCTTGGTAAAGGTCCTTATGAACTGCCTTTATGGGAAGCTCTATGCGACGCCCTTGTTAAGATGGGTACTCCTAAAGATATGGTTGTGTTCCCCGGTGATCCCGCCATAGTCTTGTCCAAGGGTCCAAGCGATGAGGAGCCAATTCCTGAGGTGCCGGATGAGTATATCGGCATCGAGCTTGAGGAAGAAGATGATGAGGCTTTGGGGGAAGACGTGTCTGACACTGGCAACTCTAGAACGTAGAAGAACGCCGAAGAGGTATCTTCGAATCATCCCAAGGATGGTTCTGCTAGACAAGATGTTGTATGAACTCTTCCCTCTGTAATAGCTGCTAGGGATCTTTGTAAACAATTCAAGTTTTTATTTGTCCCTTAAGTGAATGGCATGTTGTCTATCCCTCCAAATTTAATTTTTTGGCCTTTGGATTTTTCCTGAAAATAGGATAGTTGGTCAGTATATCGGATTCATCTCATGATTTTGTCAGAGGAACAATCGAGGGAATATCCTCTATACTCGATGATTAGCGAGATTATGAGAAGTCACGCAGATATCCATAGTATCGAGACCGTAGTGAACTTAGAAGCAGACCTTCTTGATGCTATGCGGGCGCGCAATGCGAAAGTCAACCAGCATCTGATCGAGGAAATAAAAGAACTCTGCATGGAAATGCAACGATGAGATTATCAGAAAGATAAGACTTCAGTGATTCTCTAACTTTTGAGACGGACATCCATGATGAGCTGGTTGCTCTGGAAAAAGAAAATGCCCAGCTGAAACAGGGCAAACAGATTACCGTGTCACCATGGTTTCTCGAGAAGCTTGCTCGAGTGCAGCACATGATTTCAATAAGAACACATCGATTTATTTTGGCGATGGATATGCTGAAGGAAAGAACTTGCGAAGTTGAGCTCCTGATGAAATAGATAAGCGACCTTCAAAACTTACTATTGGACCATAACGTCGACTTCCCACCCTTCGAGAAGCCGGAAGAGTTGACAAATCCAAGAACCAAGAGCTCTCGAGAGGAACTCCTTTTAAGGGTTCATTCCTAGGACGAAGAGATTATAGATATAAAGGATAAGCTCAACCAGTGCGTAAATCTTCTTAGCCTGCGTGGGTTTAAAGGCATTATCGACCCTTCTCTTGACAACCCCAGCGTAGAAATCCTTGTAATATCGTAGAAAAACATGTATGTTCTCCTTGGAACCTCACACAATATGTCAAGGAAGCAAACATATTGCTTTATAAAACTCGAGTTTTCTTATTTGTATAGCGCTTCTGAGCCGGATGTTAAGTACACGGCTTTCTCGAGGAAACTGGATACCAGTTTCTCGATTTGTTACCGTGATCTATGGTGAGTACACTAAAAGTGAGATCTCAAACTGGATAATAATTTTGGGACAGAGGGAGTAGTAAATATTTTGAGTCTCAAATTCAAATTCATGTAACACCAACCAAAAAGAATAATTTAGTCAGAATGATCAAAGAGGATTTCAGTACATACCCAAAAATCTGCCCACAAACTAGCACCTGACTTTGGAACAATTACTGCAACATCGGACATTCTTTTGGCAAAAGGAAGAATATCATAACTCCACCCGACAACCACCCATGTATCTCCAATTTCAAAAGCCTTAAGGTAGTATACACTGTCGAATAAAAGAACCTGAAAAAAAAAAATGAAGGAAGAATCATTCGTAGATTTTCTTTTTACATTTCAATAATTTTAGCCAAACTGAACCATGAACACGTTATGATATCATCCGAACATAAAAAAGGACGAAAACAATCTAGAAATGTTGAACCCAAAAAAGAGAAAAAGAGAATCATTAAAGGTTCCCACTTAGGAATATGAGGCAAAAGAGTTGTGAAAATAGATACGTTTAACAAGTTGGCACATTGTAAAATATAATTGACTGAACTTGATTGCATAGGAAAAAATATAAGATGCATGGCATCCGGTGAAGAACAGCTTATTAACAAGTAAAGAAAATGGAGCTTCTGCATTAAATTCTGCTGGAAACTACAACATAACCAAATGACCCATTGTTGCAGTTATATCAGAATTGTAAATTTTGAAAATGAAACTTCATAGTGGAATATGAAATGATCACTATCGCGATGTCTTACATCTATTTGGAATATCTAAAACTCATATTATTCTGCTGTTTCTGGGGATACGTAATTATGAATGTGGCATCTTCAGGTAAACAACAGTCCGCATGCAATTTCATATCGTATCACCATAAATTTATACGTCCAAGTTCATAAAACTCATAAATCATTCAGTCAAGTCTTGATCAAATACTTTTTAACTCAAAAAAAAATACAAAATTTAAATATCAAACTTCACTCTGAATTTCAAGCGGTAGTATTAAATTTCATCAGCCGGAACAATTTAATGCTAGGAGCCAGAATTTCAGATTTCAATTTTATATAAAAGGGCCTAAACCTGCATGCTAGTTTTAGGGTAAACAAGCCATGCAGTTTGGAGAATAAAGCTTCTCCTTGTGCTTTTATTGAAAAAGTTTACTTTGGATAGTTCATTGCAGAGATAACGCAACCTTTAAAATTAAACACTACCTGTCTGAAAAAAAACAAGAGATTTTTCAGCAACCCTTCCTTGCCCCCAGCAACCTCAGAAGTGATGTCCTGTGTGTTGTAAGAAGCTCCCATGTACTTCAAAACTGCACCAATAACTTGTCTTGGACAATCAAGCATTGAAATCTTCCCAGTAAGTTCCGGACGCCATAAATCAGCCCAATCCTGCAGATGAACTTTGAGTTTTCCAACTATGGTAGGAAGAACATAGAGCAAGGATAATATTCCAGAAAGGGTAAATCTGCAACAACTACATAGACATGATAGAAGTGTACTCTTTAGATTCCAGAAACCCTATGTGCTTGCAAAATTGGCTAATCAAGGGAAAACAACAGCTCCAATGAAATCATCAAATTCAAAATTTAAAAGCAACAGAAGCAGAATTTGAACGAGAAAGAAGGAATTCTCACAAAAACTGTAACCATTTCAGAAACAACACCAGAATTTCATCAAACTTGAAATATCGGCGATTTCTGATGTAAGTACATCATGGAGAACTCCAACAAATGAAATGTTTGCATCCAACTGGAGTGCAGTTCTCACAAGGGAAAAAGAATCAATGATTGGAAAGCTCAATGCACAAGAGAAAGAATACTGGTTCCCTCTTTCCACCATTGTGTCACTCAAACTGAAATCTTTCTAAAACTTTCACAAGGCAATTTCTACAATATTTTGTTCAACTTGATTGTTCACTATTCTACTGCACGGTCTGTTGATCCTTCAGCTTTTCTGAATCATCCAGCCATTCAATTTTTCTCTCCCTTTCTATCTATTTAGATATTAAATGAGAAGGTGTAAATCATAACCATTTGATAGGCCTAAAAAGTTTTAAGTAATTCCAATAATAAGATTTCGTCATAAATGACTCAAGTTTCTCAGAAACTTCTCTAATCAGTCAGCATGAAACATGTAAACTTGAATGGCAACTAATTTTCCTATATGACACCTGATTTGCAACCAGTGAAAAGGTCACGTTCCTAAGCTTTCTTGTGGTTGTCCAGTGACATAAGTTGCAAACAGTCTACCGGAAAGACAAACAGAGAAGAGAGCAAAATAGGAGAGAAATTTTCATCCATAAAAATGAGAAACGCAAGAAGACATGGCACACAACAATCTGATGCATCTGATCATTATAAATGACAAATTCCTATGAATATATTTTACTGAACAGCAGAAGCCTGGGCTAAAATTCTTTTCAGGAAAAGAAAAGGCATCTATGCTATGATTGGGGTTTAGGCACACAATATATTAAAAAAGAAAGGAAGATAAAAAACATAAATTTAGAAAGCGAAAATAGGGAGATAACAAGGAACTCTGGAAAACTAGATGACTCCAAGAGATCCATAGCCTACTTATACCGGAATATTCTTCAGACATCAAAACTCCGGGTTAAGTTAAATATCAGCAATATTTCTGAATTCTTTTATTTATGAAACAATCCTCAAACATCCCAACTCAACATAAAGTGACACAGCAGGCAGCAGAATATTAGGTTTTGTGTAAACAAAGACGTAGCTGGGAGCTTTATAGAGTTAATTCCTATCGTTAACCTCACGGCACCTTAGGCGCAGAAAGGTGCTATATTTTTCAAATTCACAAAGGATGGGCTGATGAAGAAACTCAAAAACAAAAATACAAGGAAAAAGGGAAAGTTATCAAGCTTCGTGATTTTTAAATTACAAACATCTAGTAAGACACAAAATTTCATAAGAATAAGGTGAAGGCAGTAATAAAGAAGGAAAAATAGTATCACATATTTTATAGAATGTTGGCAAGAAAGGTTCCAAGGCATAAAAGAATCAAAATTGAAAAAATAAAGAATAAAGTGCTTGAACATATGTAATGAAAAAGATGGAAACAGTTAACCCCCGATTGCCAATTGGTTTTGCGATGAAACCAAATGTGGGCTTATAACGGCCTTCAAGAATGTTGATAATGCAAATGGCAAAACTGATTGGAATCTGTGGCTAGAAAATAAGAGTGTGTTTCAGCTTACAAGGCACAAGCATCCTTCTCGCCACAATTTTGTAATAGTTTTAGATATCTTCGTTTCTTGAGTTCACTTGAAACAAAACAAGGCTTTTCTACCCATCCATACATTGTCCTCTTATTAGTTAGTTCAGTATCTGACATTTTCCCGTAAAAAAGTGTGAAGGCCAAGTTCAAAGTTTAAAGTGAGACAACGAGCTAAAACTCAAAATCTGAAGAGTCAGTTTAGTAAGTAAATAAATCAGATACGCAAATTACTTTTATCTAACAAATTTAAAGGCTCGGGACCTATCCTCCAAGAACATATGGAACTAAAGGATTAGATATACATATTACACGTGGCACTAAAGCATAATGGAAGTATTTACACATGACATTGAGCATAATCAGAGATAATGGGAAAATGTATCTGTTTTACTTTTAAAACCATGAACACTAAACCACAACTTGACCTTTGTCCCGCACTGTGTGCGGTTCGATGTACGGATCATTTAATGCCATTGTGGTCTCATATAATCTTCCCAAAATGTCAATAAATTAAGGATGTCAAGGCTGGTTAATTTTAATAAACAAGGAAAGCTGCATAATAGGAGAAATCTAAGCATATCCCTGATTGAGAGGGATTTAGGATCACTAATTGTTGATTGTAGGAATTTGTCTTCCTATCCTTTTCCTATTTATGTAGCATGCTCCATATATGTTCTAAAAGGAAACTATAGAGATGCAGAAATTTTGTCCTACAGTCCTTTTTTTCATGAAATTAAAGAATTTAATGAAACAGCCACAATGCAAGCATTGTTTTAAACTTAAACCACTATGAAAGTTCCCATAGACAAAACTTGAAAGTAGTAAATTGATGCAATGAAACATACCCCCCCCCTCCCCCAAAAAAAAACACGCACACAGGTGTAGAATTGCTAACCTCTATTGGATCCATTTTATGCCTTTCAAATTTTCTTTTGTTATATGCTATAACCAAGCTTCCCCATCTGTATGGAACTGCCCATACTTGCCCTTGTGGATCCAGTTTTCCATCATTACTCCTACGCACATATGCCTGACAGGAGAAACTTTTATGAAAAACTAACGTTTCTGTAAATTAAGTACATAAACCGATAGGTAAAAAAATAAAAAAGAAAAGAAAAGCAAGGTAAGAAGAAAAAGCAGTTTCTTGTGGGAAATTAAAAATTGTATGAATTCTTCATTCATAAATAACCAAATGCAACCACAAATTGTCGTGCTAAAAGCTCATATTCATAGTCATCTTAAATAGGAGAAAAGACAGTTAGTCTATGGAAATAATATTAATGTAATCATTCAGCCAGTATCTAAGTAAGGTAAGAGATCACAACATAGCAAATATTACTTGCTTGTGGCTTTGTGAAAAATGAAAACCATTAGTCAAATCTTCGCATGACGTAGGCAACTGGAGAAGTCAATTAGTCTGACCCATATAAAACTTCCAAGAACCAAGATACTGCTCACTTTTGTTGTCCCACCCTATACAACAACAACAACAACAACCCAATATATTCCCAACTTGGTTGGGGTCTGGGGGGTCAAGATGTACGCAGCCTTACCCCTGTATATCAATACAGAGAGGCTGTTTAAGTAGTACGACCCAGGATGCATTGGTGCGTTGATATATTGATTTCCGGAAACTTCACCAAATTAAGAAGCGTCGGAATTTACAATCTACAATCTACAATGACTTGTAGAACCTAGGTCGTGTTTATTTCTCTTCTTATTGTACAAGTTACACATACTTTTAATGTCACCATCATTGATCTTTTAACTTTTTGATTGTTCATTCTTTTCTCCTACTACAACTACAAGTTAACTATACTTTAGTGTCACCATCATTGATCTTTTAACTTTTTGATTGTCACAAAAGCGTTCAAAATAAAAGACAAAAGTAGACATTTCACCTTCCATTCTTCTGGCAAATCATGGAACCAATCTTGCTGTTCCACTCCTTCAATTGGTTCAATCAATCCTTCTTTTATAGCAGGAGAAATCAAATATTCAGAAAGTGATACAACATCAGCTGCAGCGAGAGCAGATTGAGGACGAGCAGTTCCCTTTTCAACTGGGGCCTGAAGCTCGAAGAAGATGTCATTTAAACATCGACGCGATTCACACCGAAATCTCATTCCCTTTCCTTGAGATTTAATCAAATCCTTCAAAATAAGGAGCAAAATAGTAAGTCAACTAGTCGCTCGCGGTTTACAGCTAATCCATAGCCATTGAACCAACCAACACAGGAAAAAGGATTTTACCTTTTCTAATGTCAAAGAAAGATTTTAGAAATAAAATATCATTAAGACCAACAACAATAGAGTTAAACGCAAACCTTGAACCAAACATGGGGCACTGAGTTATGAGGAACGACTATTCTCAAAGGGACAACCAGATTATTTATTTTGGATTTCCATTTCTCAAATGCCTCACTCATATCATCACCAGCTTCAACATCCTCCACAACCCCTGGAATTCCCAAATCATCAATAACAATTGAATCCACGAATTAGCCACATCCAAACTAGAACAGGGATCTTCACACAAATGCTACAATAACCATGATATTGCAGCTTGCCACATACCACAAAGGATCCAACCATCAGCGTCTCAAAAAAATTGTAGGAAAATAAAAGCCAGAAGGAAGAAAACTCATGGAAAACACAGACAAATTTCCAAACCAAGTAAAACAACTTATAATGCATACCTTGATTTTGGCTGGTGACAAAGGGAGCAACAGGGGTAGAAAGCGATTGGTAATTAAAGCATAAACCGACCAACAGAACAACAGATGATACAGCGAGATTCCGAATAACCGTTTCCTGTAACTGTGACGAGGATGAGGAATTTGGATCCGATGCACCAGCCGCGGCATGGATTCTAAAATTATTCTTGTTCAGGCATAAATGATACTGGGGATCCCGGCTAGACACAGTAACAAGATTAAGATTTTAGTTAATGTTTAAGAAATCAGAGAATATTGTAATCAGCAACAACAAAATCATCATCTAACAGGAAGAACTAGTTTCAAGCGGAAGCACAATCACAGGAAATTTTAGAAGATGAACAAATAAACGCAGAATTTTGTATTAAACTACTTCTATCATTTGTTGTGTCATTCAATGAACCGATGAAATGATTTACTTAGATATTACGAATATCACAATGCTGAAACCAGTCCTGGGATAGAGTTCAATTCAAGAGGAAACTAATGAGATTTGTGCCCCGAGATAAAAGTAAGTAAAGTCTGCAAACCTTCAATACAAAGAACATTTGCAAAACCAAATTTACATTCACATAATAACAACATATGTGCGTGCGAAAACAAAATTCACTCTTACATCAGTGATCCTACTGTTCTATTTAACAACACCCCAAAAACCAAAGTTCTATGGAATGCGACCGCATGACGACCATAATTGTCCAAATACCATCACTTTTAGTACACACCTTCCTAAATAAATAACCTGCAACCAATCTAGTACTGGTGCTTGTCAAACAAAACTCAATCACAAACTGAGTTCATGATCAATTTGTTTCTTACTTAGTTCTCCAAAGTTCTCAACGAATTTAAGAGATCCAATTATGTTGTTAGGTGAAAACAATAGCAGACTCAGAATATTTCATGATAATTTGCCTAATGTTAATATAGTTTGCCACCGAGAAAAAATTTTCCTTTTCCTTCTCTTCAGGTTAGAGTTTTTGAATATATTTCACAAACAGAAAATCAGTGCAAGCAAGCCAAAGAAAAAAAAAATAATTAAAAAGGAAAGCTAATGATGAGGTTGCCAAAGTTAAATCTTTTACAGTTTACATTAAATTAAAAGATACGAATTTACAGTCAATCACAAAACACCAGTAAGTGTAAAAGTAAATTTACAACCTGAGTAGTGAATGTGTCTCGGCCGGATGGCGCTTTTGAATACGGCATGTGAATATTCTGCCAAAAGAAGTTGGCAGTGAAAGATTCTGGCTACCTCCAGATGTAAATAGTGCAGGACATCCCATCATGGTTGCCAGCAGCCGCTGAAGCCAATTATAAATTCAAGTTCAACACTCAGGAACTCAACCATTATTCTGCGATAATTGGCAATGAATCAAGCTGGTATTAGGAGCATTGAAACTCAATTGTTAACATTTTATTGTGAAAACCTCTACACATAGAGAACTCAATCTCACTCACAAAACTTAGTACAGAACATTAAAATCATTCTTGTTTCTTCATATTATCATCTACATATACAGGAAAATAAGAATTGGCTCCTAGTTGGTCACCTATAAACTTATACAGAAAACATCTGCGCTGGCACATACATAAGCATGACCAATAAAATTGTATTAGTCTACTCCAAACTTCAAACTAAATATAAAGAAAGCAAAGTAACTTCATACATTTTATAAATTATGTCAAAAGGGAAAGGCAATCAATAAAACCCAATAACTCAATAACTGTTATAGTAGCTTCCTATTCGTATAGTACTGGAAATTCCAGACTACAAGATAAAGTGATCCTTTTACTAATTGTAGTCCAATTTCCAGATTATTACAATTGCCAGTTTAATTAATTAAAAAACCACAATATTGCAGCTTCTTATTCTCATCATTGTTTGTATAACAATTTTAATGAGAAGGAAATTGCCTAAAACATGGCAACCTGCCTCATTCATGGTTGCAAAGAATCAGAGTGAGGTTCTGCAGCCCTAACAGTGCTCAAGCTCTACCACTACCTTTCTATTTCATTTGATGCTCAGAATTGGAGGAAGCTCAGGTTCCTTAGCTCTAATGGGGTTGGAGGACCATTACTGAGAGGAAAACTGAAATGAGTATTTTAATAAAATCAGAAACATGGTCAGTATTTTTTCAACAGATCCGGCAAAACAATCATTGTTTCAGACAAAACAGGCAAAAATGCTTCAAGAAACCAATAACTCAAAAGATGTGACTCATCAACTATCGAAATTAATATTTAACACCATAAACTGCAGAGACTAATGTTTCAACTCTCTAGAATGACACTAATCTCAGTGACTCAGGTTTGGTGTCATTTCCAAGACAAGTATTTATTTCGCAAAAGCTTTGAGAGGAAAAGGCATATAACAATAACAAATATTGGGCAAAACCCATGTATAATGAAATGAACCCCAATTAATTCTGATACATCATAATCCTGGGGTTTCGGAGAGCCTAAATGACAAAGTTCAAACAATCAAAGTATAATTCCGATTTCCAACTAAGATCGTAATGCTGTGATAATGCAACAATCTTCGAAAAGGTGACTGGGGAGAGGAGCAACATCAATGGACTAAAACCCCACAAATTGAGCCTCTCTAATCTAACGATAGAGCACAAAATTGGGAAAAAAGAAAAGAAAGCAACATCAAAAGAGATCACTTAAATAAAATCTTGAAGACTTGAAATGGTTCAAAATGAGGTAACTAGGCCTCATTTTAGGTTCATGACCGAACAAATTGCTAATGTAGCAAAATACTAAGGTTACAGATACAGAATTTGAGGGTCGACTACAGCTACTTCATTACGTGGGTAATGTGTCCATGAGAGATATAAGTCACAGGTCAGAGAAAACAGAACTGGCCTAAATCTGCCTTGTAGCCAAACAGAAGCACTTATAATCATTGCTAATAAGACTAACCAACTATTAGTCCAAATATTTCTACTAATGATTCCTAATACCAAAGTCTTTTTGAACACACGTATAATCCCTTTAGCCACCCCACATTTCTGGGCAATTTATCGGAATTCATTCGCCATGAGATTTCTCCAATTCTTACAAAAAAAAAAAAAAAAACGACCAAGCATTTTCACATCTGTTGTTATCGCTAACATTATGTCGAAAACAGCTATTGTTTCTCTTATGTTACTTTGTCACGGTGGACTGAGTAAGAAACGATTACCTGGAACTCAAAGATACGAAGCTGAAACAGAAAATGTCTTCAAGAGGCAATACCCCTGCAGCTGTGTTCCCACAAAATGAAGCTGAATTATGAGAAAAATTTATATCCGACACGACCCTTCACCAACTAGAAAAATAGGGATTATTGATTTAAAGTAAAACATGCACACAGAGGCAAACATATGAACCTCACCAACTACGTCTGGAGCCAGAGACAAACTCCGATGGTAACTTACGCCGATTTCATGCTTTCTCCGCCCATCGAGGAAAGAAGACGTAGGGGTTTAGGGGTTTTCCGTACACTTTAAGTTAGTCGTTATGAATATTCAGCCCCCCAATTTGAAAACCTGATGCAATTGTAGCGTGAAACTATTGTGACTCCAAAATTTTATTTATTACTCCCTCCGTCACATAATTATTGTGCACTTTGCCCAAAAAATTTTGTCCCAAAATTATTGTCCAATTTGACTTTTTATGGATCAAGTTACACATTTTTCCTTAGTAAAAAACATTATCCATAAAATTTTTGTGGTTAAATAATTACTTATGTAGGGGTATATCCGGTTGTTTAAGGTAAAATATAGTTAAGTTTGACCAAAAATAAAATTTTTCATTTTAGTGAAATTGGACAATAATTATGGGACGGAGGGAGTATATTTTTAATTGAAAATTCAAGTTTAAAAACATTTTATAATTATTTAGAGAACATAATAATTATGAAATTGTATTTTTAATTACAATCTATAAAGAAATGTTTTGAAGTAGAGTTTGCAATTACTACATAGAGGGTTTTTAGGTTTGCTGTAGCACACGTCTTTATTCGTCTTTTGTTGAATTGAAAAAAATAAAAAATAAATTTTTAACCAAACTTTGATGTCAAAATTAATTACTATATTTCATCAGATCATCATATCTTCATAATGACATTAATTAAGGCAAATATTCACACATTCCAAAAAATGCGGATTCCGTTAATAAAATTTCAAGCAAAAAATTCGGACAATTATTCGCAAAATTAAAATCCTAATTGATGTAACTTCATTTTAATTCTTTTTTATATAAAATCTTTTGCCGCATTGGATGAGGACAGAATGAAGTTGCTCTAAATGTTTGTATGATGTTTCACATTCCACCATAATTTAACAGTAAGATCATCAATAATATCATGGAATCTCCTCAAGCCAAGTCCATTTTCTAGCATTGGAAATGTGATCCTATCCCATGAACGACAATGTCGTTTCTTTTCATCACTAGCACCACACTAAAGTTGAGTCACAAGTAACTGTACATGTAAAGATAATTGTTCAACGTGGTGATCGTTCTTTCTGGCATGATAATTTGTCTAACCTTAGAGTACTTTGGGATGTATTTGCTAGTCAGCCACTCTCTCCATAACTCACCATCAGGATATTTTCAAGAATTAGTCATTGTACTTCTCTGAAATACAACAAATACTCACTCCTTCAGCAATGGTTGTCCTGAAACTGAGGTTACTGAACGCCTTAATTTTTTCATTTGACCGCCCTAAAAAATCTTAAAAAGACTATTTTACCCTCGTATATTTATTTTTTTAAAAAAAAATGGGGAGGGAGCAACGCATTTTTGCGTCAGCCTTTCACGGCTGGTGCAAGAAAAATACGCCACCCTTTTACGGGTGGCGTGCACATTTCTCGCCACCCTTCTTGGGGTGACGAGCAATTTTTTTGCCACTGAAAAGGAGGTGCCGCACACCGCTCGCTAAACCGATTGGGTGGCGGCCGATTTTTAATTTATCTTTTTAAATTTATTTATTTATTTATTTCTTGAATTTATTTTACATATTTATTTAAGTATATTTATTTATTTGTTTGGCGATTGAATAAATAATTTTAACTTAAATAAATAATTTTTTAACTTAAACATTTAGGGAATGTTGCTTAATTTTGCATAGTAAATTTATTATTTAATTATTTAGAATTTTTTAAAATTAAATAAAAAATTAACATTTAATAACAACTAACACTTATGAATTTACTACCAAAAAAATTATTTATAAATAACTAATAAAAATACACTAATTATTTATATATTAATGAAAAATTATCATTTACTACCAACTAAAAAATTATCATTGTCTAAATAGTTAAATTAAAAAAAATATTTATTTATCATCGGTACATCTAGCCGTCCTAAGAATTTTTTAAAAAAAAAATTTAAAATAAAAAATAGAAAATATAAAATACGTTGAAATTTCATATTTTTATATTTCATATTTATCATAAAATAAATATAAAATACGTTGAAATTTCCTAGGATAATGGCTCGTTAAAACCTTTCTAGAAAAAAACTCAGTGGTGTCATCCAGAATTTGAAATCCCTCCTTATACAATTTATTTATATAGTTGTAGACTTGTTTGGAGGTCACATTTTCATCAGAAAATTGTGTTCATATCGCCCGTAAAATGTGAACTGCCTTAGTCCAACTTTAGAATACTCCTCTCAATGAGTTCTCTCACTTCTGAGCTCAGTCCGCTCCTAAAACGAGGCGAATCTGTCAAAAAATGGTTGTGTATTCCCCACGGACCGGGATATACACGAATCGTCCACCTATCACATATATTGTAGACAGTAATACGAAACTGGTATCCGGTCATCTGTGTCTTCGTATTGGGTTGGGCGCACATGGTTTTGTCCACTTGTTGACCTTGGTACCAGCTTCCTTTATGATAAAGAAGTATAGTATTACTATCCTTATGGGAGAATATACTTAACTTCATGTTGTACATATTTGCAATACACTCCACATATGCAATAGCGTCAGGCCTTTCGGCAAAAGTCTCGTTTGTAGCAAAAGTCGAACTATAATCCATGCCATCCCCTTATCAAACCTATCATGCACACATTAAATGAATTATATCATAACTTAAAATTAATTATAATAATATTAAACTACAAATAATTCATTATAAACAAAAACATAATATATAATCCGATATAATGATGTTATACTTTAAAGATAATTAATTAACATAATATATAATAATAACAAACTAAATACATTATTAACAGAAACTTACCATTTTAATATAACAACTATAACTTATGAACATACTACCTAATTAACCAATTCTTTCTAAATTAATAACAAATTAAACACATATTTACTAAAAAAAAAACTATTTCATACGAACATACTACGTAATTAATATAATTTAAACATACAACAAACTAAATACATAATTAACCAAAAATTTACCTATTTAATATGACAACTATAACTTATGAACATAATACGTAATTAAAAAATAATCCCTAAATATTTAAGTTAAACATTATTTATTTACCAATACCATAAACTCTAAATATTAAGATAGATTATCCATTTAACTACCAAATAATATACATTTTCTAAACAAATATTAAACTACCAAAAATATACTCAAATAAAATTAATTAATTAATTAATTAAATACATGAATTAAATAAATTAAATAAATACATGAATTAAATAAATTTATTAAACTAATAATTTAAATAAATAAATGAAAATAATTAAATACATTAAAAAAATAATTAAATAATTAAATTAAAAATAAAATGGGTGGCGCACAAAACGGCGCCACCCATCGAATGGTTGGCGAGCAAAGGTGGCGCCCAAAACGGGCGCCACACCTTCGCTAGAGGCGAAGGTTTTCTCGCCTCCATGTAAAAAGAGACGAGATTATTCCATAACACTCCGTAAAGGGGTGGCGTGTTTCTCCTGCGCCAGCCGTGAAAGGCAGGCACAATTCTCCCTCGCCCTCCCCTTTTAAAAAATAAAAAATAAATTAAAGGTAAAATTATCTTTTACATCTTTTTAAGGCGCTTAAAGAAAAACATTAAGGTACTCAGCAGTAACACCTTTCCTGAAAAGCCTTGATCTCTATTTTACGAATGATGCGGACTTACTTGTTTGGATGCCAACACCGCAGTGAAATCTCACGGTTAGGTCTGCCTATGAGGTCCTTCGCTGTCGACAAAATGAAGTTTCCTTATCGAGAAGGATATGGCACAAGCTGATCCCATCTCGAGTTTTTTTTTTTTTTTTTTTATGGAAGTTGCGCAACAATCTGCTTCCGTTTCCTGAAGTTCTTAGTGGTTTTGACATTCAGATTCAGCCATCGATATGTTGTCTATGCCAAAAGCAATCACAGGGGCTTGTTCATTGCTTCTACAGCTGTGAATTTACGGCTGCAATTTGGGCTCATTTCGCCTCAGTCTTAAGTTGCAATTTGGTGAATGTACGAGGGCACACAAGTTTACTACGCTTGCTGAAGAAATGGTAGAAAAAAGAAAGGCAATTTTACTACCACACGAATCTTCTTAATTTAATTGATTCCCTCTTTTGTCCTCTAGTTCATCGGTATTTCTTTATTTCTGTTAAAAAAAAAAAGAATAATGCTCACTCATCCCAACTTAAATGGAAGAACGATTTGCCATTAACAGGAATAATAAAAATTAAAGGAAAGGAAGCCCAAATTTGCCAGTCCGGACTGTAAGCTAGGATAACCCTAATTAAGTCAGGTAGAAAATCGAGTGATAAAGACGGCTGAAGCTAGGATGAACCCTAAATCAGGTGGAAAATCGGGTGATAAAAGACGGAGGCATTACACATTCAGATTTCATAGCTGAAGCTACTTCTATTTTTTTTAAAAAAAAAAAGGCTGATGTGATTTGATTGATATATTGTTAATTAGCTACCAAAAGAGTACTCAAATTAGCACCGCTCACGAAATTATTTTGACACCTAAGTTTTATGTATCATGAAGTACGTACATTATAATAAAACAAAAGGCATCATTTCAACACAATTTCTTGATCACTGACAGAACTCAAGCAACCCAAAAAGCTCCATTAGTTCTGTATAATAAAGATAGAAGACAATCAATTGGGTATATCTCACTTTGTTATATACATATACATTACCATGTGACGTGAATTATATAAGTTTCTTCTATTTATAACACGTATTGCGCATCAAAGAACACTGATTACTATTAAGGAAATATGTATTTATAGAGGGCGCAAAAGGGGATAATCTTTAAGGAAATCTTGCTCGGAGAACCGGTTGCCTTCAACCAAGGGAGTCCACGATACCTCAACTGCCTGAATGAGCATTATATAACAAAGGAAATATGAGACCAAGGGAATAGAAAACAAAAAAAAAAAAGGTACTGTTGATGGAAGAGACCAAGGACTTCAGGGCATAACTAAAACTTAGTATATCTTATTCAGCTTCCGTTTGTTACCTTTGTAATACTTGATGGAAGAGATGCAAGATTCTGTAACACTTCATTCAAGTCTGAGCTACTATTGATGGTATGCAACTTACATTTCCCTTCGGCAACAACTAATATGGTAACCTATTGGTGCAGTTCCAAAAAAGGTATATATATTAGCCATATGAAGAATTGTTAGTGGAAGAAAAGGTCAATATACTTCCAAACGGAATCGCTACATTTCTTGCCAAGTACTCTCTCTGTTTCTTTTTATAAGATATTTGATGTATTTTATATTTTACCTAGTATTATTTTTTGATTGAAAAAAAAAATTAAAAATTAGGTAAAACATAAGACTTATAATAAGGACCAGAGGTTAAGTGTAGAAAGGAAACAAAACAAACATTCAAAGCCCGAACAAGAACTTAATGGAAATATGGAATTGTGTGACTCCTGCAAACTTAACATGATTGTGAGTGTGCAACTTGGTTTATTCTTGAAGTGTTGTAACACAACCAACTACTTACAAAACCCATATGCTACGAATCTCAATCAATGATTGGATGAACAGTTACATATGTGGGCTTTTATTGGTGAAAGATATGATTAGAGTATATACATCAATTAAAGAAAATCTAGGGAAACAATCAGATTGATTATTTGAATCAGAAACCAGCAACACGTTCCAAATCTGATACTCCCTCCATCCCATAATTATTGTCCAGTTTTACTAAAATGAAATATTTTATTTTTAGTCAAACTTAATTATATTTTACCTTAAACAACCGAATATACCTCTACATAAGTAATTGTTTAACCACTAAGATTTTATAGATAATGTTTTTTTACTGAGGACAAATGTGGAACTTGATCCATAAAAAGTCAAATTGGACAATAATTTTGGGACAAAATTTTTTGGGCAAAGTGGACAATAATTATGAAACGAAGGGAGTATTATACAAACCAAACACATTCCAACTTACTTGCCAACGCCAGTTAACATAAAAATTTGTTCAAAGTTCCCATAGGTTTTGTTCTTACCACAATGTACTCCTCACTGGATTCACTGGTTCTTTGGCGACTTGAACTTCGGATTCGTATGTTGTTGACATCGACAAGTGTCACCTCATCAAATTTAACCCGTTCTTTATTTGAAAGTTGATCAAATTGTTTAAATACTTCTATAATGTCGAACCCAACATTAGCCTGCACTTTCATCAGGAGATGTAAGAGCTGAGAATGAACTAGCAGCATTAATCGCAAATTTCGAACCAATATTAAACTACATGTAGTTGAGACATTGAAGTAATTTTAGTAAACAAGTTGTAGATCATACGGTTGTATTTTACTTACTGATGAATATCCAGAGCTGCAATAACCAAGACGTCGAAGCAAAGCTAATGTAGTCTCTACAAATACCACAGAATGAATTATTGATAAGTGTACATTCAAGTCATAACTCTTTGGATAAAGGAAAACCATTAAAATTAAATCTTGCAAGCTTTTGTATCCTTCTAGTTTCATGCTCCATTCATTATAACAAGTAGCCTATATGTTGCATTAAAAATCTAATCTTTCTGGCTTTTATCCTTCTAGCAGAAAATCCTTCTTTCTCATAATATCTTCAGTGCCCAAAAGCTGAAAAAGTAAGGCAATTAACTCCAAAACCCAAATCCAACAAGATTAGTGCGGTGATCATAAAATATATGAACACATATATAACACCGCCCATTTTGTTTGTTTATTGAAGGAATTTAAAAACCCCATTAAAAAAGCCTAATGCATGCAACCACAAACTAATATTATTATACTACCTCCGTCTCAAAAAAAAAAAAATAATCCACATTGAGTTTTCAAATTTATACTAAAAACAGTACAAAACTCAAAATTAAATGTGGACTATTTTTTTTGGGACGGAGGGAGTAATACTCTGTCATCAACACTCCAAAGAGAGATATCACAATATTTATTTACTGCTTCATTAAGAAAACTTCTTTACCAGTTAACACATGGCGCCTGGTGGATGTACTTGCAATTTTCGCAATTTGATCGAGATCCCTCTGCAGTGATCTTCCCGAGACCAAAAAGCCAACCTTCAGAAGGGAAAAAAAAAAAGGGTCAGAAACTAATTAAGAAGTTGAGCATTCTACATGTGGAGAGAAGGCAAAACTAGCCAAAACATGAATGTTTGAATCTATTAATACAAAACTGAAATAATATATGTGTATATACCTGAAGCTTGAGAACACTATAGGGTGTAGGAGCAAGTCGTAGATAGGCAAAATAAACCATACCGATGAGAATATATCCAAACAAGACACAAATAAGGGCATCCGCATGCGAAAACATGCCAGGAATCTGTCTAGCAATTAAGGCAGCCAGAGGGAAAGGAGATATGGCCACAAATCCAACAAAAAGTTTAGACCATAAATCTGCATCCATGATCTTCTTATGATTATAGGACATCATCACTTCACATCTGCCAGCAGCATTACGATGATTATCATCACAACAAGTTGTTGCGGAAGAATTGTTGAGATCAAACCTCGTCGAGAGTTTATTATTGTTGGCATTGTAATTGCTATTAATTATCTGATGATCAATTGATGGCGGGATTTTCCGGAGTTGGACTGAAAGTTTGAAGGGAGTAGTAGCAGTAGTGCTCGGGGAGAACGACGGCCGGAATAAAGGGATCCGTTTGAGGTTTGATTTCAGCAACAGAAGTGTTGGTTTTGCAGAGTTTATTGAGGTGGCCATGTCAACTATTCCAAACTGATGAAAGGTTTAGTCGTGTGAAAAGTTTTTAACAAAAGAAAACCTAAAATTAGGATTGGACTCTTCTTACCATATAGTTCTTCTTTTTTTCTCTTCTTTTTTTTTTTGAGATTTTTAATGCAGCACTTTACATAATTATTATTTTTATATCCCAAAAAAAAAAAAAAAAAAAATGGGCCCTGTACTATGCTAGATTCTCATGGACTTCCTTCATCAAACGTAATCCTTATAGTAAATCATTGTGTGCAATTGCTCTAAGGATTAGGGTTTGAATTTTACTAGTAACAAAACTTTTGCGTCTAGTTACTTATCAAGCTAAAACACCGTAATTCTAATAAGAGTCACAGGTATAAGGTCTCGTTCAAGATACTAGTAAGGTTTAAAAGGAAAACATTTTGAAGTCCAAGGTGTATACTTAAATTGAACTAACACATCCGTGCATCTCAAAATTTGAGAATAAAGATTCAGAACTTAGAACCGGTAACCTACTTGTTCCTTTTTTAATTCCTTATTACCCTTGGAATTAAATGCTTTTCTCTTCTCCATGATAGGAAATTCAGTTCATATCTTTTTTTAGGGACGAATCTAAGCGATAAAAGATTGAATTTCAGAGGTAGTAAATTTAGTTAATGTATACATGAACTTAAAATTCTCTTTATAATAAAATCTGAACTCAATAATGGGGAAAGCAATTTCTATCTCTCCCTTAATTGTTCCTTTTTTATATTTGATTTCTAGTTAAAGAAAATAAACAAATGGACAATGCCAACAAGCAGTTTGGACAACTGTGAAGCGTGGAGTTTGTGATTTTTAAATGCAAAAAAAAAAAAAAAAAAAACAGATAAACACGCACTATAATCGCACTAATATATACTAGATACTTGGCCCGGACGAATGCCCGGGCAGCTCTCCTATGTTTTAAGTAAGTGAGTTTGTGATATATTGAATACATTTTATTTGATAATCATATCTCATAATAGAATGCATGATTGGAATTTCAAGCTTCTTTTTCTAAGCATCACTCAGTAACATTAGATAGAAGCTATCTGAGCGAGTAGATCTAGTTGGGACTAAATTCTTGCCAAGAAATTGCCCCATTCAAGCTTCTTGACGTCCACATTTGTGCATTGCGACCTCCTTATATTTTGAACAAACTCTTCTTTAGTCAAAATTTTCATCTACAAAGATATACTAAATCAACAGCAACTTAACACTAAATCTCTATAATTAACAGATTGAACTAAGGTAAACAGATTAGGAGGGAAATACTGACAACTTGTTTGAGATCTTCTTTATAATCACTGACACCAAAATTAATATCTGGCTCAAGTCCATAAAACTTGATAGCAGCACATTATATGCTCTGCAGCAGGATCCAAATTTTTATGGTAAAAGTTACTGCATGGCAAAATGAGATGCCAGTAACAGCAAGTCTACAACCAACTAGAAGAAAAAAAAGGGATCATCTTCATTAGGCTAGCACCTTAAAATTCCATGTCATAATATTTTCATGATTCCAGCATAGATATTAAAATGATCATCTTTAATCATTTCGACTTGCTAGGAACATCAGCAAGTACCCAAGCTCCATTCCAATCAGAGCAACCTCAAGTTGTTGTACTCCCAGAAAACCACTTACCTGAAACCAAACCCAATATGCAACTTAATTTATTGTTCAAATATGAACTGACTTCTCTAACATTGCCATATATCAATGGTATTCTAAGTAACTCAATCAAAATGTCATGGCAACTTTTCTGCATCTTAACCAAGAAAAACATAAACTAAAGACATACATCCTGTGTAATGGGAGATGTACATAAATATCAAATCAAACATAATTCTCACTAATTGGTATTGTTGCTGTTTGTACTTCTCCCAGCTATTATAAAGAACCGATTTTTTCACCACCCCCCTAAAATTTAAAATCAGACTGACATGAAATAGGAGGGGTGTCATAGTATATCATGGAGGCCTGAAAGTACCGTGGCTCGAACAGTGGGTATAGTTGAATCAGCACCTGTATCAACCTGTATTGCCAGTTGAAAAGGGAAATTAACTTACATCTTTATTACCCGTTGAAACGACAAAACAATTGATACTGAATAACACGTTTCTCTAAACTTTTGGATGAGCAATTGAAATCAAATGGTCAAATGTATTAAAACTTATATTTATGCAAGACCGAAGTACAATACAAAAGACCTTGCTTCAACGGGGAAAAAAACAAAAAGCAAAGATAAAACCAAAATACAGAAATATCCAATGGTGAACGTCATTCAAGGTAATCTCACATTGCTTCAATGACCACATGATTGACTTGTATTCATCAAACTAATCTGACCACAAGACAAACAACTACAATTCCTTTCCCAACTACTGACAAAAACACAAAATATAATTGTAAAACTCTCAAAAAAAACAACTGAAAGCACTTACATCTAGCCAGTCCGAGTCAAATCCAACAACATTTTATCATCTTGTGCAAGTGAGTTCCTTTAGCAAATGAGGTATAAGAAAATAGTGAGAAAAACAACACAGAAATCAGATGTAACAAAGAGACTATGGAAAGCCCGTAAAAGAAATAATTAATTAATAAGAAAACATGTGCAATAATCCTATATAGTGCAATAATCCTATATAGTGAGTAACCATATAAATCATACAAACAGTCCAATTAGTTTTAAGCACCTTTCAAACTTCTGATAATGATAGCGAAGGAGGTTCCTGTATATTCAGAAAAGAATGTAAAATGAAATTCAAATCCTCAACTATTACGATGCCGATATAACCAAAAAAAAAAAAACTATGAACATAAATGAAAGAACAACACCAAAATAAAAATAGAGAACAATACCATCAAACTGAAAACCTCTTTTCAAAAAACTAAAAACTTCATATTGCAGCGAACATTTGTCCATCGATTTATAAGCCAGTGAAACATTATCCAACAAAAGATTTTTTAAGAGAAGACTTGTCTAACAATGGTATAAGCAGACTTGTCCAATAACATCGGTGGATTACATTAAACAACTAAAGTTGACTTTCCTGTTGTCGTTGCCATCTACTATTTTCTGAGCAAACTTCCAGATTATGCAAAAGGATCGAATCTGGTCTAAAGTGGCAGTTGGGTCTGGTTTTGGTCACATCTGAACAATTTTGTCCAAACCTTTTGATCAGACTCCTTCATTTATTTCAAAGAGAATGCAGACCCAACAATTCTGTAATTGGTGAGGGGCAGTGGAGTCAGCAAATAATTAAAGACTTCACAACAAAAATACAATTAGAAGAGGAGGAATTTTTAACTTTGTTCCAACCAAAAAGTAGCACAACTCTCCTTCTTAATTAATTAATTCAGTTATATACAACAAAATGAGTCAAATAATAGCAGCAAACTCCACAATGAACCCAGAAAACAAAAGAACCCAATTCATTTCACTTGAATTGAGGAACCCATCAAAAAATTCCCCCGTAATAGTGAAATAACCGTTCACCGAATCAAATGTAAAAACAAATGTAAACTCCAAAAATCACCAAAAAGGAAAGAAGATGAAAATTGGGAAAATAAACTGTTTGAAGATGGGATAAAATTCAAATTTAAATTAGCAGAAATTAGCCCTAATCAATAATGCAAAGGAGGAAACCAATCTGACCTTGCTATCGATTGATTTTCAGATCCGCGCCGCCGGCTGCTATGAATTGATTATTGCTATTTCTAATCTTGTATCTGTCACCAATCGAACCGAAACAAAATTCACCTTCATAAAAAGTAGGATTGGATTTTGTCGTGATTGGAGATTATTCTTGTTCTTAAATCAAATGGAGCCAGAGTGGAGAAGAAATATGGAATAAAGAGAAGAAGCAAATGAACATGTGGTACTAACGAAGATTTTTGTTTACTCTAGGATTGATTAGAAAGATGAAAGAGAAGAGAGGATAAATCAAATCTTTTTTTTGAAATTCTAATGGGATAAGTGATTGATGAAATTAAAACGAGGATTATTATTCCGATAAACAAATTAAATAATATTTTTGTTTATTGATAAAATATGCAAATTTTCTGTTCACTAAAGAAGTCACGTGTCAAAAATAATTTTGTACTGAAAATGGAATTTGGTGGAAAAATATTAAACCTAGAGATGACACGTGTCCTTTTTGTTTGCTGCTTAATTTAATTAACTACTATGGATTAGTACCACTACACTGCGTACCAGTAATCAGTTAAACCAACCTTGAACCAACTTCATTTGGACAGCAACTCCTTCGATTTTGTTGAACATAATTTGTGAAGAGAGGAACATCAAAGCTGTCAAATGGGTTGGAATTAGGAAGTTGGAACCCAATAATCATCCTCCATTTCCCCCTAACTTAAATCCATTTCCCCCTAACTTTTAAGTGTTTGTTTGTCCAATAACTGATTTTCCATTTTCACTTATTTTACCTTTTAAACACAAAATTCAATAAAAAAAAATCATCCAAACAACTTTTTAATTTACCTTTTAAAATGTTGTGTTTGGTCATTACACTATTGTAAAGTCTTCGTTTTGGTCACTGAACTATTGTAAAGTATTCATTACGTTTGGTTACTAAACTATTGTAAAGTGTTGCGTTTGGTCACTGAACTATTATAAAGTCTTGTGTTTGGTTGTTATACTATTGTAAAATCTTAATTTTGGTCGCTGAGCTATTTTAATTTTATAAATGGTCACTATACTATAATACTTTCTAAATAAAAAACTAAACTACCTTTTGAATCTCCTCTCAAATCCAAATCAAAAACTAAAAAAAACGTTGTCTAAACAAGCACTAATACTTCAGTATCATAATTTTTTTACCCTTTCAATTAATTCGACTTTAAAACAAATAGATCTTTTTAAAAAATTCTCCCAACATGTCACACTCATTGCCAATTGATTTTGAGATGAGAGCCCAAGGTACTTATATACTTTGACATGGTATCAGAACGTGTTGGGTCTGTGGTGGAGTTTTGGGCCGGAGGTGTCTTGGGGTGATTTTATATTCTCTCACTTGAGTGTTGCTGATTCGTGGGCTTGTTGTGCA